CGTAGTCGTTCCTGGCCCGAGCTCGGTGCTATATATACCACGCAACACTACTACCACGTAGGTACTTGGGTGCCCCCCTGTCTAAACAGGCACCCTACCCTATTCTTGATCTGCCCGTGGGAGTCCGAGATTTCGACTGCTGATCAATCGGGGGGGTCAGATGTCAGATCCAGATCCCACGATCAGATAGATGCAGGGAAGGAACAACAAAGCTTGTGTGGAGCTACGTGATGCTTAAAGGGGAGGGGGGGGGGGTTTGCCCGGACGGACGGGTGCGTGAGCGCAGATGGTGTGTGATGAGTGGTGGGTAGTCCGCGAAGGGAAGGAAGGGCGGGCGGGAAAAAAAAAGAGGCAAAGAGCGAGCGAGAAAGCCCCGAGCACACGCGCGGCTGGGCGTTTACGCTACCCTTTTTTCCCCAGATCTTCGATCTCACATCCGCCTCGCGTACAGCGTAGTAGTAGTAGTAGTAGTAGTAGGGGGAGTAGTACCTAGTCCGTAGACTCTCATCACAGGATGGACGGGCAGGCGGGCAGGCAGGCGGGCAGCGGGCGACGGCGACGGCGACGGCGGCGGCGGCCGACGGCGTTTGCTGCTCCCTCTTAGATCCGCGCGCTGCTGCTGCTGCTAGCAAGAGCGTACCACTACCATCACCACCGGCGGCGGCGGCGGCGCTCTCCTTTTCCCCTGTCCTTGCAAGCTCTCACTGGCTGCTGCGCGGCGCGCTGCTGTCTCATCTCTTGTCATTCACAGCCGCGGGCACGGAGGTCGGCGCCGTCGTCGGCCTCCCCCCCGGGGCAGCAAGAAAGGGAAAAAAAAAAAAACGCGCTTCGGTCCGTCCTGGCGGGAAATCGGCGATGGTCGTTAGATCGGCACCACGCCCGCCCCGTCATCGTTGGCAGCAAGCGCGGGACCAAGGCAAAAGAACATGGGCATTCTGCCCTGCTGGGCTGGTGGCATTGTTCGCAACTTGTGGAGAGCGGGACGATGGCGCAAACAGGAGAATGGGACAGCTGTGCGAGATTGCGATGATGGAGGGTGCCGGAGCTAGTACCCTACATACTGCAGAGTGCCCGTCGGTCGGTCGTCCGGTTCCGCGTGGACCTTCGTGTGTTGTTGTTGTTGTTGTTTTTCTCTTTTTTTTTTTGGTCTCGCGGTGGTACTCTCCTATCGTCGGTGGTTTTTTCGTGTCTTCTGCCCGCGCGGTGAGAGACGCGGTGCAGAGCAGCAGCAGATCATGACGTCGTTTGCCGCGGCACCTACGTGACCGCCTACCCACCACGAAACTCCGTCCTACCTAGTTACTACTACTCCGTACGGAGTACTACTCCTCCTCCCTTGCCGTGCTCTTCTCACCGCCTGCCCGCCTCCTCCACCACGCCGTTCTCCCTGCGCGCTGCCGCCGGCTCTCTAGCCTACTACCTTAATCATTTTTTTCCCTCTTCTTCTCCCGTCGCTGTTGATCGCTCTCTTCTTGGCGGACATTGAAACCAACCACCCCTCCACCATGCCAAGCCACGCATGCCGACCAATCGTCTCGTCCGGAACTGTCATGTCATGACTCTCCTGTGTCCCCTTCCTGCCACCGCCAGAGCGATGATGATGATGATGATGCTGCTGCTGCTGCTGCATCATCTGGTGATGTGCAAAGGAAGACTTTTGGTATCGCGCTAGTAGTCTGCTGCTTTTGCTGCACCGGACGCCGCAGCGGGTTCCTTCAGCTTCATGTCAGCTTCTCTCATGCATGCATCCCTCGACCCTGATGACCGCAAAAAGAAGCGAGCTGCTTGCTGCAACGTCAATGATCATCGCATCGCCGCCGTCGTCGTCGTCGTCATCGTCCACATGTTTGCGGATGCTGCGCGTGCGCGCTTTTACATGCGGTCAGGGCCAGGGCCAGACTAGACAGATAGACAGACTAGACAGACAGACAGACAGACAGACAGACAGGTAGACAGACAGACAGACAGACAGACCCCTTAACCAGCACGGCTGGTCACCTAGATCCTACTACTGCTGCTGGCGCCGCTGCCAGACCAGGTGGTGCCAAACCAGCTGGCTGGCCAAAAAAGAGAATCCTTTATTATCCCCGCACTCCCGTCCTTCGTTCCATCGTATTGATGACCCTCTCTTTTTTGCTTTTTTTTTTCCCCCCCACCCCTCCAAGGGACCAGGCGTGGCGCAAGAAATTGCGGGTTTGACGTATGCAAATGCAGGGCAGAGGGAGAGAGAGGGGTCCATGTATAGAACCGTGGTTGGTGCCGGGTGGGGAGAGGGAACGCTATTGCTGCTATCCGTACCACCGCCGCTATTGCTACTACTGCTGCTACTGCTACTACTACTACTATTGGCACGCGACGTCTTGGCATAAGCAGAGGGGTTTGTTAGCTACCTACGATTTTCTTGGATAATGAGGGGAAAAAATTACATCACGAGGATGATGAGAGAAAGAGCGAGAGAGAAGAGCAGAGGGGTGGGGTGGGGTGAGGTGGGGGGAGTTCGTCCCGTCGTCATCTTCTTTCCGGCTTACTGTTGCACGAGAGTCGAGGCGCTTGCGTCTTCCGCTTTGAACAGCCGCCGCGTGATTTGGAAATGGTGTTTCATCGATGAGGGCTGCCTGCAAGCGTCTTCGGTCAATTACAAACACGAAAAAGAGCCGCAAAACGATTGACCGCGGCGGCGGTGGTGGTGGTGGGGAGCGAGTAAACTGCGGGCGGGGGAGGGGGAGGAGTGAGGGCAGAAGGGGGACTAGTCACTAGTACTCTGAAGAAAGCGGGGTAGATCGGGGGGAAAATAAAACAACGAGACGCAGGCGGAAAGGATCATTGAATCCAGCCCGGAACGGACAGCCGGAGGAGCAAAAAAACACATGCACACATGCACGCGGATCTAACATGCCGCGGGGTCTACCAAGCAAGAACAAAAAGGGAGACCATGTTGACGGGATATGCACAAAGAATTAGGAATAATAAAAACAAGGAAGCAAGGAAGAGATGCAGGTAAGGGAAGGGCATTCGAATCATCAGCTCCTCCCCACGCAAGAATGTGCAGCTTATTTAGTTTTTACGTAGTACATTTGGCTTGCAGTGCGGTGCAGGGGGTCAGGGTGAAGGAATAGCAGCAGTAGTAGCAGCAGCAGTAGCAGCAGCAGTGGTAGTAAGAAGTAAGCACGGCAAAGCGGGTATTGCAGCCCGCATATGCATGCAGAGTGTGATGTGTGTGTAAAACGCCAACAAAGCCGGAGGAGCATGCAGCCAATTCGGTCCAATCGGAAACAGGAATTAAAAAGAGGCTTTTTTCTCGCTTTCCGCCCTTGCTTCCCTTTGCCTCTAATGCAGGGCAAAAAGTAAGGTTTAATGCGGGGGTGTGGGGAGGAGGCTGGGCTGGGCTGGAGGGGGGGGGCTGGACTGGGCTGGCGCTTGTTGTTCCTGTCACGTTTTTTGCCCTTTTTGCAACAACGGCTCACTGCCGCGTGTGCCCGCGCGTGCCCGCGTGATGGATATTGGATTATTGTGAAACCCAACAAAAAACTAACAACGATGAAGGGACCACCGCACAGACATGCAAAAGGAAAATTACTGCTTATGCACACCATGTCTAGCGTTTCGCGTAGATGGGAGCAAGAGGAAAAGAGGATGCAGAGGCGTAAATGGGGCTGGCTGAGGCCAGGGTTTCTCGCATATGGGTTGAGATAAGGATTTTTGTTTCTTTCGCTGCGCCTGGGGATGAATAATGATGGATAGACGAAGGAGTTGCTGCTGGACGCTCCTTGCTGCCATCTTGGTCAAAGCCTTTGTAAGACGACTGCTCTTTTGGCCTGGGCTAACGCGCATAAAACATGAATAATGGTCGCGGATCACTATTGATCAATCGACCAATAATCCAAAAAAGACGCTGGATTTCTTCGGACAACACTCGTCGCGAAAACGCACCGCCGCATCGTCGATACGAGGCTCGTCGTAGCAGTCAGTGTAAGCGGCGCGACTTGGAACACTCGAGCTACGCTGTTGTGGCAAAGTGTGAGGGGGAGGGGCATGAGACCGGCGACGAGTCATGATGACCAGCAAGCAGGTACCGTAGACGCAAGCTGGACAAGGTGACATCGACCGCGGCCAGCGAGCACGCCTACGCGCGTCCGTCGCCCCTTGGGTGGGTACGAGCCTTTTTTTCCAATCCTACCTACGACATGAGACTCGTCGTACGTAGTTCAGCGGGTCGGCGTGGGTAGCGCGGTGAGTGGTGAGGTTAGAGTTACTTCACGATGATAACCACACTCTGCTGAGAAGGAACGAAACAGGTGGGAACAGGCGTCCTGCCGCAGCGGCGGCTTCGCTGCGGGATAGGGCGTAGCGTCGACAAAGGGCAACGGACCAGGCGAAGCTTAAGGGAAAAGCGAACGCATGCATGCCAGCTGAGCAGTGAAATTGATCTGCAGAAATCCTGGACTGAGTAATGTAGCGCCGCGCTGGATCGTCCCCTTGTGCCCTCGCCATGCTAACATGCCGCGCATCTACCTAACCCTGAACCCGGTACCGCCGCCCGTACACCAGCTGCAGGAAGGATGGGGAATCGAGCTGCGTTCGAGGCCGGCCCGAATGGCGGGGGTCCGGATGCTCTAAATTCTTTGGTCGTCACTTCGCCCTGCAAACACTACTTGGACTGACAGGCAGGGATGCAAGGGTGCGCGGAAGCGGATGTGCTCGGTTTGAAGCGAACTTTTCGGAGTAATCCGAGGGCGCCAAACCACAGCTTAGGCGAGCCGCGGTGCAGGTTATGGAAGTGATGTGCCATCTTCGTCAACAAGCATCGTGGAAATGTGACAGAACAAATGAAATTCGTATTGGCCTCCGGGCCGCGCTCCGTGCTCGCGCCCTATGCCTACCCGGTGACGGGCACGCAGATGAAACAAACCGTCTGGCCAAGGACTAAAAGAGCCTGAGCCAAGGCAGACGAGACAACCAACGCATTACACCAAGGCCGCACAGATGACGAGTCCATTGAATCAAGGAAGGCCGCGCCCAGAGTTCACTGCATTCGCAAGCTGCGACGTGTTGGGCCGATTCTCTGCAGTAGTACATGGACATGTCAGCTTCTCGGCCGAGACGGGGATTTTGCAGTCTCACTCACCGGCGTATCGCTCGTAACTGTCAAGATATAGACTATCCGTGCTGGTCGTCGCCTGCACGTGAGGGTCGTTCTCGATGGCCTCCATCCACTTCCCCCACCGACTTCCTGCGTCTGGCTCGGGCCATGAGCGATAAGGCTTCAGCACCCTGTTGAGCCGGATCACCCAAGGCGCCATCTGCACATCGACAAAAGACAGCTCCTTGCCGAGGAAGAAGGGACCTTCTTCATCCGCAGCTTCAACCAGTTTACCAATTTCTGCTTTGAGTTCTTCTGCATACTTGACTTGCTTTTCCGCGTCCTGTTCTTGCAGGAAGCGGTAGAAGCCTGGGATGAAGTGCCGGTTGATCTACACCATGTCAGCACGTGCAGCCCTTTGGGCTCCCGCTCCAAGTGGACAGGCTTACATGGTCGCTCCACAGTCTGCAGTTCGCACGAAGCTTGGGGTCAGAAGGCATTAGAGGACGGCCCATACCGAGGTCTTCGAGCTGTGACAAGTCAGCATCGCCGGCGAAATGACCAGTCGAGTTTTGCATGGTGCATACATATTCCATCAAGACAGTGCTCTCGTAGCAGCCCCAATCGCCGTGCCGCAAAGCAGGAACAAGACCACGGGGATTGATTTCCAGCAGTGACTGAGGCTTCTTGTAGGGGTCCACTTCGACATACTGGTACGGGATGTCTTTGTAGACCAGAGATATCCACACACGCTGGACAAAGGGGCTGCATCCACAAGAGCCTGGTTAGATCGGGTGCTTAGCTGCGTGCCATCTGCTTCTACATACCAGAAGCAGCTGCCGAACAACTTCAGCTCATTCTCTGCTGCATGCTTCTTGACTGTGTTCAGCGCATTGCCGGTTGCGTTTGTATGATACGTCTTCTTCGCATCAGTTTGCTGTTGCTTGTCAGACATGTTGCCGAGGAGGCGGGAACTGGTGGTGAATGGGCTGCGGGCAGGAGGATGGTGGAGTAGAGGGGATATCACGCGCTGGTATGAAAGCGCAGGCCTGAGAGATGGAGGTAAACAGGAGACTAGGCTATGTCGCAGAGCAAGCTTGGTGGCAACGCCGGGCGAAGTCTGCGCAAGCAAAGACATATGGTTGTGATGGGCGGGGGAAAATGTTGACGTTGGGGACGTGATGTTGATGTCAGGAAAGGATGACGCCATAGCCGGGGTCTCCACGTGGGGCGTCATGCCAGGGTCCAACGTCGATCCCAGATCGGAAATACAACTTACCGGGTGCTGCTGCTTCTTCCTCTCCTTCTCGTTCTTCAACGTGCGCCTGATGGCAGTGCTCTTTTTAATCCTGTCACTCTCCTCCAGGTCATGCTTGTGTGGGCCCGGATTGCCGTCACCCTTGCCATTCGCTCCGTTGCCGTTCACACGTTGGATGGTGTAGATTTTCTGGTTGTACGGATCAGGCGGTGCGGGCTGTGTCAGGTGCAAAGCGGACATGGGCCATTGCAGATGTCCAGGTGCATTGGAGGCTGGGGCACCAGGAGGAAGGGCAGCTTCGGGGACGGGGAGTTCAGTCAACGGGCCAGCATTGTCTGGCGTCGCTGAGCCAGGCTCGTACTCGGTAATCTTGATCTTGACATCGCAGAGGTCACGTTCACGAGCTATGCGCTTGCGCTTTTTCTTGCTGGGGTCCTCCGACTTGGGAGTGCCTGGCGGGCGACCCTTCAGACGGCAGTCCCAGTAGTGCGAAACGAATGGTTTGCGCTTGTAGCGCTGGGTTGACCGATGCGAGTAGATGTTGTCTACGTGTGGCCAGTAGGTCTGATATCTGACAGGCATGGTGGTCAGAGGCCGGCATAGAGCACTCGGTGCTTGGGTCATACTGATCCTCAGTCATCACAATCGTCTCATGGACGTGGAAGAGGCGCTCTCTCCACTGCTCCAAGCGCGGAGGATCCAGCACAAGCTTCAGCCCTTCGGTCTTGCCATCGGACGCCGGCGCGGGCTCGCCATCTTGAGTGTCGGCTGTCGGCGCAGGCACTCGGACTTGAACGCGAGCATGGGGGTGAGTCTGGCCAGCGGAAGCAGCAGCAAAATGCGAGTCCTGAGGCGGGGCGAAGTGGAAGAGGGGGGCATTCGACTGGTGGGGCGAGAGGTGCTGTGGCTGCAGGTCGGCTATGGCGGGCGGCAGCTGGTCCCTTTGCGAACGAATTGGCCGACCGGGCACAGCATTCAGAAAGGCGGGCTGCTGGAAGAGGACGGCCTCATCTTCGGGATTCACGGAGTAGGAGCCCGAGGCGGCGGCGGCGGCGGCGGCAAAGGCGTGGGCGGCATCGCGGTCGTCTTGGGAGTGCTGGAAAGAGTGCAGGGCGGCGGGCTGTAGAGTGCGCAGCTGAGGCGGCGAGGAGGTGATGTGATGCATGGCTGGAGATCCGTCGCTGCTTTAACGCGATAAGGTAGCCTCAGCGGAGCGGCGGAGCGGAGGGGCTCCCGGATGGCGGCGGCACCGGCGCCGGGCGTACTTTGGCCCGCTGCGGCCCGTTCTGTGGCGGCTTGGAGGCTGCTTTGGTGCTTCCATGTCGCACTCCCGTCGCTCAGGCTTACGCCCACTTCCGCGACGGCACCTGAAAACTCAGCAACGCCACGGAATCCTGTCAACGCCAATCCCCGGCCAGCGGTGAGGTTGAGTGGAGGCCAACAAAGCGACAGACCCTTCTTTTGACACGCACGCCCGGGCCTTTCTCGGGGACACGAGTTGGTGCGAGAAGTCGTGTCGCTGCCCGCCCGCGCCTCCACCCAGATCTGGCCACCACTTCCACCCCATCCGACACTTAATTCTCACCCCCTCTCCACATGGCACTGCTCTCTCCGCCGTCCTCCCATCCCCGTGCAGTACCCGCTCTGGCGAGGCGCAAGCCCAGGCAACAACGAGCCAAGCCGGCTGGCGCTGCTTCCAAGCTCCCGGCCCCCAAGGCCCCACTGCAGACGGCAGTTCCGGCCATCGTCTGTCTGGTCGGGCCAGACACTTCAATCCCGCAACCCTGTTTTTGCCGCTGCATCCCATGGCCTGACTGACAATGTAGCACCACTGCTCGCCGCTTCCGGCAATGTGGGAGCGCCCTCGTTTGTGCGTCCAGAGGCCGCCAGGCACAGAACGTGGCAGTCGCAACAAAGTATGACGGGCTGCCATTTGGCCGGCAGGATTCAAGCCTCAGTGGGCGCAGCCACCACGGATCGCCCGTGCTGTGCTCCTATTATAGCCGCTGACGGCACCGCGTCCAGCCCCATATGCCTGTTTTGCGTTAGCCACCAGATAAGCACCACTCTTCAACATGTCAGAGATGGATTCGCCCATCGAGCTCTCTCGGCCAAACAATGTCTGGCATTTCAATAAAGAGGCTGACACGAGGCTTTCAACAATCTCCACTACATGCGTCACCATTCTTCTGAACTGTCTTTTTATGCGCGCCTGTCCGACGTGTCACTGAACTTGTCGTTTTGTCTTCGTCGTTTCCTGCTTTTCCTGCCCCAGCACAATGCGTGCTCAATCCCTGCAGTACCTGGCTACCGCCACTTTGGCATTGCTGTCCGCCAGCTCGGCCGCCGCAAATGACGAGAGAGCAGTCTTTGCTCACTACATGGTTAGTCAGCCAATGCCCCTGCAGTAGCTCCCAACGCTAACCACTCTTCCCAGGTTGGCGTCATCCACGAGGACCATGTTCATCAAGATGTGGACGACGCAGTCGCCATGGGCTTAGACGGCTTCGCCCTGAACATTGGAGACCCGTCTACCCAATTTACTCGAGATGTGTTCAACAACATGTTCGACTACACCCGTGACAACCACCCGGACTTCAAGCTATTCATCAGCATGGACCTGTGGTCTCAGAACGACACTTTGAACTTCGACGGCTACTTCGTGGACTTTCTCGGCCACGACGCCTACTACAAAGGCCCCAACGGCTATCCGTTCGTGAGCACTTACGGAAACGGGAACTTCTCCAAAGAGAAATGGCAGACCTGGAGGAACCGATTCAGCGACAAGCTCTACTTCGTACCCGACTTCGCCGGCATGATCGGAGAAGGAAACCAAACCGCCGCCTGGTGGGACGAATGGGACGGCGTCATCGACGGCCTCTTCGACTGGGAGTCAGCATGGCCGGAGCGCGGCCTGTCAAACACCCAGAGCATCGCCGCCGACGTCGTCCAGGTAGACTCCACCGCCTCCCAAAACAAGACATACATGATCGGTAAGCCCTCTTCCCTCCCGTTTCCCCCCTACCTCCTCCACTGACACCCAATCCCCCCTCCCTACAGGCATGAGCATGCTCCAATACAAAAACTCCTACGGCGCCAACATCTACCGCGCCGGCGAAGAAAACCTCTCCTGGCGCATCCACAACATCCTCAACATGTCCGCCACCTCCCCCTCCAGCCCGACCTTCGCCCAACTCCTCACCTGGAACGACGGGCCCGAATCCCACTACCTCGGCACCATCTGGCCCGAGATGAACAACGACACCGACCCCTCCCGCTACGCCACCCAATCCGCCGCCCCCCACACCGCCATCCAACCCCTCCTCTCCTCCTTCATCGCCGCCTTCAAATCCACCCTCGGCCCCGCCGACATGCAGCCCCAGGGCCCCGCAAAGGACAAACCCGCCATCGGCGCCCTCTGGTACAAATCCATCCTCGCCAGCACCGCCTGCCCCGACGAACACTCCGGCGAGCTCCACGACGCCAAGCCCGACGGCTACGCCGTCGCCGCCGACGTCGCCGCGTGGGCCGTCGTCGTCGCCGATGACGCCGACGATGCGGCCGAGCTGACGTTGCGCGGCTTCAGCGGCGGCCAGCAGGTCGGAGACGTCGTCGACCTCGTGCCTGGCTTCAATTTTGGCAATTTCAGCGCCCTGCGCGCGGGGAAGCAGTGCATGGAGGTGAGGGATAAGGCGGGGGCGCTGGTTGCGGTGGCGAGGGGCGGGGGGGACGTCAGCGGCGATTGTCCGGATGGGATTTACAACCTTAATCCGCAGGTTGTGGGGTTGTTGGATGAGGAGTTGGAGGAGGGGGGGTGTGTCGAGGATGATGGTGGTGATGATGATGATGATGATGGTAAGGATGACGATGATAGTTGGGGTGTCAGGGGCGTGGCGTTGGATCGCGTCGGCTTGGTGGCGGGGGTGTTGGTGTCGGTCTTGTGGGTGAGTGGGTTGGTGGGGTTGTGAGTGGATGGTGGATGCATCATTCGGGTTTCTTTTTCTTTTTTCTTTTTTTTTCCTTTTTGATGAGACATGACTATACGTTACGGCCGGTTGCACTTTTTTCTTTCCTTTTTCATGTAGACGGAGGGGAAAAGACGTGCTATAGCGGGCATTTGCGTTGGGTTTGCAGATACCCCCCTTGTTTCGGGTTTGACGACTTTCTTTTTTCAACATAGATATGAGAGACTAGACGGATGGGAAATAGACGTAATCCTCATGACACTTACACATGAATCACTACCTCGATGCGAAGATTCTTGATGAGACCGTTTGAACAAGTGGCGCTTCCCGTGTCAGCCTGCAACGTGACACCGCAGTCTCTCATATCCAGACCTGGCGCTATAAGAAGAGGAATCGATCCAGCTGTTTGGCTCTGCCCTGCTTTTAAGGTATCTTTCAGCGTGCTTTGAGGTTATGTGGCATCACCGTATAATGGCCACAGAAATGCAGGATCTACTCACTTTCCTTCCCTGACTCTGTTTATGTGGCCCAACCATTATATATGAGCGCAGTCGCTGAAAGTTATTCAAAGTTCAAGAAAGTTCACTGGTAACTATGTACCTTAGAGATTGGTGGAGGTTATGAATAGATAACTGTGCTGATTTACAACACGATGGTACGGTGACGGACAACATCATTTCAAACGAACAATGAGCGATATCGGAGTGAGGATCCATTGTAAGTAGGGAGCTGAACGTATCGCCGGGGAAAGTCGACAGTGACATGGTCGAATAGATGCCGTTCCGGGGGGATAAGAACACGGTGGAATTCTCCTCAGCTGAGCCTCTCCATTCAGATTGTACTGAGGAGGGTCGCACTGCCGATTAGTTTCGACTTTCAGGCCGGTCAGATAAGCACCTCGACCAGCGGAGTCACCGAGGTATCAGCAGACAGCACACTTGTGGTGCCATCGATGGATCACGAGCACTAGATAGAGTGGAAAGGAGAGTGCAGCTGCCGGTTATAGGTTGATGTGACTTATCGTCGCTGACGCCCCGTGAAAACCATCTCACGCATCAGTCCGAACAGTACTGAGGCGCTTGTATTTAATGGACAACAAACTTCGACTCGGGTTTAGAAAAATGCCTGCTTTGACGATCATCATCGGGTGGCATCCAGCAGTTGTAGTCAGTCGCCTGACTGGCGCTCCGGTATGTTTCTCTTTTCTTTTTCCGGATTCTCAATCATTTCATAAGGGTTCAGCCTTTCGCTTTCACTACTATTCCGTAATAGTGATGTTCCTCACCATAAAGAAATTGCTTCATTCAAAAACGGATAATAATGACATTCATGTAGCGAAAAAGATGCTGAAGTATACCAAGGGCCGCACGTGGCGTGCAAACACTATTGATATCTCATCCTGAACCAGTCAAAAGTTCGCATCTACCCAGTAACCCAGGGTCGATCAATCCCATAATTGAATCACAAGAATAAGATGTAGGGGATGAGAAATGGCGCCTCTGCAAGTGCTACGTAGACAGCTTTAAAGAACCAGCAAAGCCAAGGCACATGATACATGAGGACCAAATTCAAGAGATTCTAGGAAAGACCTACAAAAAAGCACCCAGGCTGTCGCCCCCATAAGCTCATTAAAACCGATCCGCTCATCCGCGTTCCGAAATTGCCCTATGGCAACGAATGCATCATAACCTCGATCAAGGATTTCCATACCGCAACGGTAGACTACGACGCGACTGCCGGGCTGATCACCACCTGAAAAGTGACAAACGAGCTCGCAGATCCATCACTCTGTGCGGAGTCAAGGCCATCATCACCATCACTTCATGATGAAACGCAACACGGAATTGACCGCAAGAAGTGGTCGAGTATACATGTTTCCTCCCTCGGCGCAGCGTTTCGACACAACGACGAAGAGTAGCGCTAGCTGTGCGTTACCGGACCGAGTTTGGGTGCTTTGGATGAAGTGGACTCTGCCGAACATTCCATCCACACCAGCTTTCTCCCGCAAGGGAATAAGAGTTCCAGGAGTCCGGTGGTCCTCAAGCACTCAAGGTCGGCTTTATTAAGCATGACGGCCCGCCCGCCCCCCCACACCCCCCGGATGACCGGCCGGCTCGGAGCGGCCGCACTTGACGGGGAGATGAAGAGAAATGGAAGGAAAAAAAAAAGAAAGCAAAAGTGAAACACACTGGAGATGCTGGGAAGGGTACGGAATAAGCTTAATTGCTTTTCCCGTCCGGTCTGGCTCTGCATGACTTGAGCGCCCAGCAGCGCTAGCCGGATGCGCGGATACGATCGACAAATATATTTCACCGACGGGGGTCAGCGAAACACGGGAAAAGCATCAAGAGTGAGATAAGCTTAAGTGAACCGCATGTTGGAATTTTTTTTTAAACTCTGGAACACTCTATCGAAAGGTAGACTTTTACGAAGGATACAACAAATAAAGACGTGTGACGCTGTTGTTGCAACAAATCAAGAGAAAGGCAGAGACTGCGGGTATCCACGCAGAAAGGACAGACAGATGATCGGTATTACCTACCAAACCCGTGACTAGAAAAAAAAAACAAACGGGAAAAGAGGGAGCGAAAGAAGAAACGCAACTCAACCGGCGGCCTCTCCCCTTCCCCTCCCACACACACACTCACTCACTCCCCATCCACCTCCCCCACCCTCTCGGGCGGCAAATGCGGCAACCGCACCATCCTCGCCGTCTCCTCCCTCGGCGTCATCTTCCGCGGCGTCGGCTCCGGCCTCTGCGGTACTACGGGCCACCCGCCGGGCGCCGTCGCCGCCCTGCTCGACGGCCTCGACGCGCCCCGCGAGACGCTCCCGCTGCGCACGGCACCGCCGCCGCCCGTGGTCGTCGCCGCGCTGCTGGCGAGATACTCGGCATACGCGCTCCCCGGATGCACGTGCGCCGACCTCCCGCCGCCGTCGTCGTCGTCGTAAAACGTGCTGTGCGCGCGGCTCCGACGCGAACTGCTCCCGGGACCGCCGCCGCCGCCGCCGCCGCCGCCGCCGCCGCCTCCGCCGGTGCTGTCGCGCAGCGTGCCGCCGTCCACATAGCGCCCCTCGGGTTCCCGCATGCGATACTGGTGGGGCTGCTGCACCTGCAGCGATTGATCGAGCAGCTTCTCCTGCGCGTACGTCCCGTTCAGGATCCCGAAGCTCGAGCGGCGCCGGTGGTTGGTGCCGTAGGGCGCGTTGATCGTACCCGTGATGTCCTCCTTCTCGACCATGACCACCATCCACACGCCTGGCGCGCCGTCCGACCCGTGCAGAGGCGTGCAGTGGATGTAGCGCGGCTTGCCTTCGATGCTGTTGTTGCGCATGTGTCCGTTGGTCGTGTTGCGGTAGGGCGGCGAGTCGCTGCCGCCGTTTCTGTTGTTGAGGTTGCCGGTTAGCCAGGACACCTTGGCTGTGACGCGTGCGCCTTCGGCGAAGGCGGCTGCGATGCCTTCGCGGACCGAGTGCGGGCCGCCGATGCGGTCGAGGAGGCGGGACTGCGCGAGCCCGGGGATGCGGAGGGCGGCCGAGGTGAAGAGGATGCGGAGGGATGGCCAGGGGCGGACGAGCATGAACTGCGAGGGGAGGTGTCTTGGTTAGCTTGAAGGCTGAAAGCTCGAGGAGCTTCTCACTGACGATAAAGGAGGAGAAGGAATGGATAGTGGCTTACGTTCTGGTAAACGCCTGGAAGTCTCCCATGATGGCCGAATTGCGTCGGTGGCCAGATGTTGATGGCCGTTGGGTCCTCTATACCCACGTATCTCCGGTTCGAAGTAGATTGAAGAGGCGGTGGTCCTGGTGTGCTTGCGCGAGACGACATTGCGGGGTTCCGGCCCTTGAGCTTGAGGACGTCTGCCTCTTCCGTACTTAGTAGCTCGCCGAGGTCACCAAGTGCCTTGAGGGACCCTCTTTGCGAACTCTCATTTTGCCTATGCGGGTCCGCATCCTGGTCAAGCAAGAGTTGAAATGACTCAAGGCCCCTCCCACCCTCAACCAAGTTCGTGACGTCAATTTGGCAGCCGATGAAATATCGAAGCTTGCCCATGTTGTCGTACAGGGGGGCAATCATACATAAATTGAGAAATGGCGTTCCATCACGGCGGCTGTGTTTCACAATCCATATCAGCGATGTGTTCGTAATCTGGCTCGTGAGAAGTAGGCAGAGTGTGGAATCGTGGAAAAGGGTGCAATGCAGATAGCCTTGAATGTGGTGCGCCAGCGTGGAAGCGATGCGTTCCTGAAGAGGCACAATCACGATCGAACCATAAAAGACTGGCCACTTACTAGTTCAACACAGTTTCGCAAGTCTCATGGCCACATCTCATTGCCTCGGCCATGCGCTCTGCGGTTGAAGCTTGGGTCTTCGGTCCTTGAAGAAATCGGCAGTTTCTTCCAATTACATAGTCTCGTCCGTACTGTGTAACCAAGTGGAATTCTGAGCACCATGAGCGATGTGAAGTCTGAGGGTGAAGCTCTTAGGCAAGCATGGGCATGACTTACCCTCTGAAGCGTAGATGACAGGGCTATCCGGTAGAGAAGGGTCTCCCAAACAATAGACTTCGGCAAGTCCCTCAGCTAAATGTTTATTCATCGGTGGGCTGGTTCCAGTGATATCCTTCACCAGAAGTTCCGTGACAAGTTGTGTGAGGCCATGGGTGATGTATGCGGGCAAGGCATCATTGATCAGCTCCTCAAGTGCCCGCTGCGAACGTGCTTCGAATCTGCTGCTCACATGAGCAGCCAAGGCCGTCGCCGACGATCGCTTTTCTGGTGCTGTCATCTCCAATGCAATGGAATTTGCATACTCAATAGCCGCCTTTGCTTTTCGCGTCTCCAGATAGCGGACCAACGTCGGAGCGGATCGAGGGCGGTATTGATTGAGGAACTTGGTGAATTTAGAAAAGGCTGGTTGGTGGCGCAGGATCAGATTGAGGTGGTCAGCGGAGAGAAGCCTATCCGCCAGATGCTCAGCATTGGCGGATGATAGATTTGGAGGTGGCGGCATTAAATCGTAGCCACTACTCTGAGCGCCTGGGGAAGATGCGGCCGACTGTGGTGCCTCGCCATCTTCCTGGCCATCCGCCTGGTCGAATATTGAAGGGATGTTTGCAGAGACGTTCGAAGACATTCCTTCTGTTGGATCGTTGCCGTCAGCCATGTCGAGGACTCGGAAGGATTCGGGCACGAGTTGGGTGGCAGAAAAGGCGGACATGGTGGGGCTGCTGTATCTTGCTGCGAGGGAGTCGTTCCGTTGAAGTGGCTTGTCTACTGGCATCTCTCTCTCGCTTGCCATGCCCATAGGATCCATCAAATATGGCGGGGTGGCTGTTCCTTGTTCGCCCTAGTGACGAAGAGGATGGTATTAACTCGTGCCGGAATTCCCTGGCGGCGGCGGGTGAAAGTCTCTTACAGGCCATGCCAAGAAATGGCTGCGCGGAACGTCATTCGAAGCGTCATTCATCAGTGCAGAGAGCTGCGATTACTGGGACACAAGAGCAAAGCGTGGCGGTTCAACGTGTATGCCTACAGGCGGGCAGAGGCGATACATAGCTGTGCGGCAAGCATGGAAATCAGGCTATAGTCCGAGCCTGGACACGCAGGCTTGACGCCCATATCGCTCACTGCAGTAGTCGGCCCAGCATATGCAGCAATCGGAGCGGTTGCAAGATGGTTAGTTTGTCGGCTGGCTAGGAGGCCCCGGTCATGACCGAGTCCGGAGCTCAGCTTCAAGATAGGCTGCAGGGTGAGATCTCTGCAGGAATGGGCGATCGGGAATGGATCCACAGGCTAGGCCTTGGATCGTGGAGCCGTCTCCGGCACGCACGTTGTCTGCTCCGGATAGCTAGGCGTCCTAACATGATCCTTTCAGCCCGAAGCTGGAGGCGCCACATCGACACTGACGACGTTTACCCAGAAGTTGCCGGATTGCGGGGTGGGACTGTTGCGGTCAACGGCCTTCGGAAAATAGCCAAAAGCAAGGTCAATGACGGTTAGAACCAGCACACGGCAGGAACCCGACGGCTCTGCCGAGTCAGCTGGGGTATGAAGGATGTGCCGCGAGATATGGCGAATCAGATCTGGGCCGGGCTTGCCATGGTAGTTCGGATGGAGGAGAAGTGCGGTAGCGGTGGGACCTAGTTGAGAATGGCGTCACAGGCGGGGGAGGGGTTGACTGCGTAGGAGTTCAACAGCCACGGTATGCCGAGACGTTTCGATTGCTTATCCACTGATCAGGACTCAAGACGACGGACGAGTGCGTGCTGGATACCACGTGGGCCAATTCTCAGGGACGGAGGTGACAGGCCTCTGCGATGACGACTTGCAGTGTGCTGTGACATGTTGCAGAGACGGGTCGAGGGCATCGTGGCGTTGCGAGATAAAACAAGATCGACCGATAGCCGAGCAGCGCATAACGGTATGGCGTCACCGCCGCCTGCTCTGCTCAACATGGATGGTCTTAGCCCAGCCCATGATGCACCTCAGCCCAGCGGAGTCGACCAGAAAGATTTCAACCCTGCGGGCCAGCCGGTTGTCATCTTCATCCACTACGGACGGAATCTGACCGTCCATTGCCCGCTGGACGCTGCATGTCTGTACGGCTCGCACCAAGCAGAGGTCGATGATCGCACCAGCAGACACCGACTGGACACCGCCTTGAACAGGGACTGCTTTTGAGCCTGTCCTCGTCGAACACGCCTCCCGCGGCCGGTAGCGCTCCCCTGATCCAACGAGGCAGCACTCAAGCCCAGGGCAAAGGGTAATTAATCGCCGGAAAAGCGAGCGGCCAGATTGGGTGTCTATCTGAGACGAGGCCAGGGCGGGCTGCTGCGGGAGGCTGAGATGAATCTGTAACGGGTCCGCGCGCACGCTGCCGTGTGGCCCGCGAGCGCAGGCGATCTCAGCCCACAGATGATCTGCGGAGGCGGTGGGTAAGACGGGCAGCGCTGTGTCCGGAGCCACCACGTGGAATCCAGGCACGCAACGCACATTGGCGGACCGGAGCGCAGGGCCAGGCCTGTGGAGAAGATAGCCGTTGGGCGTTGGAGATGAGGGTTGCGGGCGGGCGCAGCAGCTGGGCCGTGGCCCGCCCTTTGCGGCTTGGCCCCTGAGGCCGACTAAGCCGCCCAGCGGAGCGCATCGCGGCCGCCGTGTGCTGCTATCGAATTCTCTACCACGCAAAAATGCCCGCCCGCGTGGCCTCGACCGTGCAGTAGCCCATCTAGCCACAAAGCGCCAGCCGCTCCCATCCGTCTGCCGCCCCGCTGCAGCCCGCATCAAGTCCCCTGCCGTCTGCGTCGCCATGATCCCCCCCAGCTAGGGCATCCCTGATCGCGCCTCTGTCCAACCGTTACACGCTCCACCGCACCGCCATCCACCTTTGCGCCAGCAAGTCATGGTCAGCCTGACCACTTGGGGCGCCATGCCCCAGGTCCCGCCGTCGCCCACGCTTACGAACCCCGACCTCATCTTGCCCGACCTCAGCGACGGCCAGGACTCGACTCCCTCTCCGCGCCTGCGATTCCAGGCCCCGCCCTCGCCCCCGTCGCACCTGCTGCGCCAGAGCTTCCAGCTGGCAAAGGCTCCCCCCGCCCGACGCAGCCGCTCCAATTCGCGCCCGGCCACGGCCATGCGCATGTCGAGCACCGGCTCCGTCCATTTCGACGGCTTTGATAGCGAGGTTGATGGCGACACGACCCCCAAGGGACAGACCAACCAGGAAGACCATGCGCCCCCCCAGGACACGCCGCGCACCAACGTGATGCACAACTGGCAGAGAGACATGGAGCGCAAGGCCCAGGAGCATGCCAGGCTCGGGGACGCTGACAGCGCAAACTACTCGACCAGCCCGGACGGTGCGCACGGAGACAGCGACGGTAGCGGAAGCGCCGATGACAGCGACGGACGCTACAGTAGCTTGCCGTACGTGGCGGACAGCGATGGCGATACGGATAATGAGCAATGGCTGGAAGGCCAGGAGGAATTGGACCTCGAGGCAATTTCCTCCGCTGCCCTGAGCAAGAGAGCGGAAATGATCCTCGCCAACGCCAAGAAAAGGCTCAATGTATGTGCTACGTGACGGAACGCTTGCGCTGTGTTTGCTAACCTTTTCGCAGCTGATGGAAGGCAACCTCAGAGGTGCGCGGCAGTCACTCAATCCGCCACAGCGTCCGCCTTCATACACCTCTTACCACTATTACAAAAGAGCTTCCAGCATCTCGCCCACCCCCAAAGGCTCCGGCCCCATCTACATTCCGCAGGCCAGGCATTCCTCCTTTCACTCTACCTCGAACGGAAGCCTTGGCCATTCGCGTGTGTACAGCGACATATCTGTGTCGTCCGTGGCCTCGCCGCCCAATTCTGTCATCTCGCACAGAGGCCAACCTCCTGAAAAGCGGGCCGTTAGCGCCATGGGACGTTTTAGTGGCCAGTGGTCCCCACACGACTTCAGCCTCGGCAATACCGTGGGCAATCGCGCCAGCGGTTTGCGCGGAGTACGAAGCCAAGAGGTCATCAAGCACCCATGGGTGCCCCCCGAACAGCACAATCACCGTTCGGTTTCGCGGACGTCGAATTATCAGGCATCACCGACGTTGGAAACGCTGCGGGAGGATGAGGGCTACAACAAAACAGGAGCTGATCTGCGGCGCTCGGCCTCCACTACGAGCGATCTGCGGGCACAAATGCACGATCTCAAGGGGAGGATCTCGAGTCTAAAGGAGCGAGCCCGGGAAGAAGACATGAAAAGACGCAGCCTCCAAAACCTTCGAACTCCTAGCCCCTTCACTGCCGCTCCTAGTTGGGATTCTAGTGCCGACCAGTACGCTAACGGCACGCCATCTTCATCAAGTTCCGAGGGCAACGCTTACGCAATGCCCTACGACTCGTCTCCCGCAGAAGCTCGCAACGGATATCATGAGAAGGAGTCCGGAGCCCAACAGGATCAGTACGATGTGGATGAAGACGAATCGAGCGAATCAGGATCTGAAGACACCCGCATCCTGGACGATCGTGGACCGACCGCTACCGAGGACGTTGGGTACGAAGACAACAACAGGGAAGTGGATGGAGAAAGCATTTATGAAGACGCACCCCAAGTCATTGCTGAACGCCATGAGGATCGCGCAGACGCTTTCGACTACGAGCACTTTTTCCTCCACAGCGCCATGGGTACTTACACCCGCGAAAACCGCAGTCAGAGCATCAGTTCCGAGGATTCGGTGGAAACTACCAGGCCGGTGTCGCCTCCTCCGAAAGTACCCGCGTTGCCTGAGTCCGCTCTGTCTCCGCACAGGCGTACACGCAGTCAGGACTCTATTTCCACTGTAGCCACGTTCCAAACTGCCACTGAGGGAAACGGTCCAGGTTCGGATAGTGAATCTGAAGAGAGCAACGAAGCTCTTGACCAATTCACCGAGCAGGCTCTTGGCCATCAACTCCCCCTCAAACCGAGCAGCCAAAGTCTGCGCTCGACCTCAAGCGGCAATAGTCAATTGCGTTCGACTGGAAGTTTTTACAGCCAACACACGTCTTCTAGTGGACAACGCCGGCTGAGATCTGCAGGCAGCTCCATCCATTCGCCAGGCGACTCAACACCGGAGATTCTCGACCCCACCTCGAAGATCATGGCCTCTTTCTTCAGTCAACAGAAGGAGAGAGGCCAGCTGACGCCGCTCAAGCAAAAGGACGAGGATTTGCTATATGCTCTGACGACCAGCATCCAGCAAGTGTGCGCTAGACTCCAGAATGCCCAGGACGACGATTACGAAACAAAAGTTTGGCGACGCAGGCTCGATGCGGCCCGGAAGATCCTCGATGGTGTGTCCCACGAAGACATCTGATCCGCACGTTACCACACGCAAAATAGCCCTCGATTGCAATACCTGTTGATAAAGCCGAACATCTTGCTCATCCGCAAGCAGGCTTTCTTCGTCGTTCATTATTTGATTCTCTTCACTTTTCATTCTACACATTCCAAATTATCTTTGGCCATAAGGGCCCTTTTGTTTTGTACGCTGCTTTAATTTCTCTCACATCGGACTGCTCCGACCAGACTTTTTCCCCCCTTCCAGCTTCGAGACAGAAATATTTTGCTATATTTTCTTGCATTTTTTTCTTCTCTCTCTCTCCCAACATACCCATTCTTCCCTTTTCGGGACCAGTAGAAAGAAAACGAGACCGGGGAGCGGTTTCCGGCGTATTATATTTACATAGGTGCTTGGGCGACCGGCGGGGCGGTCTGCTATTTGTGATATCCCAACTTTATACCCCAGTATGGATTGCGCGTAAGCGGTGGTGTGGTGGTTTAGTTCTTCATTTGACCTTTTACTTTCTTCTTTCTAGCTTTTCTGATGGACGTCGATGCTTAGTTTGCTTGATAATCGAGGATACCTATTCTTGTGTTGAAGCTGTGTTCTTCATATGGATGATGATCGTGTGATGTAGATGTAGTTTGTGGTTGCACAACTGGTGAAGAGTTTTTTCCCCCCTTCGTGTTCGTGTGTTTGTACGACCTGCGGAGGGACGAAAGTACCCCGCGCATATTGACCATCATTGTCTCTCTGATCACACGTGGTTTTCCTGTACGTACGTACAATCCGATTGTCAAGCTTCAACGTCGTTTTCCGCTGCTCCGCCATGACAAGGCAGTCAGATCCCTCCCGCAGGCCCAATCGGACGGGCGAAACCTCTCAAAAGTCTTCGATCCCGGATGACGACACATCATCACTCTGCCCCCAACGGCTAATGGCTGCCTCATGACCGGTCAAGGAAAGGACCGAACGAGAGCGCACTACGAACACACCGAACCAGCGCCGCAGACTCGTCATACATGCGTTGTATGCATTACGATGCGCCATGCACAGGATGCTCGGGAACGACTACTGCACGTCTTCTTTGTTTCTTGGCTGAGCAGCTGGCCTTACGACCCGGGTTGCTCTCATCCAGTAGTTGGGGCTGGAAGGGCATTGACGAGGTGCACTCCAAAACACCAGCACATACCTACATACATACATACATGCGTGGACTTTCGTAGCGGCAAGCAAGCAAGCGAGTCACCGCTAGTTGCAGAGGCTTTGCTCTGCTCTTTTCGCAGCCGGTGTTGGAGTGCAGTAGCAGCGGCGGCAGCAGCAGCAGCAGCAGTCGTCCAAGGTCTACGGATTAGACGGGATCATCCTCGTTGCTCGGCATGGACGAACGATCACCCGGGGCAGTCCGGGCATATGATCCATCCATCGCCAAGTACCTATGTAGTATACTATCCGAACGCAATCCGTACGGGTTTCCGAAACTTGTTTGCCGTAAGCGGGATACCAACCATCGAGATGTGGAGCAGTCCGTCTGATGACTGATGACTGACCGTTACCCTTTTTTCTTCTCTTTTCTTTTTGCTGCCCCGCTTGTCTGCAACCGTCGGACCGCTCATCATCATCATCGCTTTAATTAATCAGTAGTGACGCGCGTGCTTTGTTGCGCGTGCGTGCGTGCGTGCGTGCGTGTGCGGGCGGCGAGCGCGCCGCACCGCGCCGCGCCGCGCCTAGGTAGGTGGTCGCGCTGCCCGGCCGCGCTGGCGCGCCCGGAATCCAGCCCCGATGAGACGGATGGATGGAATGACAAAACCACGCACGCATGTGAGTAGTATGTGTGGTGTGTGTGGTGTGTGTGTGTTCTTCACCGCCAGCCAGCCAGCCAGCTTGCCAGCCGGCCGGCGGGCGGAACCGGGGAAGCAGATACGAAGCGCTGGCTGGATGGACCGGGACGGGGCGGTTGGAGGAAGGGAAGGGAAGGAATGTGGATTTGTTAAGAGACTTGTATCTGTTGACCAGGCTTTTCAATGATTGAGACACGGCAAGAAGCTTTTGTTTTATTATTTGAGGTGGTGGTCGTTGGTTGACAAGCGGCGTGATGGGCCGGAGAAAGCCAGCCAGCTCTGCAGTAGTGACGAGTTGATGGCTTGCTGATGGAGGGGGGAAGGCGCTAAGGCAGTGGAGGGGCAGAGAGGGCGCTCGGGGCGGCAGTGCAGGGTTGGCCTGGATGGGGGACTCGGATCGCTTCATCTCGTGCGCGTGGCGGGTTGGGTTGGGGTAGCGATGAGGACAAAAATGCGGTGAGGAAAAGATGGCTTGAGCGATCGTGGCAGGCGGACGGGCGAGTCGGGTCATCGTGGGGCCTGGCAGGACGGGATCGACCAACAGCAGTCGTCGCGTGGACGGGTCGACAAGTCGGAGGCTTTTTTTCAGGGTGCCAGAGCCGCTGCCAGGCCTGGCGCTGTGAGCGGTCGGATGCGGTCCTGCAGCAGCGGGGCTGCGCGTGTGTGTGGCATGCGTGCATGAGACGGGCGGCACGCATTTCGCAGCGAGTTGCTCGGGGTGGTGGCAGCTGGCCCAGCAGAAGCCGGCGATTACGCAGGAAAAAGGTGGCTCGCAGCAGGCTGCACATCTTTACCTCGCCAAACACGCCAGGTCCCTGCCCGGCGGCTGGTGGTGGTTCTGTTTTCTCTTTGCCCACGGCGCGCGCAATCCTCGTTTGCCTATCGATACATACCCGCGTGTCCCTCGAGCATTATTTGCCCATCCCGCCCGGCGGCCGAGCGTTTTCCTTCCCTAGAGCGTCTGCACACCCACCTGCACGTTCGACACTGCGTTGGAGCACGGGCACGCCGCCTATCGCGGAAGATTGGCCGGGAGAATCCCCATCACGTCGCAGTGGCTGGGATCGACCGGCTCAGCCAAGCGCTTTGGCAGGTCGTTGGCCGGCAACCTTGTGACTCGCCAGTCCAACCATCACCGTCGCCGCTCCCTTCGCCCTTGCTGTCGTGCAGAAAAAAGGGATTGCTTTGCGTAACCCCTTCGCCGCGCGCCTCATCGGTGCGGGAGTAAGCAGCCTCAAACTGCCTCTACCCAACGAGCAGGACAACGAGAAAAGCTGAGGCGCCCGACCAAACGCCCGGCCGACACATTTCGTCTCTTGTCTGGCTCGCCCCACGCTTCTCAGCTTATCCTTGGGATCTTGTTTTCTCCCTGCTACCGGCTGGCTGTCTACTATTTTTTTTTGGTCCTTCTGCCTAACTCATCTCCTTGCGCACCTTGCATACCTCGGAGCATCCGCCAGGCGTGTTGCGCATACCAAAGGTTAATTAATCCCGCGTTGGGTTGGAGTGGCTCTAACGAGCAGATCCACACCGTGAGATACTTCTTGCCGCGACCGCCGCGTGAGTTCCACATCTCCGGCGGTTGCACACAACAGTAGTTGCGGTCTCACACCCACCCGCACGCACACTCCGCCGCCGACCAAAACCGGAACGGGACACGCTTTCTTGGCTCAGACGTGCCCCGACGCCTCAACCTCGACCAGCAGTGTCTCCCAAAGCTTTTGTGTCTGGCAGAACATGGCCACGGCCGCTGTTATCCTACCCGCCGCGGCACCGCCGCCGCCGTCGTCACCGCCCTTTGCTGCGCTCTTTGGCGAGCCGCTGCCACCGAGACGAAGAGAGCCGCAGTCGTCGCGCCGACTGCGAAGGCCGCATCAGCAGCGCGCAGACATAAACTCCATCCCCAGCCTCGAAGAGCTGCAATGGCGCCTCGATCAGGTGTTCAGCTCCCTAGCCACGGCGCTCGCGCAGCAGCAGCAGCAGCAGCAGCAGCAGCAGCAGGAGGAGGAGGACTCAACGATGGCGACGAGCTGGCGCGAGGACGAGCCGACCTCCGAGGGGCGCGGAACGGCTGCGCGTGACGGGCAGTTTCTTCTTCCCTCGCCCCCTCCAGCCTACGATGACACGCTCGACGACGCGCCGCCCGATTACACTTCGACCGACGCGCTGGCCACCGCCGCACAGATCGCCGAGGTGACCGCCGCTGCCCCCCCTCCACCGCTTCCGCCGTACGGGCCCCCCAGCGCCCCTCTGCACCCGTTGTCGATCGAGTTGCTCGAGAAGGAAGGATGTCGTCGTCTCGGTGCGCCGAGGGTCGACTGGTCGAAGGTGGACAACGTGCGCGAGCACAAGAAGAAGAAGAAGCCGGCGCACAAGACGCAGGTGGCCTCCTGGGCGCAAAGCGACGACGAGGGCGACAAGAAGAAGGACGAAGGCGGCGGGGACAACGACGGCGGAGGCGGAAACGAAGGCGGCGGAGATGCGGGAGGAGGTGGCGGGGGCGACGACAATGGCAATAACGGCGACGACGGAGACGACTGGAATGATGCCGGCGGCAAGAAGAACAAGAAGAAGAAGAAGGGCAAGAACGCCGCCGATGAAGAGGAAGAGGAGAAGAGGGCTGAAGAAGAGGAAGAAGAGGCCGAGGCCGCCGCGGCGCCTGCTGCCACCGGCTCGGCGTTCGACGCTCTTATGACAGAGCCTACGGAAGACGATGCCCCAGATGCGAATCCAGACGATGAATGGGGAGGGTTCACGCCCGCCACCTCCAAGAAGAAGAAAAAGAAGGGCAAGGTAAGTCGTTCTATCTGGACCCCTCCCTCTACGGCGCCATTCCCGGCGCTTCCGCACGTGGGTTTTGGCCGGGGAAATAACGCGGCGGTTTCGCGCTAAGATAGCTTACCAAGATGTGGCAACAGAACGCTGACCCTGAACCCGTCCCTCCGCCACCTCCTCCCGCACCTGCTGCTCCTGACAATGCTGCCGGCGGCATGAACTTCGACAGCGTCGATCTGGACGGGGGCGCAGATGCCCCGAAGATCGACCTCAGTTTTGGCGGTGCCGACCCCAAGGCCGGTTCTGGCTTTGGAGGCACAAGCTTCAACTGGGGCTCGACCAGTTGGGGATTCTCGGCTCCGGACAAGAAAGACGACGCCGCTGCGGACGAGGCTGCGGACGCCAACAATGCGTGGAACTTTGGTGGGGGCTCGAAGAAGACTGACGACGGCTTCAACTTCGGCTTCGGTGCGACAGAGGGGAAAAAGGAGGAAGACGACTGGGGCTGGGGCACGGCAACGACCAAGAAGGATAAGAAAAAGAAGAAGGGAGGGTTTGACCTTCTTGACGACCAACCGCCGCCGCCGCCGCCGCCGCCGCCCGAGCCTCCTGCTGCCACCGAAGCTATGGCGGACGACCTCTGGGGATTCGGGAAGAAGGACAAGAAGAAGAAAAAGGGCAAAGCCGACGCTGAGCCCGAACCTGAGCCCGAACCTGAGCCTGAACCCGTCATTGTTGTCCCCGAACCCGAGCCTGAAGTTGCAGCCCCTGCTGAAGTTGCACCGGAGGACGACTGGGGCGGATGGGGAGCGGCCACTTCGAAGAAAGATAAGAAAAAGAAGAAGGGCAAGAATGTGGATCCCGAGCCCGAGCCCATCGTCGAAGTCCCGCCGCCGCCGCCGCCACCACCGCCGCCCGAGCCCATGCCGGCTGCCGAAGACGATTGGGGCGGATGGGGAACGACTAGTTCGAAGAAGGACAAGAAGAAGAAGAAGGGCAAGGCCGATCCCGATCCACAGCCAGAGGAGCCCGCCGTTGTCATTGTTCCTGATGATGATATTGCGGCGCCTTCTGCGGCGGCTGAGGTGGCGCCAGAAGACGATTGGAGTGGTTGGGGAACCAAGAAGGACAAGAAAAAGAAGAAGGGAGCCACGGCTGTCGACGATTTCCCATCACCTCCTCCGCCGCCGCCAGTGGTAGTTGTTCCCGAGGCGGCGCCAGAGGAGAATGATTGGAGCTTTTCGTGGGGGAACAACTCAAAGGATAAGAAAAAGAAAAAGAAAGGTGTGTTGGCAGCAATCGAACCTCCCCCTCCTCCGCCCGTGCCCGAGCCACCTGCCGCCGAAGTCCAACAGCCAGACTCTGTTGATGAACCGAAGGCTGAAGGTGACGATGCTTGGGGCTGGGGAACTGGCAAGAAAGACAAGCCGAAGAAAGAGTCGCAGAATGGTCCGGTTGAAGTTACTGGTGATGACCCAACAGCGACTGTCCAGCAGCCCGACGGCATCACCGAGGGCGGTGCCGCCGAGGACGTGGGATGGGGCACCGGGTGGAGCACAGGCAAGAAGGACAAGAAAAAGAAGAAGGGCGCCGCCGGCAAGGCGGCGTTCGACTTCCCGCCGGCGCCTACTCCTCCTCCAGAGGAAGCGATGCCCTTGGCAATCGAAGCCCCGCCTCCGCCTCCCCCTCCCGCACCCCTCGCGATCGAGGCACCGCCTGCGGTCGATGATTCCGCGTGGGCTACTGCGACCACGGGCAAGAAAGGGAAAAAGGGCAAGAAGAGTAAGCTGACTGAAGAAGGCACCGCACAATCGCCACCCCCCGTAGAAATCGTCAACTTCGAGGCCGAGGGCCACCCCGACGACATCATGGAGATCATCGACGAAGGCGCACCGCCCGGGGACGAGGGCCATCCCGACGACATCGTCCAGATCATCGACGAAGGCGCGCCGCCCGAGGACGAGGGCCATCCTGACGATATAGTGCAGATCATCGACGAAGCCGCGCCGCCCGAACCCGAACCCGAGCCCGAAAAGAAAGAGAAGAAGGAGGCGAAGAGCTCTTCGGGATGGGGCAGTCTGTGGGGCTCGGGCTCGAGCGCCACGGACAAGAAGAAGACCAAGAAGGAGCTGGAGAAGGAGAAGAAAGAGAAGGAAAAGCAGGAGAAGAAGGAGGCCAAGGAAGCCAGGGAGCGGGAGGAAAAGGAGCGACTCGAGAAGGAGGAAGCCGAGCGTGCTGCGGCGCAGGAGGCTGAGGAGCTCGCCGCTGCCGAGGCTGAAGCTGAAGCTGCCGCGAAAGCTGCGGAGGAGGCTGAAGCTGAAGCTGCTGCAAAAGCTGCGGAAGAGGCTGAGGCTGCTGCGAAAGCTGCGGAGCCGGATCCAAATGAAATCGTCGAGATCGTGGACGAGGCGCCACCGTCCAAGAAGGACAAGAAGAAAAAGAAGAAGGGCAAGGCTGTTGAAGAAGCGCCTCCTCCGCCTCCTCCACCACCCCCTCCACCTGAAGAGCCACTCCCGGAGCCCGAACCTGAGCCTGTGCCTGAGGCATTGCCCGAGCCCGAGATCGTTCCCGACCCCACACCCGCGGCAACAAGCACGTGGGGTGGCTTTTGGGGCGTCTCACTCAAGAAAACCAAAAGCCCGGTCGCAAAGGACCTCGTGGAACACAACGCTATCCCGCATGAGGAAGCGGCAGCTGACCCCGCGGTTGTCGAGGCTGAGATCCCACCACCGCTGCGTGAGCCGTCGCCTCCGCCCTCTGGAAAATTGAAAAAGACGAAGAAGGGCGGAAAAGTGAGCGATCGCCTCAAGGCGTTCGAAGCGCTCGAGGAGCCGCAGTCTCCGCCCCCCGTACCCGATTTTCCTGTCGAGCCTGAGCCACCAGTCGTCGTCGAACAGCCCGAACCCGAAGTGTTGCCTGTTGACGCGCCTGCGGAGGAGGTTGCGCCACCACCGCCGCCACCTGTCGAGATCGTCGAACCCGCGCCCTCTTCTCATAAAAAGTCTTCCAAGGACAAAAAGGCGGACAAGAAATCTTCGAAGTCGAAGAAGAGCAGCAGCAAAGAAAAAGAACCCGAGCCTGCACCTCCGCCTATTCCTGAACCTGTGGTGGTCCCGGAGCCTGACCCTGTCGTCCACGTTCCTGACGTTCACTCGCCAGTCCCCGGCAGCTTCCCTGAAGACGACGACGAACCACTGTTTGAGCTTGTGTCTCCACCGCCTCCTCCCCCTCCACCACCTGCGCCTGTTGAACCCGAGCCAGCGCCTGTTGTAGAGGAGTTGCCGCCGCCGCCGCCACCACCACCGAGCGAGAAGAAGAGTAGCAAAAAGGATAAGGACAAGGACAAGAAGAAGAGCAAAAGCAAAAGCAGCGCGGCGAGGCCGAGCTTCTTCGGGGAGATCGTCAATATGGATGCGCCAGAGCCTCCGCCGATGCCCGAGCCTCCGATGCCCGAACCACCTTCTATGCCTGAAGAACCTATGCCCGAAGCGCCTATGCCCGAACCTCCACTTGTCGATATCGTGCCCAATGCGCCGCCGGGTGATGAGCCTATACAACCTCCTACTCCTCCGCCGGAACCCGCTGCACCTGAACCTCGAAAGGAGCGCCCGAAGGTCGTGCGTGACAAGAACGGTGCGAGCGCTTGGGGGTTCTGGGGCGTAGCACCAACAGCCAAAGATACACACAAGAAGACACGCGACAATGGTACAAAGGAGAGACCTGGACTGGTGCGGTCCAAGTCTGAGCGACACTCGTCCCGGCGCGATCGCGAGAAGGATAGAGAGCGGGACGAAGGCAAAGACTCGAAATCATCTGGCTCAGGCGAGCACGTTTCGAAGACACCCTCGAGGCCGCGGCCACCGCGCGGCTCAAGTTTCGGTGGACTATTCGGTATGGCTGCTGCGCCGCCTTCGAGATCGAAGTCGATGCGCGACCCCAGGACACCCAAGTCGCATTCGCGTCATCCTTCGGTCGAAAGGGATGGTGGGTTGATGTCGCCACCGTCCGAAGATGACGCGGGCCATTTCTCATCAAAGGCCGCTAAGCTTATGGGCATGGATACGGGTGAGCGAGGGCGTGACAGAACTACTCGACGTCACACCACGAGGGAGCACCGCAAAGCAAGAGCAGCGCCCGATCCTTACCCCATCGATGACGATGACTTGGTCATGGTGGAGGGAGCGGACGCTCCAGCTCCCGGGTCTGATCCATCAAGACGGCGCAAGTACAAGTCGCGCAGCGTTGACCCTGCAATGGACGAAGATCCAGTCATTGTGGACGCTGCCGCCGCCGTCCCTGACGAGGCGCCCGAGGTCGTGACTGGTCCTGATGACATGGCGTTCGTAGAGAAACCAAGGCGCTCGGGGACCAGACGCGAGAGACGCGAGCATCCCGAAAGCCCGCCGAAGAAGACGGGACTCATGGGCATGTTCGGACTCGGCTCGAAGAAGAAAGACGTCGCTTCCGACTTCGAAGAACGCCGTCACCGCAGCGCCCGCACCGGCGACGAGGAGCGCAGGCGCAAGCGATCTTCGGCGCGCAACGCGGACGAAGACTACGCAAAGCGCCTGCGTCGGGAAAGCCGCAAAATCCGCTCACGCCACCCGTCCGACGACGGCGCTCCAGACCCCCCGGCCGACGCGATCGTCGACGACGCCATGCCGCCGATGAACGGCACTCCCCCCATCGACGCCGAAGACGCAGAGCGCGAGGCCAGGAGGGCGGAGAGACGCGCCAAGCGGGCGGAGCGCGAGGCCCGCGACATCGAAGAAGAGGAGGCCAAGGCGGCGCGTCGTCGCGAACGCAAACGCGCCGGAGACAAGCACGAGGAGCGCAAGCTCCGCGAGCGCGACGCCAAGGCCAACCGCCTGCGGGAAGAGCGCGAGCGCGAGGAGAGAAAGGCCGAGGAGAAGCGCCAGCGCCGTGCCGAGAGGGAGGCGCGCAAGGCCGCGGAGGAGCAGGACCTCGAGGCCAAGGAAGCCGAGCGTGCCGAACGTCGTGCGCGCCGCCGGGAGCGTGGGCGCGAGAGAGATGCTGGTGGTGGTGACGTTGAGCCGCCGCCGCCTCGTCGCCACAGCTCCCACCATCGCTCTCACAAGCCCACCGCCGCCGCCGGAGGCGGCGACGACGACTACGAGCGTCGCCGCAAACACGAGGAGCGCAAAGCCGCTCGCCGCGCCGGCGGCGGAAAACCGTCACGCTCGCGTGGTGAGCAGCCTCCTCCTCCTCATCATCCTCATCCTCCACCCCCAGGCGCCGCTGACTTCGACCTGGACGATCCGGCCGCTTCTCCCCTCCCTCCCCATCCCCATCCCGCTCCCCCTCCCCCTCCCCCTGCTGCCTACCCTTCGCACTCCAACCACGGCAGCGACAAGACGCGCTCCTGGGTCGACCAGATCACGGCCGAGCCGCCGCTCCCGCCCCCCGTCGAAGGCACCATCCTCGACCCGCCGGCGGACCCGGCAGCCGCCGCGGCCGCGCCGTTCATCGACCCCGTCGAGGAAGAAGCGCGGAGGGAGCGCAGGAGCCGCGCGAAGCGGGACTCGAAGATGATGATGATGGCGGATGACGACGGTGGCGATAGGAGGGGGGGGAGGCGGCGGCGTGGCGGCGGGGAGAAGGAAGGGGTGAGGAGCAGTGATGGGAGTGGCGATGGTGAGCGTAGGAGGCGGAAGGCGCCGACGACGAAGGAGGGGGGGTTGTTTGGCGAGAGCGGCGACCCGTTGGCGGCGGGGATGAGGACGTGGGACGGGCGGCCGGTGGAGAGGGAGAGGCCGAGGCAGGAGAGGAGGGGGAGCAGTTGGTTGAAGAATTTGAAGACGGTGTTTTGAGGGCGGGGTTATGACTGACTTTTCTTTTCTTTTCTTTTCCATGGGAGCATATGGATGGATGCATGGATGGATGCATGGGGTGGGGTTTAGGGTTTTTGCACGGTTAGCGAGCGAGCGAGCGAGCGGAAACGAGAGCATGTTGGTTTTTCTTTTTGAATCTTCAGCTTCTCTTTTGGTTTGCTTCTTTCTTCTCCTGCGGGCCGGTTCTTTTTTTTCCCCCTCAGGACTTGCCGGTCAGGGGACGGTGTGGGCCTGGTGGGCAACGAATCTTTACGACCGGGACGATGGATGGAGAGGTGCTGAGAACAAGCAAGCCAATGGTTCTGCTTGCTCGGTTCTTCATCTCCTTCTTTGCGGGGATAACGGTCATCATGGGCGCGTTTTTATGACGAGACGATATGATGATACCCTGGAACGATATGTACGCATGTAGCTATTAGCTCGGTTTTCCCGAAAGTGATACAATGAGAATGGACCAAGCAAGGCTTCCTTCCAACTTTCTTTTGCCATGTGCCCTAGATGGATGGCCATCATCTAGTCTGCTGCAGCGCGGTAGCGTGTTTGCCTGAGGCATTCGTCTAGGCGGGGGGTCAGTGCTTCTTCCCTTTCGCGCGCTCGGCCGGAGAAAATGGCGGAAGTGACGCGCGCAGCCGACTCTCACTCTTGGAGAGAGCTCTCTTGCCAACGACCTCAACAACCGCGCCTCCTCCACCCTCTCTCTCCGCCATCACCACCAATCCCCCCTCCCTTCCTTTCTCCCTCCTTCCCTCCTCTGTCATCCCACCGCGCAAAGGAGAAACCCAATCGCCATGGCTCCCGCCGCCTCCGCACCGGGCGTGGCTCGCGTCGCCATGCTGCGCGCCGCCGCCGCCGCTCGCCCGCAACCTCCGCCACGCGCCCTCCTCGCCGCCGCCTCCCCCGCCGCCAGCGCGTCTCGAACCTTCACGAACTTCCCGCAATCCTCCAACTCCCTCTCAGGCAACCACTCTTCGTCGTCGTCGTCCTCCTCCTCGCCGCCCAGCATCTTCGGCCTCCCCAGCCCCGGCGGCAGCCCGACGTCGTACTTCCAGCGGGCGCCGGCGCTGCCGGCCAACACGATCGTGCGGTTCGTGCCGCAGCAGACGGCGTGGATCGTGGAGCGCATGGGCAAGTTCAACCGGATACTGCAGCCCGGGCTGGCGGTGCTGATCCCGTTCCTGGACCGCATCGCGTACGTCAAGAGCTTGAAGGAGGCGGCGATTGAGATTCCGAGCCAGAGCGCCATCACGGCGGACAACGTGACGTTGGAGCTGGACGGGGTGTTGTATACGCGGGTGTTTGATGCGTATAAGGCTAGGTGAGTTGGGTTTTTTTTTTTGTCCCTCTTCTTCTTCTCTCTTTTTTTCTTTTTGGGAGAGAGAAAGAGGTGGGGGGAGGGGGAAAGTGGTGGGATCTTTTGGGTTAACGGGAGTCCCTCCATTTTTTGGAGGGGGGATTTTACAGTTACGGAGTCGAGGACGCCGAGTACGCCATCTCGCAGCTGGCGCAGACGACGATGCGGTCGGAGATCGGGCAGCTGACGCTGGACCACGTGCTGAAGGAGCGCGCGAACCTGAACGCCAACATCACGGCGGCCATCAACGAGGCGGCGCAGGACTGGGGCGTGACGTGCCTGCGGTACGAGATCCGCGACATCCACGCGCCGGGCCCGGTGGTCGAGGCCATGCACCGGCAGGTCACGGCGGAGCGCAGCAAGCGCGCCGAGATCCTCGAGTCGGAGGGCCAGCGCCAGAGCGCCATCAACATCGCCGAGGGCCGCAAGCAGAGCGTCATCCTCGCGTCCGAGGCGCTGCGGTCCGAGCAGATCAACATGGCGAGCGGAGAGGCCGAGGCGATCCTGCTCAAGGCCAAGGCCACGGCCGCCGGCATCGACGCGGTGGCCCGGTCCGTCGAGCTGGGCGGGCGCAACGCGCAGAGCGCCGTCAGCCTCAGGGTCGCGGAGCAGTACGTCGACGCCTTCGCCAAGCTGGCCAAGGAGGGCACGTCGGTCGTCGTGCCGGGCAATGTGGGCGACATTGGCGGCATGATCGCCACGGCCATGTCGGTGTACGGCAAGGTTTCGGAGGGCCAGGCGAGGAACACGGCGGCCAGGATGCTGGGCGCCGGTGGTGAGGGCAACAACAACAAGCAGCAGCAACAGCAGCACGACTCGGCTGGCTCGCAGCGCGCGAGGGAGGTCGAGAGGGAGGCGCAGGAGCTTGGGGAGCAGGCGGATGATGTGCAGAGGAGTGTGTTGGAGAGCTTCGAGAACACGACGCAGAAGAGATAGGATTTTTTTTTCTCCCCATCCCCTCCGAGGGGAATAGGGATATTGTGGTGAGGGAGGATGGGAGTGGGGGGTTTATTGTAAGCTTTGAGAGAAGGGCTTTTTTCTCTACTCAGGAGAGAGTGGACCCCAGTTAGGAACATGGGATATCACGGCTATGAGGGTTGAGTGTGGCGGATTTCCCCCTGCTTCTGGGGGTATTCTTCACACGTTAAAAAAAGCACAGTGGTGGGTGAATGGATGGGATGGACGGGAATCTCTCTCTCACACACCACACACCACACATTAAGTCAGCATGGCGTTACGAAAAAGGAGTCGTTACGAGTGTATAGCATAAGGGTGACTCTTCAATATTTGTTTTTCTTTTGGTTTCCTTTCTTGCTTGGGGTCCTAAACGCTACTCTGTCTTACACACTCATGGATACGGACGGACGAATAGGGGGGAAAGGCTTGCCGGAATGAAGTCATCTGGTCTTGGATTGGGCAGTGGCTATGTGTTTCGCGTCTAGTTAGGCGGCGGCGGTGGCATGATAAGGTTAGGGTGAGTGGTGGTGTTCTTGCAGGACCGCGTGATGTCGGGCGAATTGGAAGCAAAGCCCATGTTACGCGCGGTTGCCGATCTCAGAGTTGCATATGGGCTGGGTGCAGGCTTGCTGTAAGTGGGTCGGGCGCAATTGCGGGGGGACTGCGGACTCTTGTGCGCGGGCGCGGCTAGGCGCGAAAGGCTCTGCTGGGGGCGGAAAGAAAGTGATCAGTAATAAGGGTCGTTTTCCCTCACGAATTGGGGAAGGAGCCGGGGCGGGCGGGCGGACATTAATCACTTTAGCACGGAGGCTAGGCACAGTGGCAGCTGCACGTCGGTGGAGTTTGGTCTTTTCTTCGCCCACGCAGGCCCACGCAGGCGGCAGGATCCACCTGTGCTGCTCACTTGCCCTGATTGTCGTTGCGCGCGCGTGCCTGCCGGAGCCCGGGAAACAGGGACCAGCCACCGTGATTTATTAAAGAACCCGAGTCCACGTCTTCGCCCCCCCGAGAGCAACCGTGCAGCGGAGGGAGGCGAGGCGGCATTTGACCGGTTGGCTTTTCGTGTCCGTACTTATTCCTGCTCCGCCGCCCTGCAGATTCGAAGCCCGTGACCCGGGAAAGAAGAAGAAAAAAAAAGAGACCGAAGCGGATACGGAGGCGGACACGGCTGCGCGAGGAAGATATCAAAAGAGCAGGGACAGAGGACATATAATGGTCGACGTGTACGACGTCCGCCGGAGGTGCGCCCAAGCCGCCGCGCTCGCCGATGCCGCAACCCAGGCACTGCCGCGCCCTCAGCAGCAGCAGCAGCAGCAGTTCCAGCAGCAGTTCCAGCAGCAGCAGCGCCTGCACCGCTCCACGTCGGCACCGCAGCAGTACCAGGTCCACCCGTCGCCGCTGCTGCAGGCCCAGCAGCAGCCCGCGCCACAGCGCTCGCCGCCCCAGCCACAGGGCCAGCACCAGCAGTACAGCTACCAGCAGCACCAGCAGCACCGCGCCAACCTGCTGCGCTCCAACAGCATCAACAACGGCAGCAGCGCCAGCCTCAACAACCTCAGCTCCAGCCCCAACACCCACAACAACATGGCCACCAACCCGGCCACCGCCTACGTCAACGGCGCCTTCTCGACTCCGCTCCGCGCCGACAACACGTTCCTCAAGATGAACAACGCCACCCAGAGCTACCCGCTGCACATCAAGGGCGTGCCCTACGCCACCACCTCGCGCCTGCAGACCCTGGACATTTGCCTGCCCCGTCCGCTGAGCGAGAGCCCCAAGGATGCCGTTTGGGTAGTGTGAGTGCTTCTCCTTTTTTTTTTCCGTGCATTTTCTTTGCACTCTTCTTTTTTGGGGGCTGGGGCTGGGGCGGTGCTCTTCAGCCTTGCACGGAGGTTTTTTTTTTGTCGGTGCTGCCTGGGTGCCTCGCCGCTCCGTTTCCGCTCCCGCTCCCGCTTCCGTGCAGCTCCAAGCCCTGAATAATCCAGCCTTCGACGTGAATCCACACAAAATCAGCACCAACTGACCCTTCTCCCAGCTACATCCACGGCGGCGCCTGGCGCGACCCCCTCGTCAGCTCGTCCTCCCTAACCCCAGCAGTCCACCACCTCCTCTCCCCCACCCCCATCCCCGCCACCACCTCCCCCTCGGCCATCTCCTCCCCCGCCGGCAGCAACCGCAACAGCACCAGCAGCAGCAACGGCGGCCACAGCACCACCGGCGCCGGCGGCCACCACCACAGCAGCAGCACGAGCAGCAACGCCGGCGGCGGCGGCAACAGCACCACCACCAACAGCCCCAAACGCGCCCTTTCCCACATCGCCGGCTTCGCCTCCATCAACTACCGCCTCAGCCCCTACCCGCAACACCCCACCGCCCCCTCCCTCTCCCCGACCTCCAGCATCCCCGCCCGCCACGAAGGCCGCAACGTCACGCACCCCTCGCACGTCTCGGACGCGGCCGCCGCCCTCCGCTGGCTCCGCTCCGAATACGGCGTCGGCGGCGAGTCGGGTCCCGACGGGCCCCCCGCGCGCGACTGGGTCGCCGTCGGCCACTCGTGCGGCGCGACGCTGGCGTGCCAGCTCGTGGCCGACGGCTGGCTCGACGGCAGCGAGTTCGACAAGGTGGCGGCGCCCGTCGGCGTCGCGGCCCTGTGCGGCCTCTACAACCTGCCGCTCCTCGCCGAGAACCACGCCGACTGCCCCGCCTACGAGGAGTTTCTGCAGGCGGCCTTCGGCGGCGACGAGAGCGTCTGGCTGCGCGCCAGCCCGACGGCGCTGGCGGCGAAGCTCGGCGAGGATCGTTGGCGCAAAGGGAGGTGTGTGGTCCTCGCCGCCAGCCCGGACGACGAGCTCGTCGAGCCGATGCAGAGGGACGTCATGGTCAGGGCGATGGAGGAGGGCGGCTGGGTGAGGAGGGAGGAGGGCGGCGGGCCGGATGGCAGGGAGCTGGTCTTGTTGGACGTCGAGGGCAGGCATGACGATGCGTGGAGGGAGGGCAGGGGCGTGGCGAGGGCGATTGAGGTCTTGGTCGGTCGGCTGTTTGGGGCTGCGGGGCGGAAGGAGGGGGAGTTTTTCTAAGGATCGGTCGGTCGTCATGAGATATGAGATATGTTATGTATGTACATACACACACGCACGCACACACGGTCGTGTGATAGATTGAGAGGTCGACACGGGACTTCCTCCTTTGGCCTTTTTTTTTCTTTCTTTCTTAAAAGACACGCTTTGATCGAGCGTGGAGATTGTTCGACATTGCATTTTTCAATCACTCCCTTTTTCCACGACACGCAGTAGACCTATACTGCCTGCCTGCCCCCGGCTGTGCGTCTGGCCCTAACCATACTCCCTCCTCGCTTTCTCCCATCTCTCCGCCCGCGCTCTGCTGCTAATCGTCGCTTCGTTCATTATTCTCCACCAATTCTATGCCAGTGATGTAGATCAGCATCGTCTTTCTTATTTCACTCCCTCCACAAGACGGAGACGCCGCTGAGCTGCAGCAGATCGAGCACCACCATCAGGGACATACATACAATTGTCGATGAAGCGTGGGGAGGGGAGAGAACAGCGCGCGGGGGCAGAATTTCTCCAGGAGTGAGTCGAAAGGCCGGGGCTGCGTCACTCCTTTCATGGCCTCTTCTCTTGCGCGTTCCTTCCTCTGGCGATCAATCGCGGTGAGCTTTGTTGTGACTGTCGCCGCCGCCGCAAATGAGACGTACCGCGCGATCGCCTCGCTCTCGAACGTTGCGGTTCGGTGGGGGATTGGTGGTGTACTGCAGCATGTCATCATTCAAAAGAGATGCTGCTGCAGGTCGTCATCTTCCGCGTCAAACTCGAGCGGTCTTGGGAGAGGAGAGGATTCGTTTTCGTGTAGCACTGCTTCGGGCTCGGAAGCCGAGCCATTTTTCTCTCTTTGGTTCCATGAGAAGACTGCCAGTCAGCATCTTCTTGTCATCCATCCGCAACTAGACGGGCAAAGGCAGCTTGTAAGCGAACAGATAGACCGGGGCCGGCATGGAAGCCTCCAGTTTCGGCGAGCAAGCGCGTGCCGGCACAGGAGTACTGGCTATTTACGTGTACCTTATGCGTCAATCGCGAGGAGCGAGGGATACCTGCGCCTGCACACGTGGGCTTCGGTCGCTGGATGATGTTTGTCAGCGTAGTGGTCATTCGAGACGTTCATGTGGACTTGTGTCTCAGTGGCTATGGTTGGGGGCACTGACAGTTCAGCTGCTAGCTGCTCAAGTGTACTGCAAGTGCGGTTCTGACGTCCTATATATAAAGGGTATCAAGGCAGTAGTGTAGTGGAGTGTGAGCATCGAAGTCTTTCGGATTAAGCTTTTGCTTATCACAAGCAAATGACACTTGTGCTTTGTGTGTGCCCCTGCCCGCAACTGTCTCGAAGAGCAGTTCGGAGGGGTCTCAGAGACGGCTTTAGTGGTCTCAAACTGTTACGATCAGTGTTGATTGAAATTGATGATGATCCGCTCCTTTCCATGTTGAACTGCATCATTGATGATCGAAATTGCTATGAGTTGAACAATCCAACCCAGCCGTGGATGATGACCTGTTGGTACGTACAAAAGCCAGCGCAGTGTAATCAACGCAGAAGTAGGAAGACCAGTGTTCGACATGAGCTCCAAGTGTTACGGTCCTGATACCAGGCCGAGCACAAAAGACAATGAAATGTTGAAAAGTGCAGTATATATGAAGTACTCTTACGAAGAAGACAACAATCATGCACGTGAAGAATGTGACGGAGAAGGGTGAAACAGCTGACCGGAGACTTCACCGATGCAGGGAGCGGAGTTATAAGTACAAGAATCGATATTGCCTTCTTCCGTGTAATGCCGCAACACCACCGCCTTTTCTTGCACAGCTCCGAAGAGAAAAGATCCACTTTGATTGATATACTTCGTGTCCATCTGCGGTGAGGCCGTCGAGACGCTCCAAATCTACTGTCCGTAGTCGCAAGCTTCTGTTCTAGGAACTTGACTCTAAAATGGAACTACTATGCTACCGTTGATCATGGGCAGCATCAAGTGTGGATGCAGCACCAAGACAGTACACTCTTCCCCCCACCATCATCATCCGCAAACACCGCTGAGCATCGTGCTTCACCATCGTCGACCAATGCCGAACCCCACCATCCACTACCAATCCCATTCACTCCAAACACAACGTCTCGTATGAGAATCGGAAACGGAACTTCTCCCGCGAGTGTCGTCGTTTAGTTTGAATGACACACACGCACACACACACACACACACACACACACACACACACACACACTTGACGTCCGTCAAATCTTGTTGCCTTGTCTGTGACACCAAACCGGGTGACGGTCAATATTAGGCGCATGATTAGTCGTGAGATCCAGCCTCTTGTGGGCACCAACAACACGAAAGTCACGGCGGATTGCAAAGGAAATGAGCCAACTCATATTTATGTCAGAGAGGTATTTTACCATACTTCCAGACTTACGTTGATAGCCGAATCATTGGCATTGGATCGACATAGACGTGACCCTTGAATGGAAAACAGTACAGATGTGGGAAGAGTGCAACGCCCTCAGTGGGGCACATAGGCCTCAACTCTTCTGCAACCTGCGGCGAAGTCCCTTCTCAGTCTCACCAACGCCCTCACGCAGCATTGCTTGATGTGTTTGCATAGATCATTGTCATTTCAATTTTTCATACTGTTGTTATCGTTGACGCAGCCAGTGACGCCATTGCTCGGAAGAGGCAGCGTCCTGGGTATAAGCATTCAACCTCATTCCAAACTCCAGCGATTCACCAGAAGACCCTCTCGAACCACGACTCCGACCCCCAGGAGCAAGTGATTTCTTTTAACCCTTCGCGGCACCAGCCTTGATGAGCAGGATATCTCCGTCCTCGACGACGTAATCCTTGCCCTTGGTCATGATCTTACCCTGGGCCTTACACGTCGCTTCGTCACCAAGCTCCTTGAGCGTGTTGAAGTTGTACACAATGACTTGAATGAAAGTCTTCTCGAAGTCTGCAAGATTTGTTAGTGCCGTGTTTTCCGTAGGTAAAGAGTGTATTTCTTACCAGTGTGGATGACACCGGCAGCCTGAGGCGCCTTGATGCCGGCACGGATGGTCCACTGCCTGACCTCATCCTCACCAGTGGTGAAGAACGAGGCAAGGTTGAGAGCCTTGCGCATGGTAGTAATGGTCTTGGGGAGCGCAGACTGCACGCCAAGCTTGGTGCACTCCTCAGCAGCCTCGGCCTCAGTCTCGAACTGAGTAAGACGCTCTTCCAAGCAGATGGAGATGGGAATGATAGGGTCGCCCGGGGCGTGCTCCTTGACCCACTCAGCGATCTTGGGGAGATGCTTGTTCTTCTTACGGATGTAGTCCTTCTCGCTAAGGTTGACGAGGAAGACAACAGGCTTAGCGGTAAGAAGGAACAGGGTGTTGATGACCTCAACCTATGAGCGCATTAGCATGGCTCGACTTCAAGTCTAGAATAGCGTTGTGAAAATGGTGTGTTGAGCGCATAATCAGACAGGACGTCATCTCAGTAAGACCTCTAAGCGTTGTAATTGGTGAGGCTTTCGAAGAGCTGGGTTATAATATCGGGCTGAGCCCTTTGTCATCATTGAAGCGGGGAGGGTGCATGGTTGGTGCTGAATATAAGAGATGTTGAAAACGTACTTCCTTGGCAGTCCAGTTGTTCTTGCGGACGTCCTTGCCATCCTTGAGGTGGTCCAGGATCTTCTCGACGGTGGCCTGCTCCTCCTTGAGCTTCTTCATCTCAAGACTCTGGCCACCTCTCCTGGTCTGCTTGACAAGGTTCTCGTGGGCCTTCTCGACGAACTCGATGTCTTTGATGCGCAGCTCCTCGCTGATGATGTCCAGATCGCGGCAGGGATCAACATCGCCCTCGACGTGGATAATCTCAGCGTCGTCGAAGCAACGGACGACCTGGAAGATGGCATCGACGGCACGGATGTGCGACAAGAAGGCGTTGCCGAGACCAGCACCAGTCGAAGCACCGCGGGTAAGACCAGCGATGTCGTAGATGGTCAGATGGGCGGGAACCTCAGACTTGGGCTTGTACTGCTTGCACAACCAGTCGAAGCGCTCATCGGGAACGATGACGCGCGACTCCTCAGGATCGATGGTGGCATAGGGGAAGTTGGCCGGGTTACCGAGATGGCACTTGGTGATGGCCTGGAAGAGCGTGGACTTGCCGACGTTGGCGAGACCGACCTGAGATCACTGTCAGGGTAAGAACTTTGCATACTCAACACATTGCGAGGAAGGCTGCCTACATACGATGCCACTCTTCAGGTTGTTGCCGGGCCTGCCCAGCAGGATCTTCTCCTCCTTGACGGCCTTCTTGGGCGGCATTTTCCTCTTCTTGCTGCTGGCGTAGCCGCGGGCGAAGACGAGGCAGAAAAGAGCGCGGGGCTCGGTGCGAGGCAAGGGCGGGGCGCAGAGAGAGCGGGCTGCGAGCCGCGGGAAGGCGCAGGCCGGGGGCGCGGTGAAGACACGGGCGGCGGCGGGGGCGAGAATGATGGGATTGGAGCGGAGACGACTAACGAAAGTCTCTCCGAGTGGTGGTGAGGGGTTGTGTGGGAGTGAAGTGGGATGGGCAGCAAATCGGCGGGACGGGCACAGCTGAGCAGAGCAAAATTCGCGGCCGCTGCATCATTCCTCCGCTCCGTGCAGCTTGCCCGGGCTCACGTGTGCCGCGCGCTGCCGCCGGCCCCAACCACCAAGGTCGCACCGGGCTTCCCGCCCGCTAACCAAGCCCGTCCTCCATTCTCCTAGCCTTACACGTGCGAACCCTCCAGCGGGCGGGATCCTCTCCAAACCTCCGTTTGCCCTCAATAATCCATTCTGCTTCCCCCATCGCTGCCTCGCGCCCTCTGATGCAGCTGCCCGCCCGTCCGCACTCCGCCTAATCCGCACATAGCCCCGAGAAAGCCGCCGACCAGCCCGGGCGCCATGTCCGTCGCGTCGCCCACCAAGACCAAGAAGCAGCCGTCGCGCGCATCGAGCCATCGCTCTACCCTCTCGGTGCAGAAGAGCGAAATCCGGATCCACGTCTACGACCTGCTGCCGGTGAGTGTGCTAAAACCCCGGCCTCTGCCTCTCGCAGCCACACAGCCGCTGCCTTGTCTCGGACTTTCCCGTTTCAGCCTTGCGGATCTACAATACGCATGCTCGAGCTAACGACCGCGCAGCCGGGTAAAGTTTCGTCGCTGCTATGGACCCTCGGCAGCGGCCTGCTGCACTCGGGCGTCGTGATCAAAGACAAGGAGTATGCCTACGGTGGTCACGACCGCCGCGGCATCACCGGCGTCTACTGGACCAGGTCTGTGCCCGCGCCCATTACGTCAGTTGTCGCTGAGGATATTCATACTGCTCAGGCCACGACTCGAGCCGCCCGGCGGCACCTTCAGATGTGAGGTGCTGCAGGGCTTCTCCTTCCTGACCGACGATGAGCTCGCTGCCGTCATAAAAGAGGTGCGTTGGCATGCCAGATCTGCACCCTCGTTGTCCGGCGATCCTGACGAGACCCGCAGGCCTCAGAGAAGTTCCAGGGCACCGCCTACAACCTGCTGACCTTCAACTGTAACCACTTCACCTCGTATCTGTGCGAAAAGCTCACTGCAAGGCCTGCGCCGCGATGGCTCAACCGCGCAGCAAGCATCGGTGTAGCCCTGCCTTGCGTTGTGCCGCGGGAGTGGATTGCCCCTCCCGACCATGATACCGCTGATGGTGAGCTCCTGGACGATGACGATGAGCGCGCAGCAATGCTGCACGCCACTCAATCACAGAGTGCCCTGCACCTTACCGATTCCCAGGACCAGTATTCGACCGACGAGGAGGTGGAGAGCAGTCGACCGAGGAACGCAGGCAAGCGGTCGACATCATCCACCGAAGTTGGTCGCCCACGGCGCTCTTCGATCAAGGACACTAGTGGGCGCGACATTCCTGCCAGCGAACGCGCTCCCGTGCATGGCAGGTCTTGAGGTGTCGCCCCGAGTCGGTGTAGCCACTGCCCTTTTCCAACAGTTTCCCATTTCTTTTTCATTTGGGGCACCGGATGGTTGATACCATTGCAACTCTTGCTAGCATTTGGAACATGTTTTGGGAGGGCGGGATTTGTGTCTTCAATGAACGTTCAAGCGTGGTCTTTCATTTGATGGGGAAAGGTTTTCATTTCAGATAGGTCCTCCTACACGTATCTCAATGGCATTCTTTACGCAACATTTGGTCTCCCTCTTTCACCAAAGCCGCGCTGCAGCGAGTACAGTATAAACGGTCCACTGCGGGCTCAAGACGATCGAGTCCACCCGCAACTATCACAGGGGCACTGCACCAGACTTACGCGGGTAGTCAAAATCGACATCCGGACGTGAACGATCCCGTCCGGGTGTTGGATTCAAGAAACTTTGTAGGAAGGGTGTAGCGTCCTCGGTGAAGCTTGAGAGGTCTGGAACCATCTGCAAGCTGCTGTGGATCACCAACATGTTAACCTGGTAAAGACCCTCGAACAAATTGCCCATATCCGCTTATTATTTCCTCTATCCACGCCACGCTTAACCCAATCTCCTCGGCTTCGGGCTCCTGGTACCACCAAACTTCAACCTCGTCGCATCCGTCACCCTCACGATGCGATTCCGGATGTTCATGCCCTCGGAGCCCATGATGGCCTTCCGCACCGCCTCCCTGCCGTCACCGAAGCCCCTGAACACGAGCTCGAGCCGCTTGATCTCCATCAGCAGGCCGCGCTCCTGGATGTTGCCCAGCACGAAGGCGGCGAGCTGGTAGGCGGCGTCGAAGCTGTTGCGGCCGGCCTTGCGGAAGCCGATGTTGCCGGCCGAGACGCTGATGATGGCGTTGCGGTCCGGGCGCGTGAGCGTCATGTGCGTGTTGTGCTTGGTCGCCAGCACGTGCAGGTGGTACGGCTCGGGCTCCTCGGTGAGGGCGACCTCGCCCGGCCGGTAGTCGACGCCGGTCCGGTTGCTCAGCATGTCGGAGAAGCCGCCGCCGGCGGAGAAGCCGTTGAAGCCCGTCGGCCGCCGGTTCGCGGGGAGCGCTGCGGAGAGGACGCTGGCCGGCGATTGGTTGGTGGGGGGGTCGTCGTCGGCGCGGCGGGCGGCGGTGGTCGAGAAGGAGGAGGTGGAGGTGGAGGGTCTGGCGAGGAAGGCGGGCCGCGCGAGCGACTGCGTTGCGGAGCGGCAGGACAGGCATATCGAGCCGCTGAGGGCTGAGAAGGCCCGCGGGCCCCTGCTCTGGAAGGCCATGGTGGGCAGCGCAGCAATTGGGTCTTGTTGTTGGAGGAGGCTGGCACGCTTGGAGGACTGGGATGCAGGTCGAGAGATTTCCGAGCAGCGTACTGGGTTGGGCGGCAGAACTTCGGGTGCTGACGCTTTTTCGTCCGTGAGGGCTCCTGCTTTCTCCGCCGCCGGCAGTGAGGTTTTCTGGGGCAATAGCCATTCGACAAATCCCGCCACGCCTCAACCCACCTCACAATTCTTTTTCTCGCGCCCCTGCCCTCCATCGCGGCTCTTCAGTCCTTTGCGACCCGCCATCTTCAATTTCTTTCCGCGCGTCTAGAATGAAGGCGTTCGCCAGCAGCTCCGTCGGAGCGCGCATTGGAGGTGCTGCTCGCTCGTCTCTCTCATCTTCCGCTTCCGCCTATGGCCGCTCGCCTGCCTGTCGCCGGTTATCCACCGCCGTGCTCGAATCGCAGCGCTCGCGTTCCCAGCTCGCCTCTGCCGCCTCTTCTTCGCCTTCCTCTCTTCCCTTTCTCCGCTCGCAGCTTCAACCGCAGGATATCCTCCTCCGCTCCTCCGCCCTCTACGCCCGTCACTTCCACGCCCAGCCCCGTCTGAGTCAAGAAGCGAAGAAGGCCGACCCCAAAACCTCCGCCAAGGGCAAGGCGCCCGCCGAGGGCGCAAAGAAGAGCTCCCCCGCAGCCGACGCCGAAACCGGCGGAAAGAAGGCTGAAGGCGAGCAAAAGGCCGAGGGCGAGCAGGCCGAGGGTGAGCAGAAGGAGGAAGAGGGCAAGGACAAGAAGAAGAAGGACGACGCGCCCCCGCCCCCGCCGCACGGCGACAAGACCCCGTGGCAGGTCTTCACCGAGACGCTGAAGACCGAGTTCCAGGCGTCGAAGGAGTGGAACGACTCGACCAAGCAGCTGCAGGCTGGCGTCGAAGACTTCACCCAGAACGAGAACGTCAAGCGCGCGCGTTCCGCATACAAGTCCGCTGCTGAGGCGGCCGGTTCTACGACTTCGACCGTCTTGAAGAAGACCGGAAGCGCCATCGGTCAGAGCGCTGCGTGGACCTGGGATACTGTGCCTGTGCGCGTGCTGAGGAAGAGTGCCAACGTGACTGGTCGCGGTCTCGAGAAGATTACGCGGCCGGTGCGTCAGACCGAGGCGTACAAGAGCGTCAAGGATGTCATCGATGATGGCAGCTCCTCGAGATACGGTGGTTGGGTTGAGAAGGAGGAGCGCAGGAAGAAGAGGGAGGAGAGAGACGAGAAGTCTGGCAGGCCAAGGGTCATTGAGAAGATGGAGGAGGACCCCGAGTACGCGTACACCTCGCTCTTGCTCTCTCCCTACATGCTAACCAGTATACAGTGCTGGTACCAACGTCACCCTTCACAAGGACGCTGCCTGGAAGGCGTCGTGGAACGAGTTCCGTGAGAACAGCCGTCTCATGCAGTCCCTCTTTGCCATGAAGGCCAACTACCGCGAGTCTGAGAACCCCCTCGTCTCCACTGCCCGCAGCATCTCGGACCGTGTGGCCGGTTTCTTCGCCGAGAACGAGACTGCCATGGTCATCAAGAAGTTCAAGGAGATGGACCCAACCTTCCAGCTCGAGCCTTTCTTGACCGAGATGCGCGAGTACATCCTCCCCGAGGTCCTCGACGCCTACGTCAAGGGTGACACCGAAGTCCTCAAGCTCTGGCTTTCGGCTGCCCAGTACCAGGTCTACGCTGCTCTCATGCAGCAGTACACCACTGCCGGCCTCAAATCCGCCGGCCGCATCTTCGATATCCGGAACGTCGAGATCCTGAACGCCCGTCTGCTCGACCCAGGCGAGATTCCCGTCTTCATTGTCACCTGCAGGACGCAGGAGGTTCACGTCTTCAAGAACGCCAAGTCGGGTGAGCTCGCCGCGGGTATGGACGACAAGGTGCAGCAGGTTACGTACGCCATCGGTGTCACCAGAATACCCGAGGACGTCAACAACCCCGAGACCAGGGGCTGGAGGTTGATTGAGATGCAGAAGAGCGCGAGGGACTACATTTAAATTCCCTTCTCGCTACTTTTCCGCACTCACATTTAAAGTTTGCCCTTCTCTCTCACTGTACGAATTCTTGTCCGACACTCACCCCAGCAATTTTTTTCCTTTTTCTCTTGCGGCTGGCATTTTCCATGGCGTGAGCGCTGTGTGGGAAGGAAAAGGAAAAGTTTCCCCTTTACGTGTGTCTGTACTACTACATCGGGCGCGTCTACGATTCGGTCATGGCCGCGCTACTACTACTACCGTTGCTCCTCCTTTTACTTGTCTTTTTCAAGCTTTAGACGTGGGAGGAGTCATGTGTGTTGATTTTCTTTTTGGTCGTTTGGTTTTTTTCTTCTCCTTCTCTCGACGATGATAAGAGAGAAAGAGAAGATAGGGAAGGAAATGAAAGGGTAAAGAAGAAGGAAAGGAAAGGAAAGGAAAGGAAAGTCCCCGCTCTTGAAACTACTACTTGTACAGTACCTTTTTGTGTGTTTTGATGGTTTATACCTGGCCGATGGGATGATGTGTGGGTTGGTGGGTAGGGCCGGGTTGTGGGGAGGTATAAATGGGGTTGATGGCTGATGGTTCGGCCCAGGGATGAGATGATGAGGGGATTTGTGATAGTCCAGGTAGGAAGGATGTAGTATGCGGTGAGCCTGTTGGAAATGAGAAATGATTGAGATGAGATTGTGTTTTGTCTTCTGTGTTTGACTGTGTAACTGGTGCAATGGCTATCCTGTTGGAGATTTGATGTTGCGGAAGCGCGGTGCTACTTGCTAAGGGTACGGGTATCTTGTGTTGCCCGCGGGTGACAGAAGTACTGGTGAGTCACACAGCTTGCAAGTAGTGTCAATGCTAACGTATTTTAGTAGACAGATTTTTCGACATCAAAGTGTTTTCGTTTCCTTCTGCTTCATGTGTGAGCATAAAGGGTTAAAACGAAACCCTTGCCACCAAGATGAGTGCTCTAAGCGATACATTCGAACGCAGATGTACATAGCCAGAGCATCAATCGATCATCCCGGTTCGGTATATGTTCTCAGCCCCTTCCCCCCCTCAGCTGACTTGCAGGCTGCCTAGGCCGACTATATTAACCCCCAGACATGGCATCGTTTCCCTCGCCGTCACTCGCCAAAGTATCTACCAAACACCAAACCTGCCTTGACCAAACCACGAACTGTCCTTTACCTACCCGCTTGAGGTTGATAACCACTCGTTCGCGCCTCCGCCTCCGTCGTCTACCCAGCCGCGCAGTGCACTCGACGCTCGAATGGGAATCAGGAGGACGGTGGGGGGCGTGATCGGTATCGCTGACCGAAAGCATTGTTCGAAAATGCCAAAAACGCAGCATCAGCGCTTCGATGCTGAAGGCCATCAAGTATCCTCATGGTTGCGGAGTATGGTAAGTAAGTGGCGGTGCGCCGGCTTAAAGAGACGGCGCCGGGCGACATTTCGCGATATTTCGGATATCGCAGGCCGACCACGACGCAGTCTGTGTCTGTGTCTTTTGGGTTCTGGAGGCTCCACTGGCCAAGCCACTGTTGGTACGGCGAGGAAAGGCGAGGGGGATATGCAGTTTTATGTCAATTGGGCCTGCGGCTGGCGGCTGATCAGCCGTCGAGCTGGGCTGGTGTGCTGTCATGCCTGGCGTAGTGTGTCCGTGACGGGCGGGGGCGTCTGGTCACGAGGCTGGACCGATTTGTTTCTTGATATAAAATGTCACTCGCTGCATTGCTTGAATGTATGTACATGGAAGAATCGGCTGCCCAGTGGCCTGGAAGACCGCTGTCGTTGACTGCAGGCGGTCCAGCGACCAATCGAAACCACTCGGGGCTTGGAGGTTCGGTTTAGAAGCGGGAGAAGGACTCGGCGTTTTAGGCGGTCGATGATCTGCTTCATCGGTAAAAAGTGCTGGATATCAGCATCCGGGCCGAGTAAAGATCATGCGGAAGTATTCTGAACTAGGATCCAGCCACCTACTCATAAATAATGTAATATCGCTTGCGTGGGGAGTTTCGAAAACGTTGTTGGCCGTAGGCAACCAGCTTAGAAGGTCTAGCATCCATCTACTTTCGCCGAATAGAATGAATCGCATCATCTAATAGGAATGATGTATGCATAATGCTGGCTAATAAGCCATGTTAAACTTTCGTGGGGGAAAAAGAAAAGAAAGCGGACCAGTCTATTGATTGCTCTTTGGAGTCCTCTTAATTCCACTAATACTTGACCGTGGTAACGGGGGACTGGGAGAGTTAACCAAATGCCTCTCCCTTAAATGGTATCGATGAAAGAACTTTAGGTCCATGCCTGCGGATTTAACGGTCACTTGCCAGTAAAACAAGTAGCACGTGTCGTAAAGCGATCTTGGGGCCGTTGCAGGCAAAAGCTATTTCTTATCTAACGGTCTCTCTGACACCGTATGCTCCCTCCACAGTGGGTGCAGAAAGAAACCGACCCCACCTATGTCTAAATACTTTTTTTCACCTACCGTGCCTCGATCCTAGAGAATTGTACACGTCGGACCCCGCGTATGATGTGTATATTCAGAATGGAGACGATGCCGGCCAGCGGTATACGTCATGCAGTGATAATCATCACCATCTTTCCGAAAACAAGCGCTTTATCATCATATGCTCTTGCCAATCACCCCTCCAAGATAGTTCGAGGATGCCGAGCCACATCAAATAGTAAACAAGTGAAAACCATCCGGAGAGCCGTTCCAAAACGGCCTACAGGAGTACCGTCAAAATTGATTTGGATCCAGTGAACTCTCGCCGCTGCCCGAGGAACGGAGACAAACACCGCGTCGTGGCGCACCTATGCAGACTACACAGAACCTCAGCTCTTAAATGCGCTACCGGCGCCCAGCAGACCCGCTACCATGCAGGCCATGAGGCACCGGTCACACGTAGCCAGCCACACCATACGGACCATGGGGGTATCCCCATCACATGCTGCTCACGGCGGCTTTTCCTCCACGAGACTCCCCCGATTCTAACCTCCTGACGACCTCCGCCGAGATTCAGTACTTGACCCTGGTCTACACCGTCCATCGGCCTCCTACTGAGAAGTGACAACCGCGGATCTCGATCTGCCGCAGAAAAGGAGCTCACTGTGGAGTAGCAAGACTTACTCTGCCTGCTTTATGGGAAAACATGCGAGGTGCTCACTAAGAACTTGGTTCCTACACGGGCTCTCTCTGCATTCAACATGCCCGTCTACTGTAGCCATGACGGTGCTCACCATCTTCAACGGTAATAGAATCGCCTCATCATCCGTATGAAGTGCTGGACCTCACCATCGCCGCTACAAGTAGTGTCGGTCCTGTCGGCGTACCCAGTGGGCGAAAGGAGAGTCGCTCTGGAGTTTGTGATGTTCCACATGTGTTCTTCAACCTCGGACGCAGAGTGAAGTCTCGAGGACTCTCGGTCCTCTTTTATGCTTTGATTCTCATACTCATACTCGATGACATTTGACCTCCAGCCACCCTGCCATGAGATCCACTTCCCCCAAATACGTTCTGTTTCGGATATTCTCTCGTTCCCGTCTATGACTGTTGAATGTTTCCAGCTATTCTTCACATTTTCCATCCCATCATACATGCATAAACTTTCTCTCCATACCCAAGAGTAAGACACGCCTCTTTTTCCCCTTCCATCCACCAAAAAGGGCAAGGCAAGACACCCACCTCATGCAATAACGAACCAGAGAACCCGCCATCTCTATACCACAAACCAACCAAAAAAAATAAAAACGCCATTTTGTCCGACCCCAAAAAAGAAGAAGAAGGAAGAGGAATAGTGCTTTGCGACGACGATGAACGACGCTCTAATCCTTCCAATCATACCGGACGAAACACACACTCTATGTGGATGTATATATACAAACCCTAACCCCCATCTTCGTCATCGATGATCGTCAGCCAGTCAATCAGTTCACTCCAGCGATCATCCGACGAATGATCCGACTCAGCCATCTTTCGTCCCCTTCCCCTCATCACCGCTCTTTTTCAGCGACCGCCATGCCACTTCGCCCTCGGGCCGTGCGGCGAAACCGTGGACGATCTTTGGGATGACGACTTCGTTGTCGGTGACGACGACCGTATCGGCTGGAGTGGTAGTTATGGCAGCTGCATTAGGGGGAGGAAAGGCAGAAGAGGAAGACGGATCATTGGGAGAAGAGGGGGTAACAGAAAAAGGAAAAGAAGGAGCAGGATCATCGAGCGAGGGAGGAGGGGGAGGAGGAGAAGGAGAAGAAGGAGGAGAAGAAGAAGAAGAAGAGGGAGAAGAAGCAGCGTTAGAACCACCAGCAGCAGACCACGCCGCCCTCGCCGCCCCCGCCCCCCTTGCCGTCCTCGCCGCCCTCGCCGCCCTCGCAGCCGCCAATTCCTCGCGCAACCTCCCCACCAACACGCCCTCCTGCCTGATCTTGGCCACCATCTCCGCCCTCAACTCCCAATCCGCCCTCCGCTCGTCCGCGGCGTCGAACACGCCCAGCCCCCTCCTCCGCATCTTCTCGAGGTCCTTCTCCAGCGGGCCCTTGCGATACCCGCCGCACCTGTCCGCCTCGACGAGCACCTGCTCGAACACGTCGGGGCGGTCGCAGCGCCAGCACAGGCCGAGCATGTGCAGGTACGCGGAGCGGTCGAGCGGGCGGTCCTGATGGGCGCGGCGACGCGCGCGCAGCTCCTGCAGCTGCTGCCAGACGGCGACGCCGGCGGGCCAGTCGCGGCGCTCGGCGCAGGCGTGCAGGAAGCGCGTGAGGGCCGCCGTCTCGAAGCCCCAGCCGTCGGCGGCGAGCGTGGCGCACACGTCCACCGCGCGCTCGAGCCCGTAGAAGCGCAGCAGGCCGGCGACCACGGCGTTCATGACGCGCGGCGTCGGGTGCACCTTTTGGATCAGCCGGCCCGGGCTGCGCGGGTGGGCGACGACGCGGTTCTGCATCTTTTGCAGCGACGACGCGTGGTGCAGGGAGAGGGTGGGGCGGGCGAGCATCAGCGCGTAGCTGGTCGTGCTCATGCCCGTCATGAGCTGCATGAAGCGCGTGAAGCCGTGGGCGTCGTTGGTGGCGGTGTGGTGGGTCAGGGCGGCGGCGCAGGTGATTTCGTCGGGCCGCATGTGGACCTCGTGGAGGGATTCGATGACGAGGCGGGAGAGGTTGCGCTGCTTTAGCTTGTTGAAGCCCAGGAGCAGTGCGTTGTAGGTGGTGATGTTGGGCGGGGCGGACGAGACGAGGAGCTCCTCACAGATGGTCGCGATCAGGCTGGGTACGGTGACTTCGCCGCGGAAGCACTGTTCGAAGGTGTCGAAGATGCGTTCGTTCATGGAGTGGCATTTGTAGTGGAACTGGCCGTCGTGGTCCTGCTCGTAGTAGGGGTATTTCCCAAAGATGGGCTTGTATTCTACGACGTCCTCGTCTCGCTTCGGCATTTTGGTCCGCTGAAGGAAATCCTCGATGCTCAAGAAATACTTCTTCTTCTGCGCCGGCTTTTTCATGGCGATAAAATACACGTTATGCGGCAGCCAGCATTCGGGAACATTATCCCACTTTCTCCGCAGTGGATAGCGGTCCAGCTGTGCTTCGTCAGTCATGGCCAACACCAATTTGGCCATGGACAGGTTCATGGTCTGTATCTTCCGGCGTGTCCAGCGGTACCCCAGCCCCTCCATCTTCCGCTCGTCCGTGGCGTATACTGACTGTGGAGGGAAGTGGTCGGGGTCAAAGGACGGGCCAGTGTTTTCGGGCCATTCCGGCTGCCCCGAGTCCATCATTGTGTGTGTTCTTGCATCCGCCCAGTCGTCTACTTCTCCAAAAGTTGCGTAGTCCTCTTCCGAGCCAGGCCCGCGCCTTCCCGTCTTTTTTGAGCCCTGTCTCGCTGCGTTTTCTAGCTCCTCTAGCTTCTCGCGCATGATAGCCTCTGCGGCCTGGGGGTCCTCGACATGGTCAACCGCTTTCTTCAGTAGTTCCGCGATGTCCACAGCATCCATGTACTCGGACCCGAGGAAGTCCGGGTCCGATTCGGGCTCCTGCAAGTCGGGCTGTTCTTCAGTGGGCTCACCCTCCCGCCCGTCCGACGTCGGTGGATCTGCATCGTGGGGACCCAATCCATTTTTGGCGCCTTGGATGGCATTGTTCCACTTCTGTCTGCGCTGCTGCTTGGAGCGGCCGTCGGCGACGGCGGCACAGGCGAATATGGCGGAATAGAAGATTGTGGAGCTCGGGATGGCCGACAGGCGTTTGCGGAAGGCGGTGGTGGAGCGGCGGGCGACTGCGGTCGAGTAGGAGAGGCATTGTTGGCAGCGGCAGGTGCATTTGGTTGCCCGCAGAGTTCTCGACCAGAGGCTCTGCATTATTCGGGCTACCGGCGTGGCATGGTCCGCCTACACGAAGAAATTCGTGCACGGCCGGTGAGGTTGGGGCCGGGCGGCGAGGAGCGACGGCGGGCGTGGGCGCAGTGGACGGGTGCGGGGCGTCAATTGTGTTCGAACAGACGCGCTGCGGCGGGCGCAGCTCGCGTGGGGCGGCGGTGTGGTGGGTGGGAAGGGCGGATGGGTTGTTGTGCAGGAACTGATCTCTCCACGAAAGAATCCCTGCGCGACGCGCTGGCGGGCGGCCAAGTGAAGCGCATGCCCGCCCGCCCCGCCTGGAGCTTGATCTTTGCCCCTCCATCACATCCAACGCCGTCACCCAGCCCTCGCTACTGATTTCAAGCACCATGCTGGCCCTCACTCTGACCGCCGAACTGGAGGGGTAGTGCCTCCCGGACGCCCGCTATTGCAGCCGAAAAATGCTCACAGGAAACGCAGTGTGACGGACCTCAGGCCCAACGACACCCAAGAGACCCCGTTCTACTACACCTTCAAGGTCCAGTGCACCTCCTGCCGCGAGATCCACCCTAACTGGGTGAGCGTCAGTCGCTTTGTGAGTCCAATCCCCTGTTTCTCGAGATTCGAATGCTGGATTCCTAAACTCTTTTTGTGCAGGAACAAAACGAACAGAGCGGCAGCAGAGGCGAGGCCAACTTTGTGTGGAAGTGCAAGAACTGCAAGGTAAAGAACTGTTCGCCCGATTTTTTTCTTTCTTTATACTGGGCGCTGCCTGCGGATCCAACCACTACTTCAATTCCACTTCGGTCTTGCAATCCTTGTCATACATCAATTTCCCAATCAAGAAAGGCTGACGGCATGACAGAGAGAGCACTCTGCCAGCATCATCGATACTCCGAAACCCTACCCGCAGCAGTCGCCGCCAAAGAGCCAGAAGATCATCACGTTCGACTGCCGTGGTCTTGAATTCGTCGAGTTCAAGCCGGATGTAAGCCCTTTTTTCTTCTTTTTCTTTCCCGTATACTTCCCCCATATCCTTCTTCAATGTTGCCCCTTCTCCCGACCAGATTGCAAGACAAACCTCTACTGCACCGGCGCACCGGCTCGTCATCGCTCGAAGAAACGACATGGCACCTACATTTCGCAACAAACCCGCTTCCCCCCCTCTCTCAACCTTGTCATTCGCCCCCAAACCATCCCACCGATCCCCACCGGAACCCCTTGTCCTCCACAGCTCGCAGCTCAAACCCAACACATCTCCGTTCTCTGCTCCTCCACAAGCCTTTCCCTAACTCTTCGTTCTCAACACACGCAGGGTGAGTGGTCCGCCACGGGCCTCGAGTCGGGCTCCAAGTTCGACGGCATCGACCTCACCGAGGGCGACTGGTACGACTACGACGAGAAGGCGAACGAGGAGGTCAGCATCAAGGATCAGAAGTGGGAGATCGTCCGGGCTTGATAGACTGTCCGAGGGGAGCGAGCTGTGGGCGAAAAGGGGGGAAGAGAGGGAAGAGAAAAAAAAAAGAGAATAGTAGTAGTATGCATGTGTGAAGGAACTGACACGCTGTCCTTGTCATTACAGCCAATCGTGAGAAAGGCATGCGGTTTAAGCGCGTTTCAGCTCCTTTCGTTGACTGAATCGACTCTTCCGACGATTATTGCGGTCCATGGCCGTCACGCACGCACACACACAAAGCATTTCGAGCACATCAGAGTACCAGTTGTTCCTTTCGAAAAAGAAATTCGATTATTCGAATGTATGCACAACGAATGGAATAATAGGGCGTCGTAAAACCTCATCATACCATCCATCCATCCATCCTATCCACAGCACGGCCAAGGGCCGGTCCGGCCCATCCACGCCGCCAATCAACAACAAGAACGACAGCAACAACCAACACCAACACCGCCGATCCGTTGTTATTGTCGGCCCCCCTCCTCTTGTTTCCCTTTCCTCCCCCCCAAAAAAAATAAAGATCATCGCGCAAGGCAACAACAACAACAACAAAACAGCACTGCACCCCTAGTGCCGCCATCCATCCCTACCCGCCAAGCCTTTTCTACATCTCCCCCGTGTCCGCGGCGTATAGCATCGCGCCACGATCCTTCGCGGTGATACAATATGTCCTTTACCCAATCTGGCCAATCCTTGTCGGTATTAGCCGAAAGGAGAGCCGGGGTTCGGGGGGACCCCACGACAACGGCTAACTGCGCCGCCGTTGGCGAAATGAAGGGTCCAGAACGCAGTCGTGGCGAGGCGGTCGCCTGTGGTTTTGTGGCCCGAGTGTTTCGATGGAGAGGCGGTGGTGGTGGTAGTGGCGGCGGTGGAGGTATTGTTGTTGTCGTTGCTGCTGCCTACAGACATGGTTCGGTTCGGTCGGAAGTTGCCGGGATCGAAGTAGGTCGAGGCTGGTTGGCTGTTCCCTTCGTGCGAGGATCGAAAGCGTCGTTCGCTCGACTTATTGAGTCGTTGACGATGGGTGTACTGGTGTACTTGAGGCTGGGCCGTTCGTTGTAGAGTCTTTGGGAGTTTGGGGCATCGCATTCGCAGGTGGCGATGGGTATTGACCGAAGGGCCGTATTGAGACGACCGACGACCCGATGTCGTTGTGACAGGCTATAGGAACGAAGGAAGTGAATGAAAGGCCAGGTTGTCATAGGGGACAGGGTTGGTTCGGTTTCGATCGTTTCGCATGTTCCGTTTGTTTGGTTTTTTGTCGATTCGTTTCCATCACTTCAGAAGAGGAGTAGCAGCGCGGTGCCTGCGACGGTTACCATGCCCCTCAGCCACAGGTCGCGAAGACATGCGCCGTCGATGGTGCAGGAGTGAGCCTGTGGAAGTCAGCAAACTACTCTGGCGATGGATGTAGACAGAGATGACTTACCCTTGGCATCTTGTCCTGTTCGGCTTCCGCATTTGCAGCCGACTTTGGGATGGCCGTTTCGGCGAGCATGATTTGGGCGTCAAGAGAATGGTCTGCGTCAAGAGCGAGATCCTCAGCCGTGCTCGTAGAGGTGGCCTCATAGTCGGTCTTTGCACGCTCTTCGGCGGCGGCTGAGGATTCGGATAGGATGGAATCGCGACGAGGAGTGGCACCCCAAGCGTTCATGGTTTTGGAAGAGTCGAGGGTTTCCAGGAAAGACTTTACACGGGTGTCTAGTGCTTCGCGGAGACTGTCGGTGAGAGCCCAAGATTGGGGAGAGGATTGTTCGTTCTGGCGTTCCATGGTGGCGGTGGCTTGGGCTTGGGCTTGGCTTGTTGGATAGGGTCCGGAATGTCTTTGGGTGTTACCCGAGTCTTGGGTGAGCGGAGGCTGAAGTAGGGGCGCGTTGGCGCAATGTTCCACGGTGTATGGCGCGATAAACAGGCGAGCAGTCTCGAACTTCCGTCTTGGGATGACGTGCTTATTGGATGGTTGCACGAGACGCACGGCTGAGATGCGAAAGGAGCTTTGCGGGATAAGTATGCAGCGTGGATGAAGTGCTCGAAAGACAAGGCGTTGGGTGGTCTTGGCCCAATCAAGAAGTCCTTGGTCTCAAAGCGGAAGTCAGGGCACGAGGACTTGTCAGACTTGGCGTTGCGTTTTCCACGGCGAGTTTATGAATGTGCTTGGCCCGTGGCAGGGGATTGAGAGGAAGCGGTTCCTAGCGGAAGAATCGGCCTTTACGACGTCATGGTAGGTCAGCGATGATGTTGGCGGCAACACGCGGGATGGAGTGGCTGTGGCCTACCTTTCAGAGCGTTTGCAGGTCTGACGGGAGCAAATCTACCAGACAGTGGTGTGCAATATGGCTCTCTCCGGTGCGCGAGACGTAGGGGCCAAGCCTTTATCTTTCACGAGGTACGGGAGTGCGCCGGCTATTATGTAGAGCAAATAGGCTTCGGCGCCAAGCATTGACGAGAGGTACGGTGTGGATAATGTAATGATGCAAGCGGAAAGCTAGAACGGCATTCGGCGCGAGGTCCGAGGCAAGGACGATCTGCCCCGTCTAGTATGTGTGGAGATGACTCTCGGGCTGTTGTGATCGGAATGTGGGATCACGCAATTGGGTGTAGTGATAGGGCAGCTGGGCGTCGGCCAATGCGCTTGCAGCTGAACACTTGGGCCGGGTTGTGTTGCTCAAAGGATGCACGATGCGTCGGCAAGCCGCGGGATCCGCAAGGCGGGCGAAAAGATAAAATAAAGAACGCTAGCAGCTTGAGGCTCGAGCACGGAGAGGGCCTTCCACCGGTGGCTTGGGGGGTTTTAAGAGCGGACTGAAGCTTGTGCCGACTCTTCCTGCCTTCGGGTGGTGCTGCCGCAGCTGTAGCAACCCCTGCGTCGGTGCGTCGGCCAAGCCTGCTTGGCGAAGTTTGATGGTGAGAATGGTCTGCGGTCTCCGTCGGGCGTCTGCCCAAGCTCTCCAGCCGCTCCCGTGGCTGACCTCTACGAATCGAGACCGCTGCATTCCAGCTGACGGCGCCGTGGCAAGGACCGCCAACACGAGCGCCGCAGTGCGGACCCGTGGATCGTCGTCCAGTCATGGAGGTTTCCGCCGTGTCTGCTGATGTCCGGCGGCCTCCATGGCGCATAGGCAAGGAAAAGGCAGGGGACCAGCCTTCACCGGAGTCAAACCACTGCGGGGTTGCAAGGTCGGTAGTTCGAGGCGGCTTTGGGCTCCCAACCCATCCCTGGCGCCCTAGGTCTCGCCCATGCTATCAATAGTCTCCCAGTAACTCTTCCGCGTTCGGCAGTCGACGATAGTCTCTTCGTGTGTTTAATTTGGGTCTCGTATACCAGGGTCCTCTCCCTGCCGACACTCGCCTGCTTAGAGGAAAACTCCTTCGTGCTCGTCCTGCGCCTCACTCTCCACATGACTCGCACTGTTCGCTGGCTGCTGCTGGGTTTCTGTCGCACTTTGGTTTTGCGCACTGCCCTCCTCGCTCCTCTGCTCGCCATCGTCGCCGTTTCGCTGCGCTTCACTGGCGTCTCCGTTGACCTGCTCCTTGCTCGCATCCGCCTTGGCGTCGTCAACCCAAAGCATGCCGCGATTCACCTCGACCTCCAACTTCAGGAGCTCGATGCGGTCCTCCATGCGTGCCATGACCTCTTCGTTCTCCCTGATCGCCTCTGCGCAGTCGCCGTCGCCCTCGTCCGCGAAGGGCTGCAGCTGCAGGTTCGAGCGGCGCAGATGGTAGATGGAATTGCGCAGCTCGGCTGCTTTTGCGTGCAGCGACGGCACTGTCAGTTCCTTGATGGCTTCGGCGAAGGCGGCCGGTGTGATTGGCAGTGCCTCGGCGGACATGGTGTGTGTGTGTGGATGGGGACGCGAGCCGTTAATTCTAGAGAGCTGCAGTACAGGCAGGTTGTTTGGCGTCAAGTCGGCGTCTGCGCGTGGGGTTTTTGGGGTTGCCCGACGCGCAGCGTGGAGCTTTGTGAAGCGGCCGGCCGGCGATGCCTTTTCTAAGTGGCCGCGCGCGTGCGTCACCTCGCGCCTGCCTGCTACGTATGCCCGCTCCCCCCCACGTCCACAGCAATGAGCAATGCGTGCATCGTAGCATGTAGGCCATTTTGGGGGCTACGCTCGTCCTCCCTCGCCCTTTCAGCCCGGTCAATTGCCTCCGCCGTCGCCGCGGCTCGTCCTGCATCGCCGAGAGCGGTGCCCTCGCACATCTCTCGCCTCGGCACAACACCACTCAAATGCTCCAGCCTACGTCCGCCACTCCTTCGCCTGCTTGACCATCGCCACTTTACCACGTCTACAGTCGCCTTCGCCCGTAAACAGCCCGCGTCGAAGAAAGCCGATCTCCACCCGAGTTCGAAAGGCCTTAAGGAAGCACAGGATGCAGAGGGAAACGAGGACACACAGCTCCCTGGTGGAGACTTGCAGAAAGATCAGATAACTCAGATATTTGGACCTGGTATCTCGGCGGCCGAGGGGAATTCTTTCCTTCGTGTTCTACAGCATCGTCGCGTAACCGGAAGTTTGGCTGAAAAAGGTGTCGAGGGACCGACTTCGTTTCCAAGAGAACGGGCTCTGAACGCGCTCGAGTATCTCCGCAGCACATATCCTTTCGATGAAGAGGCAGCAGCGGCTGAATGGGCTCGGAGGGAAGCCCAGCGCCTGGAAGGCATGATGATCCAACGGGCTCAGGACCTGAAGCTGTACAAGAAGGGAGATTCGGAGCAAACGCTTGGCAATGTATACGGACACAGCGAATTGGAAGCCTTGAGGAGGCGTAATGAAAAAGTCTACGAGCGTCAAAAAGAAGAAGAAGAGCGACGCAAAGAAGTTCAAGAAAAAGAAGGTCTCGCCGGGAAGGGTGGTACCCTAGGTCCAGTCAAAGCCAAGACAGAGCTACGTAAGTGAAGCTCGTGATATTGGTGTGATCCGGAGGCTGATATAGAATGTGCAGGTAAGAAGGAAAAGTCTGAATGGCTCAAGTATTACGAAGAGCAAGCTGTGATACGGAAAGAAAAAGAGGCTCCCAAGATGAGCGCTGTAAGCTTCCAACACCCACAACCACCCAGACCCAGAACCTGATCGTGCTCTTCCCCAGGCCGCGCGCATCCTCCCCTCTGCCTTCGTCTCCGCCCTCATCCTCGCCGGCCTCTACATCTTCACGGAAACCTACACCCCCCCGTCCTCGGCTGCCCGCCTCTGGCCCGACACGCCCCCCGCGCTGGCAACCTGCTTCGCGCTCCTCAACATCAACCTCTTCATCTTCCTCGCCTGGCGCTTCCCGCCCTTCTACCGCCCCTTCAACAAGTACCTCCTCCAAACGCCCGGCTACCCGACCGCCCTCTCCGTCCTCGGCAACATCTTCTCCCACCAAGACCCGAAGCACCTCTTCATGAACATGCTCATCCTCATGGGCGCCGGCCCGCAGCTGCACGAGCTCGTCGGCCGCGCCGACTTCCTCGCCGTCTACCTCGCCGGCGGCGTCCTCGGCTCGCTCGGCTCGCTCGTCGCCAGCGTCGCCCGCCGCAGCTTCGCCGTCTCCACCCTCGGCGCCTCGGGCGCCCTCGCCGCCACCATCGGCGCCCTCCTCCTGCTCAAGGACGCCGACGCCTTCGCCGTCCCCTTCTTCCCCGAGTATCGTGTTCCTGTCTCGTCCGCCGGCCTGCTCGCCGCCTGTCTGGCCTACGAGGTCTGGGGCCTCGCCCGCGGCGGCGCCCGCACCGGCATGGATCACGTCGCGCATTTGGGCGGGTATGCGACGGGCATGGCGGGGGCGGGCTTGCTGAAGTGGCGCGTGGCTGAGAGGAGGAGGGTGGCTGAGGAGAAGAAGAGGGAGATGGGCTTTTTGCAGCGGACTTTTGGCGCTGGGAGGGATGAATAAATAAATAAATAAAGTTTACGGATGGGCTGGAGAGAAGAGATGGTGCTGCGATGAATGAGAGCCATATCGTTGGAATGGGCATTTATTTGCAAAGGAAAAACTTGGTGTGGGCATTCTGGCGTGCGTTCAACGCTGTAAGAAGTATTTTACAAAACTTGTTTATGGGGGACGATTGCGAAAGGATTGTAGACACTCCGCTCCCGGTGGCATTGTAATCCTAAGGTGCGGCGATTGTTGCCTGTGCTTGATGTGCAGGCTGTATGGCAGCATCGCAGCACCAGCAAGGAAATGAAAGGGGTCTTTACTCACGCACCACGGTTTCGAACGCATTGTCATACAGTGATTGATCTCTTGGTTTAATAGATTTCTACTAATCTCACTCTCGCTTCGGATTCCTTGATTCGAAATGCCTGAGTGGGCGGATGAAGAAGCAAACCAACCAAAATAAGAAAAGCCAGACGACAGGGGGTATGCGGTTTTGACCTTGAACCATTTCGAGGAACACGGCTTTTGTATTGCGTCAGGGGAGAGAGAAAGAAAAAAAAAGGATCATTCTTTTCAAAAGTGTGTTGTAGCCGCATCTCGCCCCTTGATTTTGGAAAGAAGAAAAAAAAAGACCCATTCCTTTTCCATCCATCCTACCGTTTGATGGAAGAATGGAAGAGGTTACTCCAAAAAAAAAAAAAGCCTGCGCACGCACGCACTAGCCCGTCCCTGTCTCCTAACTCCATGCAATGGTCACAAACGAAAATCAAGGAAAAGGACAAACTGAGATGCGCTGCCAGCAATGCACGACCGTAATGGTCGTTTCTTCGATGGCGCTCTGGGTTGCCTTATTCGAATGCACTGAGGTCAAGCGGCACACTGCTACCGCGGCCGGCTCTGTACTTCTTCGGTCCGGCGCTGAATTCACGCGGCTTGGGCAGTTGTGAGTCATCTTGGAACTTCCAGCGGCCGTCGTTGATGCGAAGCATGTTTGTGTTGACTGATGCTGTGCTCTTCATAGAGCCACCGTTTGACAGCGTGAATGCGCTGGGATCCATTGTTGCAGCTCGCGGCGGCGGTGCTGACGAAGGAGGTGGTGGAGGCATGGCCATGGTTGGTGCTTTGATTGGATGTGTGCCGGGCGGCGGCGGTGGGGCGGATGGAGCGGATGGAGGGACTGGAGCGGCGGACGGTGGCGGTGGGGGAGCAGCGATAGATGGCGCCCTTGGTGGTGATGCGGGTGGCGGCGGCGGAGGAGCGGCGGGAGATCCGCGACCGAAAGCATTGCGGGCGGCTTGCTCAGCCAAGGATGGTGCGTGGCCATTGGTTGGTGGTGGGGGCGGGCCGGGCGGAGGCGGTGGTGTAGCTCGGGAAGGCGGTCGTGGGGCGGCCGATGGAGGTGGAGGCGGCGCAGACGGAGGCGCAGGAGCGGAGGAGGAAGGAGGCGGCGGTGCAGGAGTTGAAGGTTTCCGTGATGACGGTGGAGGCACAGGTGGCTTCTTGCCTACTGGAGGCGGTGGCTTTGGTTTTCCGCCAAGTGCGCCGTGCGACGATGAAGGCCGCAGAGTGTTCTTGAGCGCTGCTACGCCAGGCGGAAGAGGCGGAGCACCTCCGGGAGGCCGGGGAGCTGAAGCAGTGGGTGGCTTTGGCGCTGCCCGCGAACGTGTCGTCTCCGGATCTGACAGGTATGGCGAATCGCTCTTGTCTGCTCCTGTGTCCACCCCGCCTCTCCCAGTCTTCCGAAGCTTGGGCATGCCTCCAGCAAAGAGCCCTCCTAGCTGCGGGACAGCGCCGGTCGCCGCTCCTGAACTGTCCGCATTCTCACTGTTGCTCCTTGCCCGGTTGCCGCCAGGAACGGGCGGTGCAAGTCCGCCGGGGGGTTTCGGTGCCATGCCAGGGACGGGCGGCGCGCCCATTGGAGGACCGGAGGGTCCATCGAGGACTTTTCCAACTGACGGCGCGGAGCGGTCGTTGATCTGGGTGACTTTCTTAAGCCTCGCGCCTGACTGGATATCGCTAAGCAGCGCTCCCTGTCGGCGTCATTAGCAGTAGCTCTCGTAGGGAGAGTTTAATAGAACAAAGGAACTTGCCCTGTTTTTACCACCGCCTGGGGGCTTCGAAGGCAATCCACCGGGTGGAGGCGGCGGAGGGGGAGGGGGACCGCCAGCAGCGCCAGGCGGCGGCGGAGGGGGAGGTGGTGGAGGCGGCGCGGGCATAGCGGAGCTGTCGTGTGCGCGGTCGAGATGGGCGGGTTGAAATCCCCTGTCTGTGTCAACGCAGCGAGGCGGTTGGTATGTTGGCGCCCCAGGGTGCGTGAAAGCGAGGGCGAGGGATGGTAGTGTAGAAGAGCCGTGAGCAACTTGGCGCGGGAGCGAATGATGTCGGCGGTCGGGTCAGGCTTGGGCTGCAAGCTGTGGCTCGCGCGCACAGCCACCACGCGTTGCGAATCGCCCGCGCATCGTCATCCGGCGGCAACCTCTGGCCGCCGCTTTAATCCCGCAACACCCGCCATGAACTCCTCCTCGCGTCTCCTCCGCGCACGTCCTGCGCCGGCATCGCCATGCCAGCTGTGTCAGCACATCCTGCGTCAGCCTAAGTGGCAGCAGCGACGCCCATTGAGCTCCGCTCTTGCCTCCGAGTCCCGTCCTCGAAGTCAGCTTCCCCAGCGGACCCGGCAGTACCCTCGCAAGACCCCAGTCTCAGGAAGCGCACGCGCACCCCAATCAATTGCGAGCCAACTCCTCATCCGCCCAGCCAGCACTACAAATGCGGTCCATCCGGAGCTCACGGCGCTTGCTGCCGCGAATGTCAAGAAGGCCCAAGAGGCCGTACTAGCTATACTGAACAGGGAGTCGGTGCCTTCGGAAGATACCCTTTTGGAGACCCTCAGTGTTGCGCAGAGCGCTGCTGCATTCTTGGCTGAAGTAGATGGCCAGCAAAAGCGATCTACTGTTCCTGCAAAAGCATCAACGCCGACATCCGTACTGCTGGACCTTGAGCCGCACTCGACTAATCCTTCCGATCGAATTGAGGCGCTATCGACGTTGTTGTACAAGCTGATGAAGTACCCGCCTGTCTTCATATCTCCAAAGGTGCTGGATGCCTACATTACGACCCAGTCCATTCTCGAGAAGCCTGAAAGCTTCCCGGAAGTTTTGCACCTGTATGCGAACAAGCCCGTCGCAGCGCCGAACACCTCGCCCGTCAAATACAGCAATCCGAGTCCAAACAATCCCGCAGCTGCCGTGTCGTCCGAAAGTGCGAACTACGCACTGGATGCAGCAATAAACGCCAAAGACTTGCACTTGGCGCTGTCCATCATTGAGCTTACGTTTAGGCAGCCTGCCTACCGTCGTGCACTCATAGTCCGAAAGGTTATGCCACCATTCATGGGTCTTGCTCTCGCGCCTGGAGCTGCATACGTCCTGGCCTCTAAATTTGCCGACTACCAGCAGGTAGTAAACCCTCAATCGGCCACGCAAATGGCCATGATTGGCATAATGACATACGTTGGGGCGGTTTCCACGATTGGTATCGTGGCTGTCACCACGGCAAACGATCAAATGGATAGGATCTCTTGGGCTCAGGGGATGGCACTGTCGGAGAGATATCTGAGGGAAGAGGAGCGAGCGGCTATTGACAGGGTCGCGCAGGCGTGGGGCTTCAAAGACCCTAACAGGAAGGGCGAGGAGGAAGGGGAGGAGTGGGAAGAACTGAGGGAATGGGCAGGCCTTAGGGGAATGGTGCTGGACAAGGTGGAACTCATGGAAGGCATGCAATAGCCGCAAAAGGCAGCGCGCTTTGAGACCTGTGTGAACATAAACTGGATCGGAGTGGGAGGAACGCCTGTCCACAGGATACGCTACATTTCTGGCAGAGAATTTGCGTTGGGGACACCTTTTGCTTCACCTGGTTCCGTCATGTTCGTTGCTGTCTTTCTGCAGACGACACGCGCACTTTGCGACCAATGGGTCAGTAGTATTTGAGAATGGACCAACTACTGCTGAACAAGTTGTGCGGAGAATGACGGCAGCAGAAATCAGGCTGCATAATGATTGTACCTGGGTGAGACGTCACCGCCCGGAGACGCGCCAAGCGCATGGGCTTCCGCCGCTTGAGTCGCGCGCGTTCACCAGCTCCGGCTTCACTTGCAACAGCACCTTGCACACCAGCACCACGACCGCACCTCTCGCCCCGCATCGCGCCTTCCTCGACCCGCCCCCGGCCTGATTATGAGGAAGCGCTTCGAAGCGCATCGCCAACATGCACATTGTCAAGCCCGTCTGGTTGACGCATCCTGGTAAGCTTCTCCGCGCAGCTGCTGTCTTTCCCGCGCGCTGTCGCGTTTCCGATCCGCCACTAATTCGCGCGCACCCACAGGTGAGCTCAAGGATTTCGAGGTCTACAGCTGCCATGTCTCGCCCGACGGAAGCAGACTGGCTACCGCTGCTGGAGGTATGTCGACCTTTCGCACCCAAGCCCATATCCGACGGGCAGCTCCTACTCGCACACCCGCGATACTGAACATTCTGCGCAGACGGACACGTACGGGTATGGTCGACGGAGGCCATCATGAACTCTGCGAACCCGGACTACAAGAAGCCCAGGCAGCTCGCTGCCGTCAGCAACCACTCGGGCACCATCCACACCGTGCGCTTCTCCAGCAACGGCAAGTACCTTGCCTCGGGCGCAGATGACAGGGTCGTGTGCGTCTATGTCCTGGATCCCAACCCGGTTTCGCATTCCACTTTCGGTACGAGAGATCACACACTGGGAATTGGTTATCTTGACTAAGATAGAGCTTAGGAAGCAACGAGGAGCCGCCTGTTGAGAACTGGCGCGTCTTGCGGCGTCTGATCGGTCACGACAATGATGTCCAAGACCTGGGCTGGTCCTATGACTCGTCGATATTGGTTTCAGTGGGCTTGGACTCGAAGGTCGTGGTCTGGTCGGGACACACTTTCGAGAAGCTCAAGACAATCAACAGCCACCAGAGCCATATTAAAGGCATCACATTCGATCCGGCGAACAAGTATTTTGCAACCGCCAGTGACGACCGTACCATCAAGCTCTTCCGTTTCACGCCGCCCGCTCCGAACGCTACATCACAAGACTCAGTAGGCAACTTCGTCCTCGAGACCACCATCGTCGCTCCGTTTGTTACTTCCCCGCTCACCACGTACTTCCGGCGGTGCTCCTGGTCGCCAGACGGCAATCACATAGCCGCGGCGAACGCAACCAACGGACCGGTGAGCTCTGTGGCCATAATCAACAGAGGATCTTGGGAGAGCGACATCAACCTGATCGGCCATGAAGGACCTGTTGAGGTTTGCGCCTTCTCCCCGAGAATGTTCTACAGGGAGCCCCTTACAGACGCTCACAAAGACGCCAATGGCAACTCCAACCTGCCTTCAGTCACTGTCATCGCTTGCGCCGGACAAGACAAGACGTTGAGTATATGGAACACGAGCTTCGCCCGACCTTTCGTCATCACTCAAGAGCTCTCAAGCAAGTCCATCTCTGACCTTGCGTGGTCGCCGGACGGTGAACATCTGTATCTCACCAGCCTTGATGGGAGCATCATGGGCGCCGTGTTTGAACCGGGCGAGTTGGGCTATGTTGCGCCGCTTTCAGAGAGTGACAAAGCTCTGCAGAAATTTGGTGCTGGCCGAAGGCTCGGCATGGTCGAAGGAACGGATGCGCTACTCCTGGAGGAAGGAAGCAAGGCAGGCGAGCTGAAGGGAGTACAAGGGCGAATGGGTGAATTGATGGGAGACGGAGCTCCCGCGCCTGCAAGTGCTAACGGTGTCACGACCCCTGCACAAACAAACGGCTCAGCTGCTTCTCAGTCAAATGCTCAAACAAACGGGCAGGGCTCGGCTGCCCAGACACCAGCGGCTCCCGCATCATCCGGAGACCCCAGAATTGACAAGCTCAAGCAGCGTGTGACTGTTACCAAGGACGGCAAGAAAAGAATCGCTCCTCTTCTCGTTTCTGCGTCTTCCGGTCTGGCAGAATCTTCTTTGCCACAGACACAACTCGTTTCTGCGCAGCAGACCAGAAGTGGCCCAGGCGCTCGGAGCGACAACCCTCACAGTATCCTGGACCTATCGAAACCGTACGATGGCTTGCCGAAAGGAGGACTCGCCGGTCTTCTGCTCGGGAACAAGCGGAAGTTTGCCGAGATCGACGGAGACTCGGAGCGTAGGACTGAGAAGAGATTCGCAAAAGCCACGGTAAATGGTGCTGCTCCCATACTGGTGAATGCTCCAGATGGGTTAATACCGCCAAAGACGTCCGAAAGGCCATTGGAAGTTGAGATTCCCGAGCCTCTACGGCCAGCCATCGTAAATCCCAGCCTCTCTGTGAGTCAGTTGAGGCTGGCTGTGCCGATGATTCGCACTGTCATTGTTAGGACAATGGATGGAAGTGAGCCGCCGCAGTCTGGCGATAGCTCGAAGGAGGACCTAGTGATTCTGGAAGCCAAAAACGCAACGACACCGTCGAGAACGGGAAGACCGCAAGATCGAGATCCTACACGTATCACATGCACCAAAAAGGGACAGACTCTGTGGCAAGACTTCCTTCCGAAGCCGGTCATGCTTGTGACTGGAAATCCGAACTTCTGGGCTGCAGCGTCTGAAGACGGAATGGTACATGTCTGGACACCTGCTGGGCGCCGGCTGCTCAACCCATTGACGCTCGAAGCCCAGCCGGTCATCATGGACTGCAGGGGATGGTGGCTTCTCTGCATCACTGCCGTGGGCACTTGCTATGTCTGGAATATCAACACCCTCTCAGCCCCTCATCCTCCGGTCTCTGTCGCTCCCGTACTCGACGCGGCGATACACTCACAAGGCCCACACCTCATGGGCACACCTGGAATTGTGTTCGCGCGTCTTAATTCACAGGGTCGTGTCATCGTGGCTCTGTCCAACGGCGACGGCTACACGTATTCGCCAATGCTCTACGTCTGGCAACGGCTCACAGAACCTTGGTGGGCTGTGGGATCGCAGTATTGGAACACAACAGACTCGTCCGTCAGCAATCTCACGTCTACCGGATTGTCCAACAAGAACGAGAAGAACAAGGACAAAGACGTCGACGAGGTTTCACCCGAAAACATATCGGCCGGCATCATACCGCAGCTCGAGCGCAACACGTCGAACAACGTGCTCATTCGCGGCCGTGCGTTCTACTTGCAGCGCCTCATCAAGGCATTGCTGTCGGCCGAAGGCTTCGAGAATCTGGAGTCGAGCATCAGCGTCGCGCATCTGGAGAACAGAGTGGCTGCGGCAATGACGCTGGGCGCTCGAGAGGAGTACAAGATTTACCTGCTCATGTACGCAAAGCGGCTGGGTGCGGAAGGGTTGAAGGGCAAGATCGAGGAGTTGCTGAGAAGTCTCATGGGAAACATCTTCGAGGACGAAGACGAGCGGGACGGCGACAAGGCGGGCGGGAACGCCGCCGAGGCGAACGGATCGTCATCGCAGGGTGGCGGCGCGAAAGAAGACGATCTCGTGGGCTGGAAGCGTGAAGAATTGCTGAAAGAGGTCGTCGTGGTTCTGGGTAAGCTGTTCCCCCTCTCGATGATTTGCGACGTGCACTAACGCTCTCGAAACAGGCAAACACCGCGATCTTCAGCGCATCACGGTTCCTTACGCGCGGCTGCTGGGCGTCGTCGACCAGCTTCGTCCGGCGAACGAGGACGGCGACATGGACACGGAGCTCTAAGGGCTGGAACAACAATAACAACCTCTTCCGCAGGCACTCTGAGTTTCTCTGGAGCTTGCTTCTCTCTTCTTCGTTTTCTCATCGGGCGTGTAAATTAGGCTAGGCTCGGCTCGGCTCCCAACGGTCAAAGCGTGCAGTGGTGCTGATTGCGTGGCGGCAAAGGCGTTCATACAAAGTGCTTTGCTGGATTTGCATTATTTTATGCGCGAGCGAGGAACATATGGTGTATCCTTGCTTGGCCTTTTTCCCACCGTTTTTTTTTTCTCCTTTCCTTTGCTTTTTCCTTCTCGGCCCTGCTTCAGCCTCATGGAGGTATTCGAGCTGATGCGGGTATGGACGGAGGATCACTGAGCGAGGTGTAGCTGGAATTTAGCGCAACTTTCTTCCTTCCTCGGGGGGCATTATACAAAAAGTACTGATTACTCCCTTGGAAATGGTATAGTGGAAAAGATAACGATTTGTATTGTATTGAGTGCGGATGGTGATGTGTTGAGGGATGGGTTGAGCTGTTTTATGTGATGCTTCAAAAGTTCCAAGTATCATGCGTGCCTTGGGATGATGGGTGTAAGGCATCATCGGGGTACTCGGGATTGTATAGGAGCGAGAATTCTCTGTGGGATTGGTGTGAATCAATGTTTTTTGTGTTGAATCAAAAAGCGGAAGCGACCTTCATCGTAACCACTGAGCAGCGGCGACAGCGTGAGGGAGTGTTTTTCGTAGCCTCTAGCAGTCACTATCCTTTCACATTGCTAAAGCAACAGCTCCATTGCGTTACATACTTTCTGTCTTATTTCGTATCGATTACAAGCTCTTACTGAATAAGAAAATGAATTGACTTGAGGCCTTGCGTATTCCGAGTCATTCGTGTTGCATTAAAGTCTCTCTGATACCTTTCCGAAGCTACGCGAGGGATGCGAGCAGCTCGGCGATGATTGTTCTTGGGTTTCCGCTATCCATCTGATTTTCCGCTTGTAAGAATTCGAGCTCTTGATTCAACCATTCCTGAAGAATCCCATGCTCAGAATCGTCGACCGCATGTTCCACAACTTCAAATGCCTGGGACTGATCACTAAGTCGTAGCGTCCAAGCCCAGTTACCCCCTCCAGGCCTCCTATCTAGCACAGCATTTTTCAAGATACCGTGCTCTTTGATAACGTTGTGCCTTCGAAGCACGCGCACACTAAAGTGCATGCTCTCGTTGGAGACTATGTCGGTCTGGCCTGGATCAACTTCCTCGAAGCCGTCGCGAGACCAAAAGTGGCAGCGTGGTTTCCGATTTGACGACCCCAGAACACGGTACCCCGCCTTTAAGGAATCTTGTACCTTCGCTATGGCTCTGACATCAACTTTTAAAGCGTCAGCGGCTGTCGGTTGAACGGATTCAATGAAATGGTTCTCACTGTTCCCTGGCTGAGCTTGGCGGCTCCAACCCCAACTCGACGTTTTACTTCGCTGTATGATCTGCCCTGGTGGCTGAGCGAAACTCGGGCTCCCGAGATTGTTGAGGTCGAACCTCAGATGGTCTTGCAACTTCGAAACCATCCAGACGAGTGCCAGGTGCGCATGGCTGTCGTTATCCTTGCCTCCTCCTATGTCGCTATGGCAGCCCGTGAACCAGCATTGCTCCAGAACCGGGCCATTCTGAGGAGGGGGGTTTTCTGGTATCCGCCAAACCATAGGAGGGTATTTTGACCGCCTCTCATGTAGAGCAAGAGCCTGAAAAGCATATCTAATGTTGCGATAGAGGTCAGAGTTGATAAAGCACAACGGGTCCGGAATCAGTTGCTGGTAGGGTTTGGTCCGAGGCTTCAAGGGATTTCCAAGCGTGCTGACTGTGTCCCATACTGCGCAGGCCTGGATCCGTACGGTATCAGGATGACGATAGGCGGCAGTTTTGTACAGCCAGTCCAACAGCTGTGGGAGGATGAGCTTCCCCTCCTTCCAGTCGCGGAAGATACCGGGCAAAAGGAAAAGGCGTGCCTTTGTAAGAAGTCCAACTTGACCAATCAATTGTGCTATGCATCTCACTGTGTATGCTCCTCTTGAGAAGCCAATCAGGTATATTTCGTCGTGTTCGCGCTCATAATTGTCGCAAATGAAGCTGTATGCTTCCCGGATGTTCTGATTGATGCCTGGATGATCGTCAGAGCGCTGAGAAGAGCAGGCATTACCCGACATACCTAATCCAGTAGCCTTGTTCGCAGCATCCATGGGATTGTGCGGATCCGTCCCGACACCTGGCTGATAGAATACGATCTGAGGGTTGCCGTTCTCATCCGAAGCACAGATACATCGTGAAATCCTTGACACATTGGTCAAGTTCGTGCCAAGGGTTGCATTGCACGCTGTGCCATCACAGCAAATGATGATCTTCCGGGCGATCGTCTGGTCTCTGTCCATGCTTAACCAGCCATGAGCCTTGTAGAACGGATGACGAAAGTGGATGTGCTGGAAGGAGACGGAATGTGTATTGCAGCTTTTTGAAGAGGAAGCTGGATCTCAACAACTTGATGTACATACGATGCTGGCACAATAAATTAAGAGCTGCAATATGCTACACCGCATGTTGATACAGAGCCTTGCAGCTCTTGGAGAGTGTGTGCTATCTACTGCTGCAAAAGAAGAAATGGAGTATGCAAATGCACAGCCTTTCCCAGCACCCGGTGGCTGGCGTGAAAACCATGGCTTCGTTACTCATCCGAGATATTGAGTCTAGTACACCTGATATTGCTCTATGCGGCAACTCACATGATACCAGAACCCTGGAAGACGAATTCAAGTTAGCCATCGACTGTAGAAAGGAAAAGCACTGTTTGCCCACTTGAGTCAGATGGCTGACATTCGTTTTCGTGGTCTCGGAGCCTTGTCCATTGCACAGTCAGCTGAACTCAGCTGGCTCAATAAGCCGGAGCGTACGATCGGGTGTACAGGATGGCACTGCAGCTGAGTGATTCCGCGATGCTTTTTTTTTCGTCTCATGTCGAGGCTGAGTATTCCTTGTGGGACCCAAATAACCATTATGCTAGAAGTTGGCTTCTTCGAGCCAGCATCGGGAGGAGGACTTACTCTATGAAAGAAGAAAGTAAAGTGTTAGCAAAAAAAAGAAAAGAAAAAAGCCATTATGTTAGGTCTCGGAGTTTCCGAGAAAGTCCGATTACCAAGTAGAATCGGCTAGGACTCCTGCTTGCAGTTGAAACACTTTCAGACATCAGTAAGCAAGTAGTTGTATCGTAGCCATCTTGCGCCTCACTTGATGGAGGTGTTTTTACATCCTTTTGACTATCGCCAGCAAAAATGGAGAGCGTTTGTGAGTACTTTCGCCAAGAACCAAAAGAGGGGTAGGCATCATGAGGCTGGTCATTCGTGTAACCACGCCATCATACGGTTTCTAGGGAGAGCCTTGCAGCAATCGATGCAAAGCGGAACCATCTTACGCTCAGTATGCCACAGTGGTTCCTTTTGTCTCAGCAATGATGTCTCAAGTGCTCATGTGCGACTGATGAGAAGAGTGTCGAGCCGGCAGATCCCCAGCTAGCCTCGCCCTTGGGAATGCATCGCCTTTCCCCTCCACAGTCTCTTGCAACCACAAACGAGCACACAGACATTGTTGAGACGTCATGAAGAGCCTAACTTTTATTTCCTTCAAAAGACTCCGGCACAGACGCTGGATTAAACACAAGCCCCACATCAGGAAAAATGTCAGAGAGCCGAAGACAGTAAAGTCGCTGGAGGGAGCGGGCCATGTCGGTATCGAGGAAACGTACAGACCGGATAAGGAACCACCCCTCTTCGAGTATGCTATGCCCTTCCGCTATAGTCTTTCTTTCATGATTTTCTCTGAGTAGGCTGACTGATCACGACGTTTTGCGCAAGTATTGTCTGCGTCCACGGCCTTGCAGGCAGTCAAAAGACGACATGGACAACCGACACGGGAAAGCTATGGCCCAGGGCATTTCCATCAAATGAAGTGCCAAGATCCCGTACCCTTGTCTATGGCTACAGCAGCCATCCAGAAACATTGCTGGATATCCCGTTGGGGCAGAGACTTCATGTTCTGGCGAACAAGCTACTGGAGGATGTGGATGAAGATCGAAGACAAAATCCAAAAGATTGGAATCCTGTATGATTCTTGCTGGTACGTGCTGTAGGTGTTGAAGCTAACGATGCGAAGACACGACCGATCGTCTTTGTGGCTCATGGCCTCGGTGGCCTCATCTGCCAATATGTGAGATAGTAAGCATGGTAAGGTTCTTGGAAAGGCTTTTAACCACATTTCAGGCTACAACATCTCTCGACGAAGAAAAGGAATCTGCCAACACTGCCCGACTAGTGCATGGAGTCATACTGTTGGCTACGCCTCACTCTCGCGCTGGGTTGGCACAATGGGCGACAATATCGGCCAGATCTCTTGACAAGAAAACAGTACGGACCAAGCTCGCAGATAGTGTGGACCGAATCGTTAAACGGCAGCACCTATTCCGCCAACTGGTTGGTACCGCAGATTCCACTTCAGAGACGTTCAAATCCCGGATCAAGGTCATTTGTTGTTTTGAAACGCGACACCCTGGAGAACACACCACCATCAAGAAGGATCAGGTCTATAATCCTTTTGAGTGTAAGTTATAAAGTGAGCTGACTTGGACACAGCAACTTTCCCCAGAGTGGGCCATCACACCATACTCAAAACCGATCGAGGCCCGCGGAATCAGCGACGAGCGCGAAGGTCTAGCACACTTCACAACCTATGACGGTGATTCTGGCTTCAAAATTCTCGCAAAAAAGCTTTCAGAGTGGTCAGAACAGATGGAGATCGATACTGGCCCACACTTTGGGACCAGTGCGGGGATTGAGCCAGAGTCAACGCCGATGGAGGTGTTTGAAGACGTTGGACTGCGTCGACAAATGCTGGCCGCCACGATGCCCACCTCACGTATATCTATTCCTGTATAGGAATTGATCCCTACACAAGTCAGCGCGGTTGGTCCGGCCATAAGGGAACGACACGCCAGCAATCATTATGCTAGGCAGCCTCAACCAGCCAGCACATGGGGTATCCTTTACGTTGCAACGTTCTGACCCGAGATCTTGGGAACATTCTATCGCGCGCTTAAGTTGAAACAATATTCGCGTTTTCTTTCTTTCTTTTCGACTCTGATCCACTATCGCTGAGCTTGGAGAATTTTTGGCGATGATCTTGCGTTGGTACGATTGGTTAATGGTTTGACTCAAAGGGGACCTTAATCTAGGATCCCGTTAGCTTCCGCTCGCTTATAACTTCGCAGATAAGCTCACAAATAACTTTACTGCGCAAGTTGTGTGCCATATGTATCTTGTTGCTTTTTTGACTGTCGGATTCTGAACTAGACTGATTAAGTTGAGCGTTCTGGATACGTATATGTCCTGCTAAACCCTCCCTTCCTTCTCATCTTTCTTATCGACTGGAAACGTCTGGGTAGGAGAGCTTTTCTTTGTTACATGTCTCGAACACTGAATTCGGAAACATTGGGTACGAATTTAAACTCGGCGACAGTTCGAAGCTAATCAGCAAGGAGCATACGAGATGGCTCTGCAGAGCCCAACTCGCCCATCAGAATCGAGTACAACGCGCGGAACAGCACTGAGTGACATTATCTGACGTACGACGTGCGGGGTCTCATAGCCGGTTCGGCAGTTTAGACGTGGGAACGGGCGATCGACACTCCCGATGGCAGGTACTCCGCACTCCACACTCAAGAAGTTACAAAAACGAGCCCTCACTTCCTTTGTCAAAAAGACTTCCTCCTCCCCTCCACACTCACACAAAACCCCAACCTCACCATGACGCCCCCCCTCCCACCCCACTGCACCGTCCTCGTCATCGGCAGCGGCAACGCCGGCCTCAGCGCCGCCATCTCCGCCGCCCAAAACGGCGCCGAATCCGTCCTCCTCGTCGACAAATGTGCGTGATCCGTCCCTAGTCCCTAGTCCCTTTCCCCCACCCTTTTCCACCTTAGTCCGTCCCTTCCCACCACCACCCCCACCCTTTGCCCCACCAACCTAACCCCCCCTAACCACCACCACCACAGGCCCCCCCTCCCACGCCGGCGGCAACACCCACTTCACCGCCGGCGCCTACCGCACCACGCACGCCGGCGCCGCGACGCTCCTCCCGCTCGTCAACAAAAACAACAACAACAACGACAACAACAACGAAAACAACAACGACGACGCGCCTGCCACTTATAGTCCTGAAGAAGTATCCATCCCCCCCTACCCCGCCGCCGCCTTCGCCGCGGACATCGCGCGCGTGACGGACGACCGTGCGGACCCCAGCCTCGCGGCCGTGCTGGTCAACGACTCGTTGGGTGCGGTGAGGTGGTTGAAGGAGTGCGCGGGGGTGAGGTGGAGGTTGGGGGTGGAGAGGCAGGCGTATCGCGTGAGCGTCCGGGACGGAGATGGTGGGGGAGGAGGAGATGGGGATGGTGGAGATGGGGATGATGGGGGCGAGGGAAAAGGAGAGGGAGAAGGAGAAGCGCGGCCGGCGGCGCGCTGGCGCTTCTGGGGCGGTCTGGCGCTCGTGACGGAGGGGGGCGGGAAAGGGCTTGTGGAGGACCTGCTTGGGGCGGCGGCGCGGTGGGGGATCAGGGTCGTGTGGGGGGCGGGGGTGGTGGGGCTGGTGGTTGTGGGTGGTGGTGGTGGTGGTGGTGCAGCGGTGGATGCTGCTGAGAAGGCGGAGAAGAAGGTCGTCGGCGCCGTGCTGCGGCACGACGGCGTCGACGTGCCCGTGCTCGCGTCGGGAGGGGTGGTGCTGGCGGCGGGCGGGTTCGAGGCGAACGCGGCGATGAGGGCGCGGTTTCTGGGGAGGGAGTGGGGCGAGGAGGGGCGGGTGCGCGTGAGGGGCACGCCGTTCAACACGGGCGAGGCGCTGGAGGTGGCGGTGCGGGACGCCGGCGCGGCGAGGGCGGGCGACTGGGCCGGGTGCCATGCCGTGGCGTGGGATGCGAACGCGCCCCGGAACGAGGACGGAGGCGGGGACAGGGAGAGGACGAACGAGTACACGAAGAGCGGGTATCCGCTGGGTGTGATGGTGGACGTGCGGGGCGCGCGGTTCGTGGACGAGGGCGCTGATTTTCGGAACTATACGTATGCGAGGGTGGGGAGGGCGGTGTTGGGGAGGGAGGAGGGCGTGGCGTTCCAGGTGTGGGATGCCGTTGGGGCGGGCATGTTGCGGAAGGAGGAGTATAGGGAGGAGGTGGTGGAGCGGATCGAGGCTGGGAGCTTGGAGGAGTTGGCCGAGAGGTGCGAGGAGCGCGGGTTGAGGGATCCCGAGGCGTTCGTAGGGACGATAAGGCGGTTCAACGAGGCGGCGACGAGGCATAGGGAGAGGCATCCGGAGAGGGTGTTTAACCCGGCGGCCAAGGATGGCGTTGCGACGGAGCCGGGCATGTTGGACGTGCCCAAGTCGAACTGGGCCCTGCCGATCGAGAAGCCGCCGTTCCTGGCGGTCAAGGTCGGGTGCGGTATCACCTTCACCTTTGGTGGGCTGGCTGTCGAGCCTGAAACAGCTGCTGTCATGTCGGAATCAACGGGGAAGCCGATTGACGGATTGTATGCTGTGGGTGAGATGTTGGGAGGACTTTTCTATGGAAACTACCCCGGTGGCAGCGGCTTGACTGCGGGGACGGTTTGGGGCAGACGAGCTGGCAGGGATGCAGCGAAGAGAGCACAGAAAGAAAAGGGAGCGACGCGTCTGTGAGAAAACAGCGTGTACTAGATGAGGTTTATTCACTGCTTCCCCACGTCCGATTTCTCCCTGATGACAGAACGAAACAATCTAAAACCTCTTCAGGCTCGTGCCCTTTTTGCACCACCACGTTGCTTGTGAAACCCCCTCTTACAACCCTCGGCGTCCGCCTGGCCTCCGCAGCACGTCCAGACAAAGCCCTCGGGATACTCTTCTCGATTCTCGTCGGTGTCGATTGGACCGAAGATGTCGTCATCGGTGTCGTCCCAGAAGCCAGAGTCCCAGTCGACGTCACATTCACCTAAGCAAGGCATCAACACGGAGGAAATTTGGTAGGATGCGAGTGAGGGGCGACTACCGCTGTGCCAGGAACATTCGGATTCCTTGCTTAATGCGAACTCGAATTCTTGGCCACACTGGCGGCAATGCTCATACTTGTTGCGTTTCTTGGGGTTCGCATCGGAGTGGTTTGCTGGTATCAGAAGCTCGTTTTCCACCAGCTTTTTGCCGTGTGGATCGGCAATTATGGCGATCAGGGTCTTGCGGAGACGTTCATCGTCGGCGGAGCTGATGGCATTGATGACTGGGGATGACAACATGGTTCGGAGGTGCTGAGGAGAAGTTGATGTGATGAGCGAGGCGTGGTTAAGAGTTGTCGGCACCCCATGTCGCTGGTGGGGTTGCCACGACAAATGCCGTGCTCAGATGGTCGTTTTCGGAAGCTCGTCCCGGCTATCATTCGATGTGCAAGCACTTCTTGGGGTGAACTGCCAGCGCGAAATTGCTTTTTTCTTCTTTTTCTTTTTTTCGCGGAGAGGTGGGGTTTTGAGCAGTCGCATCACCAGAGCAATGGCCAAGTTTCGCAATGATGGCGCCGATGGACCGCTGCAAGAAGATGGGGCCCGGCATCAAGAGCGGTACTTTTTCTGAGACGCGGTGCCAGCTTTGTGATAACCGATCAGGCAGCCTTCAGCATCGCTTTGCTCATTACAGCAGCTCCACACGAAAGCTTCGGGAAACTCTTGGCGGTTCTCCTGGGTGTCAATGTCCTCAGCGGCGCCACACCAGTAGCCCTCTTCCGAGTTGATCATCAGGTAGCCTGCTCGACGGTCAGCGACGGGATCGAATAAAGATAAATGGAAATGGGGGCCCATACCGGAATGCCAGACGCAATGGTCGTGTCCGTTGGCCGTGACGTCGAAGTCTCGCTCGCACTGTTCGCAGCGGTCGAACCTCTTGCGTTTTGCAGATTTAGATTTGGCAGGCAAGACAACGGCTGGTTGCTGTTCCATGTGCGGCTGCTCGAGGCGAAGGTCCAGCTCGTCGAGTTCGTCCTCGACAATGCTCCTGCCGTACTCGCTGTCAAGAGTTGCCAACAGAACAAACTGCAAGCGCTCCAAGTTGGCGGCAAGCATGGCTTGCAATTCGTCGTCAGCGGCGTCCATGTTGTAGGGAAGAAAGGGATGGGGATTGCAAATTCGGATGAGGGTGTTGCAGAGCCTTGTTCTTCTGGTGCACTGGTCTCGCTTGTTGTCGGGCCGACGACGACCAGAAGGGAATCCATGACTACTGCCAAGTGCATGTCATATCTCTTCATATCTCTTCCGCTTGGTGCTGGACGGCGCATAGATTTTGACGTGTGGGATTGGGATGGCATCTTCCTTGCCGGTAGGGGCGTCTGCCGGCACTAGAAGCGACCATTCGACGGCCTCGCGTATAGCTGGGCCAAGCATATTTGAAGCAGCTCATGGCTCGTCGAAAAGACTGTGTCGCGGACGGCTGCAACATCATCCATAGCGACTGCTGTGTGTGAAGACGTCTTAAGAGTAGGTAGATTGGACGCGTCCCTGGCGTGGCGTGTCGCGTCGCACAGGACGGCACGCGTCTTCGCGCCGATGACGTCGTGCGTCGCCCTTTCCCACGCACCGGCGCGCCCTTTGCAAATTTCCCAATGCAGTAACCGCACATTCTACTACATCTCCATCGACTCGCCTCCATCCGACTGGCACACTCTCTTCATGTCCGAGTACCCCGGCTCCGCATGATGGCCCGCCTGGCACCCCGCGCCCTTGACATCGCCCTGCATCCCGCAACAGCTCCACAGAAACCGCTCCGGGAACCTCGCCCGCGACTCGGGCGAATCAATCGCCCCATCCCGCTCCTCTCTGTGGTACTTCCACGCCCCGGTGTTCCAGTTGACAGCCAGCCCCCCTGCACGCACACACACACATGGCCACCACACCAATCAGCCCAGGCCCCGGACGGACAGCGCAAAACGAAAAACCCAAGCTCACCAGGATGCCACCGACACGCCTCGCCCTCGTTCTTGGTGACGTCGTACTCGGCCGCGCACCGGGCGCAGCTCTCGTAGCGCCGCCGCTTCGTCGTCGTCGTCGTCGACGAGCCGCTGCCGCTGCCGCTACCGCCGCCGCCGCTGCCGTCCCAGCTCAGCCGCGAAAAGGACGACTGCACCGTCTGCACCAGGAATTCCTGCTCGACCGCCTCGCGGCACGGCCGCTCCGCGAAGGCGATGCGCAGCAGGATCTCGCGCACCAGCTCCGGCGACGCCGCCTGGATCGCGTCGATGAGGGCTTGTTGTTGTGATGAGGGTGATGACATTGTTGCGGATGCGTGGGTTAAGGGAATGGAGGCTTCGAGCAAGAGGGAACTAGGTAGGTCGTGTTTGGTGGGTGACGACGTCTGACGGTCATGGTGTTGGTCTTGTTGTTGTACGGGGCCGACGTTGCTGGGTCAACGCGCCGAGGTGTTCGCGGGCGGAAAGATGGGCTCTGCCGTTTCATCCACCTGCATGATTCGAAATGATGGCCGATGAAGAAGCGGGCTTCATCACTACTCTCCGGACGGGATGCATTTGGTCATGGATGTGACGCACAGCTTCCCTTAAGAGCCAAGATTGCTCAATGGCTCATCTGGTCGGCGCTGCAATCCGGGACAAGCCGACTTCTCAGCACCATTATTCTGGAATGCCATGTGGAAGGGCGACGATGGAGAAAGAGGTGGGGAGTTGCAGTGGGGGGCATGGCGATCGATAGGCGAACACGTGTTGGCCAGCGATCGGGGCCCGTTAGCTTGATGCCCTCCCTTCGTTCAGCCCGTGAGCCCGCTCTTTGATTTGCGCGCCTTTGTTGCGCTCGCACGTGAAACCCCATTGTCACCTGTCACGTCCGTTCATCCACCACCTGCACGCACGTACCCCTGCCAAAGAGCGCGCCGGCTACGTGCAGAACTGTCGTGAGGGCTGCAGCATCCCAGGGGCAACCAGCACGCCGCAGGTCAGGGGTTTCAGGACAGCCAAAATCACGCGCGCACAGGTGTCCGATCCCACCCCATTGCCTGCGATCACGACGCCTCTTATACCCCAGCCCCAGCATTCTCCCGCCCAGCGATCGCCATCACACCAGCTCAGCCCTACGGCTCCCATTCACGCCCTCCCGCAACCCCGGATTCCGGAACACAAAAATCAAAAAAAGCATGACATCCAGGGCCCTGCGCGAAGCCATTGATTACGCAAGCCATGAGCGCCTGAAGATGACGCTCAAGGCCATCTGCGAAAAGTCGGCCGTCGCCCGCGAGCTCGTCGGCCACGAACTCATGGTCGACTCGCGCAGCAGCAGCGAGGAGCCCGTCTTCCACCGCCCGCCCTCATCGCTGTCTGCCGCCACGTCGTTTCCGTCCGTTCTGCCCATGGCCGCCGTGCTGCACGCCAATGCGAATGGTGGCGCCGTCCCCGCCACCCCGCCAAGCCGCAAACGCCCAAGCGTTCAATTCGTCGAGTGCGTCCGCTGCAACAGGAAGTTCGAGACCGTCGCCGACAACAGCAGCCCCGGCGACTGTGTGTGGCATCTTGGTGCGTTTGCTCGTTGATGGAATGCGTCGTTTGGTGGTGCATCAGCTGATATGTATTTTGCCGGCCCCAGGACCGCTCAATGTCGACCTCGACCACGACATCTGGACTGACTGGTGCGACAAAACATACGGCCCGCTCGACAATGAAGAAAACATGAGGAACAACTTCCCACAGTACCCCGAAGGCTTCGTCTGGACCTGCTGCGGCGGCCGCGGCGACTCGAATGGCTGCCAACGAGGACCCCATCAGCAACGCGAAGCCTCCATCAAAAGAGTGCGAGTCTGATCCCTCGCAGCGCATTTCCGAACATGATGCGTCGGAACTTGTATTATACATCGAGCTCACCGAGCTTTTGTATTTGTCCATTGGCGCAGGGGACGGAACTACGACATTGAGAAAACACACGGTTGACACGGACTCGGAAGAAATCACGCAAGGTTTTGCATTGGGAACGGCGTTTGGGACATACCTTCATCGTTCCGTTACGATTGACTTACTCAACCCGTTGCGGTAGTGTACTCTACCATCACCCTCCGCCCGGGCTACAGCTTCGCGGACTGTACTATCTATTAATGCGATTTCTCTACGATTTCTATGTTCTAACCCTGTCCCAAGAAAAGGCCCTCTTTCTCCCAGCAGGTTGAGTTCAGCAGTTCCTCCTGATACAAGCTCGAATCGCGGATGGCTGTTTTTGGACGATGAGCCTGGCTGCACGCCACCCATTGTTCGTCGTCGCCTTCGCCGTGCTCGCGCCGGAGCAACTGCAGCGCCATCTCACACGTCACCAACTTCATCCTTAGTTTCTCGTTCTTCATTCGCATGCGTTGCTCCGAAGCCTCCAGACATTGCGCGCGATGCTCCAGCTCCCGCAACCGGCTCGCTCGGCGGGCACGATTTTGAAGCCTCGGTCGCCCTTGGAAAGGACCGTGTTGTGCTGGTTTCTCGGGGAAAGGTGACATGGAGGTCATCCGCTTCTGTGTCTCTGGTCCGTAAGGTATCTGACCATCCGTAGGGGCACGCATCTCGTCCAGCGCATTGCTGTCAATAGAGCAATGGGTCTCTGTCGATGGAGCTGCCACCGAGCATGTCGTGGTGCTCGAAGTCATTGAGACAAGCGTAGTGGATTCGCGGTTGTGATGCAGGTTGTTGGACAAAGGAAGGAGTGGAGACCAGTTGCTGGAAAGTGGGTCCCCTATAAAGTGTCCTCAGGACATCTCGCTGTCAACTGTTTGCGAAGGTGGCTGCTTAGGCTACTTCGGCTTTCGCGTGATTCGCAGGCCGACGCGGCAGCTGATGCCGAGTCGAAGTCGGGCCGGCTTTTGCTGTCTCCCGAAGCGTGCGAGCGAGAATGGCTAACCCCAAACGGCAATGCATGCTCCGCTGCCGCTTCTCGACCAAGGCTGTTCCAGGGTGGCGAGTACTTGGCCCGTCTCTTGTCTGCTCGGCCATTCGGACCAGGCTTACGAATTGCCCGCAGTCTGAAGCTTATGCTGCAGTTTGTAAGTTCTCTCTCAGCACTGACAAATTGCGCAGAGGGGGGGCTGGAGTTGGAGTTGAATGACTTCATCGGCGCTGTTACCCCGCCCTGGGCACATGTTTAAGACTGCGGCTCTCCAAGCATTGGGATGGATGATACTCAACTCACATCTCCAACTCGCTTTCCCGCATCACACTCGAATCCGAACAATGTCCAAGCTCATCACTGTCTTCGGTGCCACTGGCAACCAGGGCGGCTCCGTCATCAAGCACATCCTCGCCGACCCAGTCCTCTCCAAAGAATTCAAGGTCCGAGGCATCACCCGCGATGCCTCCAAGCCCGCCGCCCAGGCACTCACCAAGCAGGGCGTCGAGATGAAGAGCGTTCGTGCATCCGACAGACGTCACAATCGCCCGACGACACAGACTGACACGTGACGTACAGGCCGACATGAACTCCAAGTCCTCCCTGACCGCCGCGATCCACGGCTCCCACACCGTCTTCCTCGTCACCAACTACTGGGAGTCGGTCCAGTACTCGGTCGAGGTCACGCAGGGCAAGAACGTGGCCGACGCCGCCGCCGACGCGGGCGTGCAGCACCTCATCTTCTCGACGCTGCTCAACGTCACCAAGCTCACGGCCGGCCGCCTCGGCCACGTCCCGCACTTTGACGGCAAGGCCGACATCGCCGACTACATCCGCCACGAGACGAACGTCCCCGCCACCTTTTACCTGCCCGGCTACTTCATGAGCAACTTTGCGCAGATGCTGCAAAAGGCCGACGATGGGAAATCATACACCTTGGCTTTCCCTGTCGGCAAGGACGCCCCGTTCCCGCTCGTCGACATCGCTGAGGACACGGGTGAGTTTGCTATCCCATTCCATTTCCTCTCTACTACCCTAGCTGACCATCCCCCCAACACAGGCAAATTCGTCAAAGCCATCATCAAGAACCGCGACCGCCTCCTCGGCGCCTCCGTCTTCGGCGCCGCCGACTACTACTCCCCCGAGCGCATCCTCGCCGAGCTGGAGGAGGTGACGGGCAAGGAGGCGACGTACGTCCGGGTCTCGCCCGAGCAGTACAAGGGCGCCCTGCCCGACTTCATGGCCGAGGAGATGCTCGAGAACCACCTTTTCATCGAGGAGCCGGGGTATTATGGGGGGGCGGGGTTGGAGGGGAGTTTGGCGATTTTGGAGGAGGGGGAGAGGCCGGTGTCGTGGAGGGAGTTTGTGGGGAAGAGTGGGTTTTAGTGAGCGGGGGGTGTAGGAAGGGGGGGAGGTGGGAGAAGGAATGGGGTTGGTGAAGTCTTGGTCGAGGGTGGCGTAGTTGTACCGGACGTGCTCGTCGTGGCCGGAAATGGAAAACAATAATAGTGCTGATGGAAAAGACACCCCTCATCTTTCCAGGACAACCTATCAACCACACTGAATCATTGAAACGGGGTCAACTCATACGCCTTCTATACCTTATCCATGAGCGGCTCTCTCCCTCTCCATCTATCTATCTATACGCAATCGCCGTGAAATTATCAATCAGATTCCTCTCCACCTCCGCGCTGTTCCACTCCTCCGCCCCCGAATCCCGCCTCGTCGTCTCGCTCCAACCGTCGTCCATCTCCCCCTCCTCCCCGCTCCCGCCGTTCGACCTCGACCACCTTTTCGACGACGCCGCCGCCGCCTTCGCAGCATCCCCGTTCGGCGGCCTCCCCGAAGACGAAGCGTACCTGCCTCCACCACCACCACTCCGCATCGCCGCCGCCGCCCCCCTCGACCTCGACCTCGACCCCTGATCCGCCTCCGCCTCCCACCCCGTACGCACCCGTCGCCATTCACCCCCCTGCTTCCTCTCCTCCCCCTCCCCCTCCTCCTCTTCTTCCCGCCCACGCTCCCCCGGCGGCAACTGCATCACCGACAACTGCGACAGCCTCCTCCCATGCCCCTGCCCATGCCCTACTAGTCCAGTTCCCGGCCGCGGCATCTTCGGCAACGGCGGCAGCCCCGGCCTCGTCGACTGCGCCGCCGCCGCCGTCACGACCGTCGTCCCGCGCCTGCGGCCCGCGTGCGGCTGTCCCGCCGACCCGCCGGCTGACGATGACGATGGGAACGACGAAAACGACGGCAGCGTGTTGGACCGGACGAGGGCGGTGGCGGGGCGCTGGTGGGGGTGGTGCTGTTGCTGACGTTGTTGTTTCGACGACTCGTCGCGGGGGGAGAAGAAGAAGAAGGAAGAAGAGGAAGACGAACGGTCCTCGCCTGCCAGCTCCTGCTGCCGCCTGACCGAAGCGCTGGCAGTGGCGACGGCGTGAGCGGGCGGGGAAAGCGGCGGCAGCGGCGGCAGCGGCGGCAGCGGCGCGTTCATCGACCCACCAGCACCAGCACCACCGCCAGCACCAGCAGAATCCGTCGTCGTCGTCGTCGTCGTCGCCGTCGTCAGCCGTCTCGTCTTTTGTTGCTGCTGCACGCCTCCGCCCACGGCCATCATCCCCACCACCCCCTCGTCAAACTCCTCCGCCGCCTCCGCAACGAGCTCGAAGTGCCGTCGCCGCAGCGTGACCGTGTTCGTCGACGCCGCCGCCGATGACGACCCCGTCCGCCTCCCCTCCTCTTTCTTCTTCTTCTTGTTCTTCTCCCTACCACTACCACCACCACCATCACCAACCCCACCCCCACCCCCCACCCCACCCCCATACGACGCCTCATCCTCCGCCAGCGCAATGGCATTCCAAAACGCGTTGCGGATCTGGCGGCCGCTCCAACAACCTGCTGAACCGCGCCACCACCGAGGACGATCACCGGTCGCGACGTGCTGCTGTTGCTGCCGCTGCCGCTGTTGCTGGCGGTGGTAATTCTCCGCGGCGAAGCCCAGCACCTCGTCGGCTTTGATGCGCATGCTGGGGCGCTGGCGCTTGGCCTGCCAGATGGCGATGTCCCAGACGTCGAGGGCGGTGCGCTCGTCGAAGGGGGGGTAGAAGAGGGAGAGGCGGATGCGGGAGTGGAGGGGGGAGGAGGGGGAGTGGAGGGGGGAGGGGGAGTGGAGGGGGGAGGGGGAGAAGGGGGAGGGGGAAGGGGAGGAAGACGAGGAGGGGGAAGTGGTTGTGGTCAGGAAGAGGAGGCCTGGGTACGTGTCTAGTGCGCGCAGGAATGCTGCTGCTGCGGCGGCTGTGGGGGAAGAGGCTGCGGGGGAGCTGGCGAAGAGGGGATCGGCGTCTTCGACGAGCAGCACGGCGTCCCACGCCGCGGCCAGGGCGAAGACTTCGTCCAGCTGCTGCTGGGTCGTCATGGCGAGGAGGTCGCCGCACGGGAGGGCGAAGAGCGGGCGCGAGAAGTGGCTCGCCACGCACTCGGCCGTCAGCGTCTTGCCGACGCCGGGCACGCCGTGCAGCAGGACGGCCAGCCCGGGCTGCTCGCGCCGGAAGAAGTCGATCTGGTGCTGGGACGAGGCGGGATCGAGACGGTCGGCCCTGGCGCTCTGGCGCTGCCGGAAGTGCTGGCGCAGGAGCGGCTCCAGCTTCTCGCGGTGGCGCCGGGGCAGCGCGAGGCGCTTGAAGCCCTCGCTGCCCGTCTTGTCGCGCGTGCCGTGCAGGTCGCCGACGTCCAGCGCCGCCCACGTCCTGGTGCCGAAGACGAAGCCGAAGACGCGGCGGGGCAGCAGCATCAGCGCGTCGTCGCTGAGTCTCGTGTCCGCGTCGCTCAGCTCTCGCGGCTGCAAGAGGGAGTCGGGTATTCCCGCTGCTTGGACCGATTCCCAGGCTTCGACTTCGTCGTCGTCGTCGTCAGTGTCGCTTCTGACGCCGATTATGGTGGGGGCCCAGTGTGGATTGCGGGCGATTGCTTGTTGGAAGTCGATCATGACTTGGCCGTCGACTTGCTCATGAGAAGTCATGGTCGTTCCCTGGCAGTGCATGTGCCTGCCCGTTGCGACCTTGACAAAGATCCTCCCACGGCACACGAGGATTTCGCGAACGCCCGCCGGGTCCGAGTTCATGCAGAAGGGGAGAATGGGGAGGGAAGCCACGCTTCGCCGTCCTCTGTATTTCCTGATCTTGAACTTGGTGTAGACGGGCCCGATGAATCGCCCGTCGCAGTCCAGCCGGATGCAGCTGATGGAGAGGGCCTCTTTGCTTGGCTTGTTTTCCGCAACCAAGGCGGCGTTGACGACTTTGTACGCTTGCTTCCTGTCCGACGTGATGGCCATTTGACACTTTTCGAACAGAGAGCAGAGTTCGCCAAACTCCATGTGCGTCCTCTGCGACAGTGACGGCGTGCCAAAGCTTTCTTTACGCTCTGGGACGATGCCTGGTTGTCGGGTGATTCTGAGAGGTGGAGAAGTTTCAAGCGGTGGAAATGCTATGTCAAGCGGCGGTGACGCAGGCGGCGGTGATTCGGGGGGCGGTAATTGAGGCGGTGGCATTTGTGGAGCTTGCGTTGATGGCGCAGACGAGGTAAACACTTCAGTATGACCATCCGAAGGCGGGGTCAGAGTCCTTTCCTCCTGGGCTTCTGGCGGTGATGCGGTTCGCTGTGGAGTGGTTGGTCGCGGTGTAGTTGATCGTGAAGGTGGGGTCGCTGGTCGTGATGTGGTCGGTAATGGTGGAGTCGGCAATGGCGTCGATGGTATCGATGTGGGCGTCAGCTCGGACAGAAGATTTTCAATGGCTTTCATGCGATATTCCATGCCGGAGGTTCGTCCCGGATACTGCTGTTTCGTCGAAGGTGTACGCTTGATCTTGGGTTCTTGGACGGTGTCTTGGTCAGTCGGCGCAGGGAAGAGCCCTGAAGAGACTCGAGCCCTTTCCTTTTCAGGTAGTGTGTCGATTGAGTCTTGCGAGTAGTCCGAGAAGGGGTCTTCCTGTTCCGAAGCGTGTTCGCTCAGTCCGGGCAGCTCCTTGGCGGTCATGTCCTTGGCCTCGGAATACACGTTCGGTAATAGGTAGATCTCCTCGGACTTCTGTGCATCATTAACATTCATGTCTCTTTGACGGTCCATCATCGTCTTGAGGTATCTGGGCCTGGAATGTGGTTTCTTTACAGTGAGAGGCAACGAGTTCGAGTACGCATTCAAGTCATGGTGGACAACCAAAAAGCCGGCTCAACCATCAATATACTCGTCTACTGGAGCCGAGCATGCCGTGGAACGCGGGCCGTGTTGGTGGTGGATACCCGCGACGTGTGATGATGGAGATCCTCGTATCATGAGGGGACCCCTGCGCCGCGAAACAGTGGGTTCGCTTCCCCGTTAACGTCAAGAGCATTGTCACTCAAACAGACCGATGCATGGAACCGTGTGCCGGATCGTCAAAGCTTCGTCACCTTCTTCAGCTGTGTTTCCGATCGCGTTCGTCTGATATGCGACGCCGTGTCGGATGCCGATGTCGCAAGCCGCCACGGCGACGCGCATGGCCAGTTTAGCCGCGAGGAGTTTGCGGGGAGTGGAATCAGATGTGAGACGCTGGGAACAATGCTCCATCGGGATTTGTGTTGACCGCTTCACGGGAAATGCAGGCCGAGGCAACGTGGGTATGGATCTGCGCCATGAAACCCCGCATGATCTGCACACCGAACTGGCCTCCAGTGAACCGTGTATGCCATAGCAGCTGAAAACGGAAACTGGAAGTTTGCTTGATCGATACCATCCGTTGGCGAGCAGGGCGACAAAACGTCAAACGCAGGGTTCCGACAACGAGATGCTATAACAGGCGTTTATCTAAAGGAAATGCCGACGGGCATTCAGGGACAACCGAAACTGAGAAGCGAATTGAAAAGCGCGAACCTGGACAACACGAAGCAAATGAGTCGAAGAGCAGGTACAATCGTTGGAGCAACCGACGAGCCATTCAGGACTGACAAGGAAATAAAGAAGCTTGGAGAGGTGCCACGGCTGTGTTTGGAATGGGATGGAGAAGGCATACTGGACACTCCGCACACACGATAGCCAATCGAGCCAGTACGACGTCTCAAAGTTAACGGAGATGATGGAGCCTTCTTTCTCAAGCATGCAGCTCGATTTGTTCGCGCTTCTGTTTGGTCAATTTTACCAACGTCTTTGTTTTCAGATAAGACAACCGGGAATTATGGCCCGCTTCTGGATCATCGTGATTCTTTTATGGGTTGTTGACCGCTGAATGAGCCACATTAGCAGTAATAAAACGTACGTGCCTCGAGTGGTTCACCTTTTCATGCTTGAGCCAGGAAGTAGTGATCACATCGATACACAACTTGACAGTTGAAACCACGCCAATAATGAATGGTATTAATTGGCCTGTTGTGTTGATGGTATAAACCCCCGTGATGTTGGCTGCTGTAATCGTCTTCTCGATGAAGACGATGAAACAGCATGTCGTGACAAGGACCAAAGCGTGGTAGCAAACGCAAAGGTACCTGTAATAACGTCTGCTCAACGATCAGCAAGATCAAACGATCATTACTTCTCAAAACGGAAATCACCTACAAGCGTCTTTTCTCTCCTGATGATTTGAATTTCATGTTCTCATCAGGTCTCGCGATCGATTTAACCACATCTCTCATGTCACGCCGTTCTGATTTGTCGCGTAGAAGATAATCCAAGAAATTCAAGGCGAGCTTGAGTCTGCGGGACGTGATGGGCTCCCCAAAGACGACAGAAGCCCTTTCCAACCTCTCTAGAGCCCTGTAAAATTCCCTTATATGCTCTATCACATTTTTAAGTTTAGGATCTTTCCCAAAAAAGTAGCTGACTAGCATGTTGCAAAACAGTTCAGCGCAGGCCACCAAGACCTTTGCAAGGGCCAGAATGGCAAAGTAGAGCACAAAGACACTCATCAAAGTAGTTGCGGCTTTGAAGAGGGTGAGCAGTCCGGATTTCAAAGCCCTTGGTCCAAAGAAGTATACCGGCGAATCGCAAAGCTCGGCACGATCTTTATTGTAGCCTGGGATCCACGACCACCATAACCACATGGTGAAGCCATTTAAATACCAAAGGGATGTTGTTCTCCAGATTGTGCCGAACCAGGAGAGCGACGGATACCGCAGGAAGTCCCATTGCTTGAGGTTTGGGGAAAACGTTGTGGAAAAACCGTGATGGTCAAGGTACAGCGAGGACGCTTGTAGACCGGAGCGCAATTCGGTATGCGGTTGGAGGATGCTGAGAAAGTCTCTTGGTCGTTGGTAATATGCAAACAGTTTTGTTCTCCGTTCAGCCTCTACCATATTCCAGAGATCATCCACAAACACCGAAAGCGATGTCGATCTCAACAAGTATATCCGGGTCCCAAAGACGGATAGGACGGTCAAGACGAAGCCGAAACAAATCATGATCATGATGTATGCTTCAATAGGGTTTATTGAATCGCTTGACGCGGTGACGGTGAGGGTTACCAGAATAGCGACGAGGAACATGGAGTTTGCGTCGTGATTCTGGCCTGCGGCAGCTGGGTAGACAGTGTTCGCAAACCAGGAAGAAAACCATTGTAGATAGACTCCAAGCCGTATACCAAGGCCGTAGAAGTCGGAGTTACCTTGGAATCCGGGGCACGGTGGTTTCACTCATGCAGTGTAACCACACAGCTGAAGAGGTTGCTGACCACATACCGAGAAGGCACCCAATCAATGGTTGGCGAGTCTCTGCATTGACTCATCGAGCACGGTGCATGGACGAATACAACTTTATTGGTGGTGTTGCCAACATACGAAGGCTGGGGAGACGCCATGGCGGTTGTCGGCTTGCAGTAGACACATTCGGTCGTGGCTCTGTGATTCGAAACTGGCTGAGATCCGAAGTTCTAGCAGAAGTGCGTTATCCGCGTTGGTTTGGGAGTGAGAAAGCGAGCGGATTTTTAAGATGAGACGAGGCGCCCTCCGCTCAGACGGTGATGACGACGTGCGGGATTGCGATCTTCCCGCACCTCTGGCCTTATCGATACGCGCCATCACCGCAGCACCCATCGCACGAGGCTCTGGTGCGGGGCGTGAGTTGGGTCGTCGGTGCTGCTGTCGGATGTTGACGCGACACGCGTCGAAATGATTTGTTCAACGAGAAGTCGGTGCTGAAGGATGGGCAAGGCGGGCGGCGTGCGACAGCCCTACGTACCTGCGGGCAAGCGCGCCGGTTGGCCGCGCGTTTGAGCAGGAGGGGCAACGTCAAACGCTAATCAAAAACTCCCCCAAGACCCTCTTCTCCATCCCTCCACGTCTTCCTCTCTCCTGAACCCCAATCCACACCTCTCCCACCCTCCAGACACCCATTGATCCACCCCAATCCTCACAATGGCTACGTACGTCCTTGCCCCGCTCCGCCGCCATTCCTGACTGCCCACTCTGCCCCGCCATCGCATTCTTCACCTCGCAGTCTTCCCGCGCTAACACGACGGCTCTACCCCCCGACAGCAACATCACCTGGCACCCCGGTCTCACCCGCGCGGAGCGCAGCCAGTACCGCAAGCAAAAGGGCTTCACACTCTGGTTCACCGGCCTCTCGGCCTCGGGCAAGTCGACCATCGCGACGGCCCTCGAGCAGCACCTGCTGCACCTGGGCTACGCCGCCTACCGCCTCGACGGCGACAACGTCCGCTTCGGCCTGAACAAGGACCTCGGCTTCTCCGAGAAGGACCGCAACGAGAACATCCGCAGGATCGGCGAGGTACGAGCGAGCGAGCCCCATCACCACTCACCCACACACACACACTCTCTCTCACACCCCCCGCAAAAGAAAGGACGAAAAGAAAACCCCCCCAGACTAACCCACCCCACAGGTCGCCAAACTCTTCGCCGACTCCTCCACCATCGCCATCACCTCCTTCATCTCGCCCTACACCGCCGACCGCGCCTCGGCCCGGGCCCTCCACACCACCATCCCCGAAGGCAGCAGCGAGACGCCGCTCCCCTTCATCGAAGTCTACGTGCAAATCAGCGTCGAGGACGCCGAGAAGCGCGACCCCAAGGGGCTCTACAAGAAGGCGCGCGCCGGCGTCATCCCCGAGTTCACGGGCGTGTCGGCGCCGTACGAGGAGCCGGTGAGCCCGGAGATCTTGATCCGCTCGGCGGAGACGCCGGTGGAGGAGGCGGTGAGGCAGATTGTGGCGTATTTGACGGAGAAGGGGTTGTTGGAGAAGGGTGCTTAGGTTTTTGGTTTTTGGTTTTGGGGAGGAACGGGCGGGGAAAGAGAAAAAAAAGATGGTTGAGTTGTATAGATGATTAGTATATACAGATGATGATGATGTGCAGCATTTGGATCGAGGAAGAGAGAGACAGAGATATGGATGATTTTGAAATGATTTTGTTCGTTGCACTTGCTGTTTCCGTTTCTTCACCTTGGCCGGTTGTCTGTTTACTTAAGACGACCGCGCCTTCATGCATAACCAAGTGTCGTAATCATAAAACGTGCGATCATCATCAACGGCCGTCACAAGAAGCACATCACATGAACAAAGGCACGATGGACCGAGAGAGAGCAACAGGGGGTGATGCAGAAAAGGGACCGTCCGATTCTATCAACGCTAATACGCAAGACCAAAAAAACACACAAGGGTGAGGGGAAAAAAGGCAATAACGGCAGAGGGTATACGCCCTCCACGAGCAACTAACACCGTAAAATCAAACACCCAATTTCCTTTCGCAGTTTGCAAAAGACAGGAGTGGGCAAGAAAAAACATCCAGCCCCTTCCCACATCTTCTAATCCCCGACCAAATTATACCATATACTTTTTTTTCTTAGTAGACAACTTTTCTCCGTCCTTGTTGTGACGTTTTCTCCGCCCCAGTGGGCTCTGGCCGATAAAAACCGATTCCTTGGCCGCCTTTCTCTGCATCTTGCAAAGCTGACACGTACTCGAACATGTACATGTACCGCCCAGACTTGATCAAGTAGAAGGAGGGAACGGAGACAAATCGACACGAGTCCCGGCAAAAAAAAAAGATTCTTTTTTTGCCGTGCCAAAGCGAGCTTTGGAAAAGAAGGGGGGAAGGGAGAGAAGACTTTTTTTTCCTCACGGTCCTCACAGTAAGACAGACTTGCGAGGAGGAGTGAAGGAAAAAAAAGACCATCTCGTCGAGAAAGGAGGTGGTCGCAGATACGATGGTCGACAACAACATTGCCCGAGTCCCCTTTTGCGCAAAGAAAACTGCGCGCACTGAACTGATACACACTGACATTCCAAATAAAAAGCAAGAGCGGGGGACCAAAATATGCGAACATAACTGTGCAGTGCATGCTCAGGTAAATCAGGCCGGCCGTTGCAAACAGATGAGAATGATGGGTGGTAGAGACAGTGACCAGCAGTCGCTCACGGGAAAAAGAGAGTGAACTCTTCACCGATCGACGACACCTGTACGTAGCTTTTGCGGCAGGTCCGTCAGGCCTTGTTGTGTACCACGTCCCCTCTCCTTCTTCAAGGGAACGCAACCCCAGCAGGGTTGATCGAATAGAGCTGAGCGAGGATGTCGTCGCCCAGGCTGTCCGGACTGTTGTGTCCTTCGCGGGCGGCGGCGCCGAAGCCGCTCCAGTCGATGTCAAACTCGCCGTTGCCGCCGCCCGCTCCGGCACCCACGCCACCTGACTGATTTTGCTGCTGTCCCGAGTTCAAAGACTGCTGTTGCTGGGCAGCGGCACCGCCATCGCCGCCAGGCCCGCCCGCGTTACTCAGGGAACTGGCGCCGTACGTGCTCCCGCGGGGTCGCTTCGTCTCGTGCTGGCTTGCGGGTTGCGGCCGGTCCTTCAATTGGCGCTTGGAGCCGCCGGCGCTGTTGCCGCGGTGCCAGCGTTGGGCTTGCTGTTGCCAACGCTGCTGCAGAGCGACGAGGAATTCGCGGGTCCGGCGGGCCGAGTCGTACGATTGGGTGAGATCCTCCAAGGCGCGGAAGCAGACGCTGAGCTGGGCGATGGCGTTTTCTGCCGGCGTGTTGGCAAGGCTCTTGCCGCGTTGCTTTGTGCCGTTTGGGCTTGCGCCGGGTAGCGGAGGCGTGCTTCCTCGCTGTTTGGAGCAGATGATGAAGATCAGGATGAGTGAAGTTGTGAAAATGACAGAGACGGCATGGATGTTCATGCGGCGGAATGTATAGCGCTGCTCATACAGACGAAGAAGATCAACGATGGCGGTCGACGACTCAATGCACATTTGCTGAGCGTGCATGTGGCCGGGACCCTGTGGCGGCATTGGCTGGATGTAAGTTTTTGAGACATATGGCCGGTGGATGTAGATCATCATCTGATGATAGAGCATATGGAGCATTAAGACATGGGGTAGGTAGGCGGTTTGGGTATCATGGTAGTTGACCTGCAGGGGAGGTGGCAAGTTCGCCTTCCAATCGAGCATTTCGCCCGTCACCCGGTAGGAAAGAACGTGGAGTTCCTGTCTAGAGATATTGGAGACTCCGTAAAGAACGTGGCCCAGGGGCTCCATGGTCTCGCAGAGCTCCACGGATGCTTTGCTGACCAATTCCAAGGGGACCTGGTAGCACAAGGTGGGATCCGATGCCATGGGGGAATGGGAGCCATACGGTACCCACGCGCTCATGATGACATTGGCCTGCTCTGTCGAGGGCTTCGTCACGGAGATGTCACCGTTATTAATCCTGACAGGCCTGCCATAATAGAATCCGGAAAGGTGGTCCACAATGTAGGTGCCCCAGAACGTCGCTCGACGGATGTCGGCTTCCACCGCAGAGATCTTTCCCTTCCTGACATAGTCCGTCATATCCAAATGAAGACCAAGGTCAAACGCAAGCCGCATGGCCATGCCACTGTAAAGCCAGCCACGCGCATCCCTCTTGCATGCCATTTCATGGCCTCCCAAGATGACCAGGGCCTGCACGGTAGCCAGACAAGGACTGTCCATCTCGAGTTCCAGCAGAGCTTTGGCCCGATCTGCAAAGTAGTCGGCGAGAGATTTGGGCCATGTCACGAAATTGGGGTGATAGCGGGCGTCAAAGGCGCCACCAGCAGCGCACATGGCGTTGGTCAGCACCTCGGAATAGTAGCCAACATCCCTCTTCTGAACACGCCATTCTTCCCTGCCAACCCGGTACATCTTTTCGTCGACGACGTGGAAGAAGGGATCCTGCCATGCGAAATAGAGATTGATGAGATGCTCCTCGATGGCCGGGTCTACGGCCTTGTCCAGATTGTTCGCTTCCAAGACATCCCGGCCTTCCTTGCGGACGGATCGCCTGGTCTGGTGGTGGTCAGTGTCCGGGAAGTCACAGAGAATGTTTGAAGTGGCTCCATAGTAACGCAAGTGGCCGTCTGGTGCAAGCTGCAAAGAGCCCATGCGGGTAGAAATCTGCTTGATCAGCTCATCGTCGCTGTCGTCGTCAGCATCGTCGGCGGAGCTGTCGGTCAGGCCTGGATGTTGCTCGATGGTGGGGACAGCCTGGGCCTGCGACGGAGAAGTGTAGGGCTGGGTGGTTGAAGGGGTAGTCAGCGGCTGGGCGGCGGGCGGCGAAGTGTAGGCCTGAGTAGGCGGCGACGCAAACGGCTGACTCGCGGGAGGAGTGGTAAACGCTTGGCTCGTCGGCTGAGCGGAATCTGAGACAGACGGCCTGGACACTGCGGCAGGATCTACGCCGGTGTTGAAACCTTGGCTGACGTTGGCAGGAGGGTTGAACTGAGCGCTCCACGATTGGCCGTCGAGGAAGTTCCAGTCAAAGCCGGCGGGGGCGAAGTCCAGGCCGGTGGGACCATGGTCTGCGGGTTGATTGGGCGCGGCGAAGGTCGCAGCCTTTATGGCTGAAGAGTTTGCAGCGGGCAGGCGCAAGACGTCGAGGATGCGTCCGAGGCTCGCGGCAGCCTCGGGGTCCATGGGCGGGAGCTGGAGGCCGTTGTTGAGAATGTGCTGGCTCAACTGGTCCACTCGGGCAGAGAGGATCTCGATGGCATTGCGCAGCGAGACTCTGGCAGGGCGCGAGCAAGTCAACAGGGCAGGCCGAGGCGCGGGCAGCGGGTCAAGACGTACCTCCTCTTGTCCTCATCCTGGGAGTACTTGCACTCCCTCCCCTTTGCCTTGCATTTTTCACAGCTGGGCTGGCCGCCGTCGCACTGGGAGGCGGTTAGCGATTGTCTGTCGGGCAAGGCTCTGAGAGGCAAGCCTTGATCTTGGATTCACGGCATGCGAGACAGGCAGTGGTGACGTGGCGGCGAGGCGCCTTGCGCTGCTGCGACTGCTGCTTTGCGGTGGGCTGAGCGGCGGGCATGCTGAGACGGCGGGGAGACGAGATCGGAGGAGGCGGCGGTGTCTCGCTCGAGCGACGGGGATTGTCGGAGCCGGGGCGGCGGCAGCTGCAGCGCAACAAGCGACGGCGTTCAAGGGCAGGCAGGGCAGGCAGGGCAGGACGTGATTAGCCGGGCGAAGAGCGATCCATCAGCAGCGAGCGCGCAGCAAGGAGGAGAGATGCGGGCGACGCAGCGCGGATTGCTGGCCGGCCAGAGAAAAGAAGCGGAGCCCCAAGCCCAAATTAGCGGCAACCTGTTTGTGCTGACGGCCGCCCCAGACAGCTCCCCGCGTTTGCGTGGCGAGGCCGCAGAGCCTTTGCCCTCAGAGGCCGGCATGCGCCTCCAATCCCAGCCATCGTGGGTCGCGGCCCGACTTCGCTCGCACCAGTAGTCAGTGGCAGGGGGACGTGTGGGCGTGTGAGCCTGTGAGCGAACCGGCTTGACGCTGCGCCTGTCACCTGTCATCTGGCACCCGCCCGTGGCCCCGCGCCCCAGACGGCGAGACCTGCGCCGCCGCTTCGCCATCGCCATGAAGCGGCTCTCGAGACGTTCACGGCCGGCGGCGAATAGGATTCGCTGGATGCCGGCTTACCGTGGACCGTGGTGCAGCTTGGCGCGCCCGGCCCAGCCTGTGACTTACATCCCGACCCCACACGGCGGCGTCAGTCGGCGCGAGTCGGCGCGGCCGGCCTGCAGCGGAATCGACATTACGGATAAGGAGATGCATATTACCTTCCTATACTTACACCAGAGCCAGGACCCCAGACACGCCTAGTCGTACATGAAGCAGAGATCCACCCGAAACGCCCGCGAATGCAGCCTGCCATGCCGTGCAGCTCTCCGCCCCCTCTCCGCCCCCTCTCCGCCCACACGCCATCTCTTGCGCGCCACGCGCCTCGCGCCTGTCAGGTACGAGCTGAACGTGCGCCAAAACCCGACAACCCACATGACCCATCCCCCAACCTAATTACGATCCATGCAACGTCTGCTCGACGCTTCACGATGCCTCCGATGACACCTGAAGACCGGTCTCGCCCTCCCCAATTCCCACCACCGCCGTCGAGTTGTTTCTCAGCTCGCCTCGGATGATCCTGTCCGCGAGCTTGTTGCCGATTTCTTTGGAGATTAGTCGGTTCAGCGGCCTGGCGCCAAACTTTGGATCATAGCCCCTGTCGCTGAGCCATTGCTTGACCTCCTCCGGAACCTTCAGCGTGATCCGTCGGTCGTCCAGTCTGTGCTGGAGCTCCTTCAGCCGGATCTCGACAATGTCCTTCAGCGCCTCCTTCGACAGCCGTCTGAAGATGATGAACTCGTCGATGCGGTTGAGGAACTCGGGCGGGTAGTTTGCCGCTACCGTGTCCATGACTGACTTCTTCACTGCCGCCGAGATCTCTCCCGTCTCTGCGTCGACTTGGTGCCTGTGGAGCACGTCGTCGCCAACAATCGCCTGCGCGCCGAGGTTCGATGTGAGCACGATGATGGTGTTGCGGAAGTCGATCTTGTGGCCTTGGGCGTCCGTCAGGAAGCCCTCGTCAAGCACCTGCAGGAGAAGGGCGGAGATGTCGCGGTGCGCCTTCTCGAACTCGTCAAAGAGAAGAACCGCGTACGGCTTTCGCCTAACCGCCTCGGTGAGCTGTCCGGCATCCTCGTATCCGACGTAGCCAGCAGGACTCCCGATGAGTCTGCTCACCGTGTGCTTTTCCTGGAACTCGCTCATGTCGAAGCGGAGCACGGCCGTCTCGGTGGAGAACAGGAATCCGGCCATCTTCTTGCACAATTCCGTCTTACCCACACCGGTAGGTCCAAGGAACATGAAGCTGGCAAGCGGGCGGTTTTCGCCACTGAGTCCAGCGCGCTGCATGCGCACAGCGTTGGCGACTGCCGTTAGAGCCTCATCCTGGCCCTTCACAGACTGGCGGAGGATATCCTCCATGTGGATGAGCTTCTCGATCTCGCCCGACATCAGCTTCGTGACGGGGATACCGGTGGTCCTGCTGACAACGTTGGCAATGTCATCCGGAGTGACGGAGTCGTGCAGAAGACTGTCCGGAGCCTTGCCCTTCTCTGTGCCGTCCTTGGGAAGTTTTTGTTCCAGCGACGGAATGGTCGCATAGCGGAGTTCACTGGCTTTTGCAAAGTTGCCCTCTCGCTGGCTTTGCTCGAGCTCCATCCGAGCCCTCTCGAGGTTTTCTTTGACGTTCTTGATATCCTCAATCTCGCGGCGCTCAGCCTCCCACTTTGCGTTTAGCTTGGACTGTTCTTCTTGCTTGTTCTTGAGCTGCTCCTGCAGTTTCTCCCGTCTTTCCTTGCTTGCGATGTCATCCTCTTTCCTCAGTGACTCCAGCTCGATCTGGATGGTCATGATTTGCCTGTCCAGCTCTTGTATGGCGTCAGGCTTGCTCTCCTGCTGGAGTCGCAAAGCACTGGCTGCTTCATCTACAAGATCGATGGCCTTGTCTGGGAGGAAACGGTCGGTGATGTAGCGGTTGCTGTAGGTAGCGGCTGCCACAAGGGCTCCGTCGGTGATTCGGACACCGTGGTGGACTTCGTATTTCTCCTTGATGCCGCGTAGAATCGAGATGGTGTCTGGAACGGTGGGCTCTCCAACGAGGATGGGCTGGAAACGTCGAGCGAGGGCAACATCTTTCTCGATCTGGCGGTACTCGTTCAGGGTAGTGGCTCCACAGCATTGCAGCTCGCCCCGTGACAAGGCAGGCTTGAGCAAGTTGCTCGCGTCAATGCTGCCCTCGGCCTTCCCGAGGCCCAGCAGTGTGTGGAGCTCGTCGATGAAAAGAATGACGCTGCCCTCGGCGTCCTCGACCTCCTTCAGCACCTTCTTCAGCCGTTCTTCAAAGTCGCCTCTGAATTTTGCTCCGGCAATGAGCGAGCCGAGATCGAGTGAGACGACGCGTTTGTTCTTGATTGATTCCGGAACGTCCCCCCTCACGATGCGCTGTGCCAGTCCGTCCAGAATCGCCGTTTTCCCGGTACCTGCGGAGCCGATAAGAACCGGATTGTTCTTTGTTCTCCGCGACAGAATTTGGATGGTGCGGTGGATTTCGGAGTCTCTGCCAATGACGGGATCCAGCTTGCCGTTCTTGGCCTTGGCGGTGAGGTCGACGCCATATTGCTCGAGTGCAGGCTTCTCCTCCTCGCCGCCACCCATGTCCATGCGGTGGGTGCCGCCTGGGGGATGCGGTCGTCCATTGGCATAATGCCGGACAGCAGCCGCAGGTCGGACGGCATTGGCAGTGACCCGTGGTTGAGCGTTCAATGGCCGGGAGAGTGCAGCAAGCGGCCGCGCAGCAAATGGTCGTGTAATCGGAATATCGCGGACAGGCGCGGCGAATCGCCTTGCGGCGAGCTTGGCGCGTGTTGGTAGCATTTCGATGGCAGTGGATGCAAAAGGCAGGGAAACGGCCATCCGGCTCAGGGCGCAGTATAATATAGCATGACCGTGGCGGAGAAGAAGCGCCTTGCAGCGGGTCGATGGTTCGAGGAGCTTCGGCGATGGCGATCTCCACAAGCTCGACCATTCGGCCAATTTCGCCCGAGCTTTTCCCACCAGGTTGCTGCCTCAGGCACCAGACACGTGCGGGCCGACGCTCATCCGGACAGGTGGGCAAGGGAAGCGACAAAACCCAGTGGGGTTCGGACGAGCTTTTTCCTCACTTCCTGCCCAACCTCCAAACATCCACTCCAACGCCTTTTGATACCCACCACCACCCGTCTTCCTCCTCACATTCCTCCAAAATGGGCTTCACCGACTTCGTCTCCGACGCTGGCCTTACCCGTATGTCTACCTGACCGCTGCGGAGGAGTTGGGGCGCGGAATTTTTGACTAACGTACCCGCTGCCAGTCCTGAACAACTGGGTCGAGTCTCGCAGCTACATTGTCGGGTGAGTCCTCCTGCCTCCAGCTTGATTCCATGCCCGCCTTCCCCAGCACCAGCTTGAATGATGAGAAAAATTGGTCCGTGTTTATGAGCGGATTAAGACCCCGCAAATGAGTCGACAACAAGCGTTTTGCGCACCTCTGACACAGCTTCACTATCCACGTCTTTGCTATCCCACGCGTTTCTGCGTCCTTGACTGGCAGCGTGCTGACGGCAATACAGCTATGCTCCTTCCCAGGCCGATGTCGCCGTCTTCAAGGGCGTGAGCTCTGCTCCCGACGCTGCCAAGTTCCCCCACGCCGCCCGCTGGTACAAGCACATCGCCTCCTTCGAGGCTGACTTCGCTACTCTGCCCGGCGACGCCTCGAAGCCCGTCACCGAGTACGGCCCTGAGGCCGCCGAGCTCGCCGTCAACCCCGCCAAGGCCCCCGCCGCCGAGGAGGAGGACGACGACGTTGACCTGTTCGGCTCTGATGACGAGGAGGAGGACCCGGAGGCCGTGAGGGTCAGGGAGGAGCGCCTGGCCGAGTACAAGAAGAAGAAGGAGGGCAAGGCTAAGCCTGCCGCCAAGTCCATCGTCACCATGGACGTCAAGCCCTGGGGTGAGTCATTATCGCTGACAGACCGCTCAAGCAACATGCTAACGCAATCCAGATGACGAGACCGACATCGAGCAGATGGCGGCGAACGTCAAGGCCATCGAGATGGACGGCCTTGTCTGGGGTGCCTCCCAGTTTGTCGCCGTCGGTTTCGGTATCAAGAAGCTCCAGATCAACCTGGTCGTCGAGGACGAGAAGGTCTCCACTGATGAGCTCCAGCAGCTGATCGAGGAGGACGAGGACCACGTCCAGTCCACCGATATTGTTGCCATGCAGAAGTTGTAGAGCACGTTTTCCTTCTCTTTCAAAAATTTTCTAAGCCTCTACGACATGGAGCACTTCTTTAGCGCATGCGCTGGCATCAACCACATGTTCAGCTTACGATAAGATACTGGAGGTTTATGGTTACGATGTCTTATGAGCGCAGGCGTATAGATAAGCCAACAAAAAAAGATGAAGATGGCACAACACTTGATTATTCGTACTTGCACTGGTGATCTTGACGCCGTACCTCTCAACCAGAATCTAGAACCGACTAGGCGAATACACCTGTCGGTTCCAGGTCTGATCCGTCAACCGGGCCGGGGGCTGCATGCAAAACCCGGCATTTGGGCGTGTGTTGGACCGTTGGACCCCGCGGCCCCGAATTGTCGCGCGTCACCAAGCCGTCTTGGCATCGACAACGCGTGGGAAGTGCATCGCATCAGCTCCAAACCCTCTCCACCACCACTCTCCTCCAATTCGCAGCCCACAACAACCACCATGGCCGTCCTCTCCAACGCCCTCGTGGCCATCGGCCTCGTCTTCCTCACACACGCGTACGTCCCCGCATTCCCCTTCCCAAATGCCCCAATCAATCGGCCAGCTGGTCCAACCCGCACGCAGCCAGCCGCCCTCAAAACCCACCCTCACCACCACCACCACCATCAAGCCCACGTCGTCATAGCTAACCTTCCGCGCAACCCTCCCCCCTTTACAGCGTCTACTCCGCACACGAGCACTCAGCCCTCCACTCGACGACAACCGCGCCGTCGCCGTCGTCGTCGTCGTCGTCCATCCCCTCGCTCCCCGCCGACATCGTCGCCGAGACGCTGCTGTCCGTCCTGCTCGTCGCGGCGGGCATCGTGCTGTCGTCGGCGCCGCTGAAACCCATCGAGTGGAGCCGGTGGGCGGGCGAGGCGGAGCGCGAGGAGGCGCGCCGCCGCGTCGGAAAAGGGCGCAGGGTGGACGTCGCGCAGGGCGAGGTGCCGGGCGGCAATCCGTTTGCGTGGATCACGGAGGATAGGGTGGGGTTTTGGGATGGGAGGGTGAGTTTCGTTGTTTTTTTTTTCTTGTTTTTTTCTTCTATGTTTTGGGGTGGATTGGCTCTTTTGCTGGTCTGGAAACATTGCGTGCTAACGAGGATGGGGTGTGTAGGGCAAGAGACAGGACTTTGCGAATTGGGTTAGGGAGGGCGGAAGGAGTTAGGTTGGTCTGGCGGTTCGTAAGGGCTTGAGGTGAGTTGCTCGGGGAATCTCGATCAATACTTGCGAGTGCTGATGATTTGGTAGGCTTGACTACAGTTTTGTCAATGGCTATGGAGGACGACCACATGCATGTAAACGACACGAGAAAAAAAAAGTCCATTCAATTGTATTGATTCGAAACCAAAATCCAAACCGACGCCGTCATAACCCGAACTTTTGGCAAACTGATAAACCTGACCGTACCTGACCGCTAGCAATCTAGATGTTCCCGCTGGATTCCAATCAAAGCATAACGCCTTGCACGCGCTTCACAGTCTAATTTTCAAGTCGAACGCCCACTCGAATCGACACGTTCCCGCAGCGCTGGCAAACACCTCCTCCACGCCAACCCCTTTCACGAACAGGCCTGCATCCTCGCATACTGCTTCTGCCGGCACCCCGAGCAAAACATCGCCTCCGACACCCCCTTCCCGCTCCTCCAATCCACCTCCCCACCCGCCTCCCTCACCTCCTCCACAACCAAAGCATCCGCCTCCGACCTCGCCCTATCGTCCCTCACACCGCCGCCCTCCTCCTCCCCCTCCCCCTTCCCCACACACACCCCGCTCACCCACCACACCGCCGCCCCCACGATCCTCGCCACGACCGCCACCTCGCCCTCATCCCGCGGCGCATACACCATGACGAAATGCCGCGGCACGAAGCGCGAGAAGAAGCCCCCCCGCGCGATCGGATGCCGCTCCCCCCACCCGCGCTCGATGACCAGCTTCGCGTCCCCCGGGTACAGCGTCATGTGCAGGCTGCCGTCGCTGCCGTGCACGTGGCACACCTCGCCGCGACACGTCCGCGTCAGCGGCCGCGTGCTGAACAGCCCCGTCCCGTGCTTCTCGAAACACGACGTCCCCTCCGCCAGGTGGTTCGCCGGATCGCGCGCCAGAGCCCGCAGCCGCGCCGCCAGCATCGCGTACGCCGACGCTCCTTCCGCCGATGCTGCTCCATCCATCGCCCCAGCCCTCTGCGTCGTCTGCCGATGCGGCGCTATCCCCACGACCGTGGGGCGCGGGCCCCGCCGCGCCGGTAGGGACGAACCGACCAGGTACCCCGTCTGCCGCAGGTCGGCGGGGACGGGCGCCGGCGAGCGCGGCGACGACAGCGCGAAGACGGACAGCAGCTTCACGCGCAGGTAGCCCGACAGGAACGTCTGCGGCGTGCCGCCCGCGCCCAGCGAGAGGAAGGCGCGGTAGTCGCGGTGGATGAGGTAGGTGGCTGTTGGGAGGAGGAGCGCTAGCGCGAGCGCGAGGGCGAGGACGAAGGGGGTTGTTGTTGTTGTTGTTGCGGAGGGTTGTTGGATGTGGATGAGGGGGGGGAGGAGGGTGGTGTGGATGGATGACATTGTTGGTGGGTGTAGGTGGGTGTAGGTGGGTGTAGGTGGGTGTAGGTGGGTGTAGGTGGTTGTGTGGTGTGGTGTGGTGTGGTGTGAGTGGTGAGTGGTGTGGGTTATCGCTCCGTGGTGGGAGGGAAGTGGGAGTGGGAAAGAGAGAGACAGAGAGAGAGAGCGCGCTGGAAGAAACAATGGAATCGTTGGATCGTTCGACAGTCCTCGGGAGGGAGGGGGCTTTTTGTGGTCGAAACTATAAAGGGGAGCGTGATGCAGCCAAAGCCAGCTTATTGGCGCTTTTCAGACTTCAAATCGGGATAGAAAGAGGAGGCGGCCCCGCGGTATTTTATTGCTTGTGCGACGGACAGTCAAGAGTGTTCCGGTCAGCGGACTTTGTGGCCGCTGCTGCTCCAATGCTGTCCTGTCCTGTCCTGCCCTGTCCCATTCGGAGCCCGGCCCTTCGAATTTCTAGCTGGTAAGCAGGCTACTGCGGTGGGCTGCAAGCTGTGTCCTCTGCGTCTCCTGCTAATCGTGTGGCCGTCTGATTGGCTCCGCCGTCTGCACGGTCACGCCTGAGTCGTCGAAGCGTTCGGTTTCTCGCCGTGGCGGTGACCGCTTGGGAGGGAAGCGGTAGCCTTCAGTAGAGCTGGCAGATGTCGTCCAGGGTCTACGCTGATGTCTTTTTGGCGGTAAAAGAGATTCAAAAGTTTATTGTGCAGATTTCATTGGCAGCGATGTCGAGGAAAGGCTGGCGGTGGTTGGCAATTCCTGGGTGAGTGGGCGAGAGGGGGGCAGGATGCAATAATAAAATCCGCTGCAAGCCATAAAGCATGACCGGTGGCATGGGTGTTGGGGGTCCGGGATGGCTGGAGGAGAAAGTTCGGCTTCTGTGACGTTCCCATGATGCACTTGGCGCTGGCAGCCGGGCTGCTACTGCAGCGCAACTTCGGTGACTCTCCGTCGCTCGGGCAAAGGGGGGCGCTGGGGCTAGCAGGAGCAACCAGTGACGAACGAGGACGCGAAGAACGCAGGAACACCCGATGTCCTGTGATCGCCTTCGGTGGAGGTAGGTTGATCAACAGCGCATGCGACCCAGTTGCGAGTCGGTCAAGTTCCCGCCGCCGCGGATCGAGGCGGACTGGGGTAGGAGGCTGCCGGTTATAACTGCCCCGAACATGATTTGTCCAGCCACAGAGACATACACGAGAGGCACAGACGCTGCATGTGCTCCGATGGCCTGACAAAATAAATGGCCTGGATTTTGTGTACAAAAGCAGTAAACTCCTTCGCGCCAAGCCAATGGTAGCCTTCTGGCAAATCAATAGAACAAATGGCTATAGCTTCACACTCTTGACCAGGCCCTTCTTGATACCCGTCAACTCTCCCTTGTATCCACCACGACCCTCGCCTCCCTTGTAGACCTGCCTGATGCTGCCCAGCTTCTTCTTCTTCTCCTCGTACTTCTTTTTCTTCTTGACACGCGGGTTGCGCACATCCTTCTTGCGATGCGGCGTCAGACCCTTGTTCTTGGCGATGGCATAGGTGATCTTGCGCTTTCCATCCGCCCCAACCTCCTCCGTCTCAACGACCTGCGCGCCCTTCCGTGCAGCTTCCGCGTAAGCCGCGGCTGCCGCCGCCTTGTCGGCCTTCTTCTGCTTCGAGCGCGCCGTCACCATGTCGTAGTAGTCTTCGTCCTCGCTGGCGGCTTCGTCCCTCAGCTGTTTCGCTTGCCGTCTGTCCTCGTCGTCGCTTTCGCCGCCGAGTTCTTGATCTGGTGCCAGTGCCTTCTTTCCACGCTTCTCTGCCTCAGCATTGAGTCTGGCTTGGCGGTCCCTCAAACGTTCGCGATAAGGAATGTCGGCGTCTCCGCCCACATCCTTGCCCGCTGCGCCGCGCTTGTTCTGCTTCTGCGCGATCTGCGAGGTGTAGAAACGCAAGCTCTTCTTCTTCCGGAGTTTCTCATCCAGTTCGTGCTTGTTGAGCTCCGTCTCATCGCCAAAGTCCGAGTCCTCATCGTTGGCGAAAGTGACGGCTGACGGCTTCTTGGATTTCGTCGTCTTCTTCGACCTGCGCAGGGCATCCTTATCGGCAAGGGATGACAGGGCGGCAAGCTCCTCTTCTGTCGCACGAAGGCGCTCGGCTCGCTTAGCTTCGGCTGCCGCTTGGGCGGCTTCTGCGGCACGTTGCGTCTTAGTCTTCCTCTTGGTTTTTGGCGGCGCCATGGCCCCATCCGAAGTGCGGGGTTCGATGTCCATGGGCGAGATGTCGGCATTCGGCTCCTCCTCAATAGCCTCCAGCTCGTTGCTCGTATCGCTGTCGGCGATCTTGTTTGCGATCGAGAGGTCCTTCACCGTGTTCCAGAGCTCGCGGCATTGCACCAAGCCCTCCATGACTGGGTGGTCTCGCAGCTCGGTAGGCGACAGAGCCACGGCCTTTGCGTCTGCAGCTGTGCATGTCGAGGTGAGCAGAGCGAAGTACATGGTCAATGCTGCGAGATACGCAGCCAGCGCCCTGTACTTGATTACTGCAGCCGGCGTCTTGAGAGTCTTGGTCTGCGTCGTGGTCCTGGCAGCTCGTTGCTGCTGCATTTTCCGAGCGGCGGCGGCAGCAAGCGCAAGCTCATTGTGCAGAGGCTGCAGGTCGAGGAACTCCTTTGACAGCGGCTCAAACTCGGGGTATCTTGTCTTGAGTAGTTTCAGTCGCTCGACGGGGCCCATATCATCCGTGACTTGCAGCTGCGGCAGAATCTCCGTGACCACCTCACCGTCTGCCTCTTCGTCCTCGTCTTTGTCCGCGTCCAGCCATTCCGACTCGTCGAAGCCAAAGTCGGCCTCAGTCATGCGCTCCAACTGCTTTTTTTGTGTTTGAATTGCTTCTTTCTCCTCCTCGAGCGCATTCTCTTCCGTCTCTATGGCATCGGCGCCGTAGTAATCCTTCTTTGACGCACCCCAAGCCTCGTCGTCCTCTTCGTCCTCTTCTCCGGCGGGTGCCTCTGAGCCGGAATAGTCAGATGCCGCATCTTTTCCGCCAGCAGGCTCATCGTAATCATCCCCGTCCTCTTCGTCGTCTGATTGCTCGTCGTAGTTGAGGACCTCTTCATCGGATGGTTCGAGGAGCTGATCTGATGAGAGTTTAGAGAGTGCGCTAGAAATTCCTTGCGCAACGTGGCGAGTGCATACCTTGTTCCTGCCATTTCCGCCGCCTTTTGGCGTCGGGGCCTTCGTCCAGCAGTATCTTGTCACGGTTGATGTGGAATTCGTCTTCGGAATCGGCGACATCTTGATAGGTGCTGATGGCCAGCTTTGAGTTCTGTGCATCGGGGTTGGTCGGCTTGGGCTGGCCGGAGGCCTTTCTCTTCTTTGCCATGGCGGTTGTGGGAGGGCGGAGCGAGGGCCGATGTGCAGCGTGAGTTCGCCCCGGCGCGCTGAGAGATTGTATTTGCGCGCGCAACTTTTTTGCCGCGGGCGGTGAGCGAGCTCATTAGCGCAAGTGGCCCCCGCGCGCTGCTGCCCCGAGCTTTCGGCCATGGATGAGCGCGTCAAGCTACCTGTCGCCCCCAAATTTCTCCTTCGCGGCGTGACAACGCTTCGGTCTCTCCCAAATGGCTCTCGGCTTGCAGACCGCTTCCTCGCTCCTTGTGGTTTTTTTCCTCGTTCTCGCCGCGGACATCATGGGACTTTTCAGCAGGAAGAACCACTTCCAGGTCGATGGCAGGGTAACGCACCTCTTCTGGTAGGCAGCATTGTACGCTGACATGATGCCAGACTGTTGTGATCACTGGCGGCTCACAAGGAATGGGCAGAGGCCTCGGAAAGCTGCTTGCACAAAAAGGTGCTAATGTGGTCATCGTCGCACGCAACGCGAAGAGGCTGGAAGAAGCTCTCGAGTACATTTCGGTACAGCTACACATTGAATAGCCGCATCCCATGACGAACCCCTCCGCTGACAGTACCAGGCCGCCAAAGTCAAACCGTCCCAACGTTTTCACTATATCAGCGCCGATGTAACGAAGCCCGAAGAGAACGACCGAGTCCTCGCGGAGGTGACGACATGGAACAATAATCAAGCCCCGGATATTGTATGGGCGAATGCGGGTATGTCCATCCCGAGGCTACTGTTGGACGCACCCGTGGAAGAGCTGCGGCAACAGATGGACATCAACTATTTCGCCGCTGTATTCCTGGCTCAATCGACCTTGAAAGCATGGACGAAGCAAGCTGCTCCCGCCGACACTAAGACCCCGCTTCCTCGTCACTTCATCATAACTTCTTCAAGCGCTGCGTTCGTCGGTGTTGCGGGCTACGCTCCGTACAGCCCTGCCAAAGCTGCTCTTCGCAATCTTGCCGACTCGCTGCGCCAGGAAGTACAGCTATACAACGGTGGTCGGCTCCACAGTTCTGGCTCTCCCACCCCGGAGATCAAGATTCACTGCGTCTGTCCAGGAACAATCACCACCCCGGGTCACACGTTTGAGCAAACTGTGAAGCATCCGGTGACCATGATCCTTGAAGAAGGCGACCCGGCGCAAACCGAGGATGAGGTCGCGACTGTCGCCGTCAAGGAGCTTGAGAAGGGCTATTACCTCATCGCTACCAATTTGTTGGCCAAGGCTATGAGAGCAGGTAGTCTGACTGGAAGCCCGAGAAACAACTGGTTCGTCGACACTTTGTTCAGCTGGGCGACGAGCATCGCGTGGCTGTTTATCCAGCCCGACTTGGAGGGAAAAGTGTGGAAGTATGGCAAGCAGCATGGCGCACCTAGCCATGACAAAGCTGCTTCTACTCAGTGAGTCACATACCCGGATGTGAGCTGCGGTCCGTGAGATATGCTGTAGATGAATCCAAAACACAATATGATGCAATTCGGCGCAGTTGCAAAGGCGACCGAAACCTCTTCCCTCGCACTCCAGGTTTGTTTTCTGTATTGCTCATTCCTGCTGTAACGAAAGAAAAATTCGGGGTGAGGAGGAGAGGGGGTTTGAGGAGGGCCTCGGGCGACTGGGATCGTGGCATGGCCAGCTAATCGGACCCGGTCGCTTTGAGCAAGGACGGGATTTTGGGAAAGAGCAATCGGCACTTGCCCAGACAGGCTGCACCCATTGCTGCGTATGACGCATGATGCGTCCAGACGGGTGGATGCTTAGTTTGTCGCGGCGTACCTGCCTAGGTACCCGCAAGTCGTCTCACTGTCGCGCTTTCTCCAACCTTAAATTCTCACTCACCCAAAATTTCATTTCTCACTCTTTCCACACATGACGGCCGATTCCCTGCTTCACACCTCACGACTCGCACGGTAAAGCCACTTGTATCTCTCAACGTGTGGATCATGGCGTTCAGAGCACACAAGCGCCAAAGGTTGGGGTCAGGCGCACCCAGTGTCTCCTCCGGCCGTTCACTGCATAGCAGCACTTCTGCACGCGCGTCTGCCTTGAGGCCATCGCAGCTTTCTTCAACCCCAACTCCGCAAGCATTCGCACCGAGAGTCGTGCAATGGCGGTCTTCTCCGGTACCAACGTCAGACGCACCATCAGTGGCTCAGTCGGCACTTCTCGATCGTCTGGTTGACGCGACAGATGCTGACATTGACGCGCTTGACGAAATAATCATGGCTGTAGACATCAGAGAACGGAAAACGGTGGGATGCTCTTACTACGTTGCTCGAGAAGAGAAGCTTTACCTGATGGAGGATGTGAAGTTGGGGGACGTGGAGACCATTGACATCCGTAAGCTCACCTTCATCTGCATAGCTGCACAGCTTACTGACCTCGCTCTACAGTCAAACTTCAGATCAACCCAACCATTGTGCTCGTCTCTACAAGGGCTGACGATTCGATTTTGGACAAGCTAGACCCCGAACGGAGGAGTCTTGGTTCCACCGATGGTTCTAGTAGGCTTGTTCCGGGCCTGGCCGGGCTTGATAATGACCTCTACTTACCTTGGGCCTGCAGATGATCAGTTTGCCCTCCCATACATCCTCGAAATTCGTCCGACGGCAGAATTCAACTATGAGTCAGGCAAGAGCAAGCTCACAAACCTGAAGATTGGGTCTGATCGGGGACCAAATGTCACGTTTACCATTCCTGGAGACGTTCAGGCCTACGGCACCTATGGCGATGGAGAAGATTTTGGCCGCCAGGAGCATTTACTCAGACTGCAAGGGTGGATCAGCCTAGATAGTAGGATATCTGTGAGCTGCGCGGGTGCTGTTCTGGCCTACATACAGCGACGCAGAGCTGTTACCTTCCTCCCAGGTGATCGAGCCGCTGCTGGTCTATTTCGCGTCTCGACCATCGAGATGTTCACCCTTATGAGTACCATGTGAGTGGTAGATCTTTCTATAGGCCCGTAATCCACTAACATGTCCAGGTTTGTCAACATGGACACCTTGCTATCACTCCAAATCCTGCAATCTGAATCCCACCCTCATTCACATAACCAGGGGCCGACAAAAGCCAGATCAGGGTCAAAGGAAGGTCTCTCGGTATATGGATTGTTCCATTATCTCGCCAAGACCCCTCAAGGTAGGGTACTTCTACGACAGTACTTCCTCCGGCCAAGCCTCGATCTAGGCGTCATCAACAAACGTCTGGACGCCATTTCCATCTTCCTCCGACCGGACAACTCAGCACCCGTAGATCAGATCGTGCAAAGTCTGAAGAAAATTAAAAACATGCGAGTCACGACAGTGAACCTTCGAAAAGGTGTCAATGTGGGCCCCGGCAAAAAGCAGGGCATCACCAGCGGCCTTTGGGCAAGGATTCGTCTCTTTGCCTACCACGTGCTGAAGATAAAGGACGCATTCCAGGAAATGAATGCAAGTGCCCACCTGGAGCTAAGGAACCGCATCCTGGAAACAGTGGAATTTCAGAGGCTGGCCCAAGTTGGAAGACGGGTTACGGATATCATCGACTTTGAGCAGTCAGAGCATCAGCACCGAACCGTTGTCCGCATGGGGATCGATGAAGAGCTTGACAGCATGAAGCAGACGTATGATGGGATCGAGCTCTTACTTTCACAAGTCGCCAATCACATAGCCGAACAAATTCCTGCCGTACTCGGGGCCAGTATCAACGTCATTTTCTTCCCTCAAATCGGATTCCTTATCACTGTGCCACTGGATCCCGACACCGGCCACGGAATGTACGAAGGGTCGGAGCAGGATGTGTGGGAGCGCATGTTCACGAGCGAAGAGCAAGTCTACTACAAGAATGACAACATGCGGGAAATGGACGATCATTTCGGAGACTTGCACGGTCTGATCTGCGACAAGGAAATCGAAATCACCCATGACCTGGCGCAGTACGTTCTAGAATTCGAAGACGTCTTCGTCAAGGCGTCAGACATCTGCGCAGAGCTGGATGCGCTCCTGGCGCTTGCTCAAGGTGCCAGAATGCACAAACTGATGAAACCAAAAGTAGTCAACGACAATGTCATCCAGATCAAAGCTGGCCGCCATATTCTGCAAGAGCTCACAGTTCCTTCTTTTGTCGCAAACGACACTTTGATCGTTGGTAATTGTGAGCCTGACGTTGAGATCAGCCATAGCTCTTCGAGAATTGCGACATCTGAGCGTTCAAACGCGCCCACTAGCTCGGCCGCAATGGACGGCCCGAACGTGCTAATGCTCACCGGACCCAACTACTCGGGCAAAAGCATCTACATGAAGCAGGTGGCTCTCATTGTGTACATGGCGCACATTGGCAGCTTTGTCCCGGCGGAGAGGGCCCGTATCGGCTTGACGGACAAGATACTCACACGCATTGCGACTCGCGAATCGGTATCCCGGATCCAGAGTGCATTCATGATTGACGTTCAACAAGTTTCACTGGCGCTGAGCCTCGCTACACCTCGCAGCCTACTCGTCTTCGATGAATTCGGCAAGGGCACAAGCGCAAATGACGGGGCAGGTCTTGTTTGCGGCGTGTTCGAGTACCTCCTCGGGCTTGGAAACAAGTGCCCAAAGGTGCTCGGAGCAACTCACTTTCACGAGATATTCGAGGAGGGCTACCTCGTCCACCATGCAGCTCTGCAGTTCGGCCACATGGAGGTTCGTGTTGATGAGGACAGGACCAGCATTGATGAGCAGATCACCTATTTGTACAATTTCCGACTCGGCCGTAGTGTGTCGAGCTTTGGAAGCATGTGCGCGGCATTGAATGGCATCAGCAGAGAGGTTGTGGCGCGTGCCGAGCAGCTGATACTCATGTCGGTGAAGGGAGAGGATCTTGTCGCGGCATGTTCGGTGATGCCGGCGCACGAAAGAGCTGAACTGGAAGAGGCCGAGTGCATTGCGAGGGCTTTTCTGGCTGCTGATGTGGGAGTGGACGCGGACGGCGATCCACGGAAATTGCTGGATGACATCCTTGCGGCGACGCCTTCTACAACGTATGGTTCAGCAACGGTGGACACGGATACGATGAGCACGTCGGACATGATGTCCTAAATTCTTACGTAAGTGTTCTCAGGCCGACGACGGTGGCATGTTGCTTGTGGCTGAGCCGATGGTGTTGTCGGGTCCTGTACTACTTGTTTGCTGGTAATGGCTCGCCCAATACGCGCTGAAGATGTAACTGTAAGAATGACTACGTAATATGCGAGGCAGACAACTCTTTTCTCCGAATCAGCTAGGCCGCCGTTAGCGATACGAAGTGTTCCGTGAGTGTGGAGAAGCGAATGATGCGTTTCCCCAGACGCAGAGTCGAGACTAGTGCTTGGCATTCTGGGCAATGTTTCCGCATTCTGCAAGCGGCGGCAGCCGAAAGTTTGCAGCAAGCGCCATGTGGAAACGGCGTGTGGAGACGCGAGGGTCCCGTACCTGAACAGTCAAGCAAGAGTAGGCGTGGTAGCTGCTCCAATCGCCATTCCGATCGATCCCGGGCCGGGCCGCAAAGACGAGTCGACGAGAGCTTCACGAATCAGGCGTGCGATCGCTGATCAATGATACATGGCTCACGGGGTTGCATTGCGTGGGAAACGCAGGTCCGGCCATGCAGGCAGCAGGGTCGGGCGCAGGGCGGGGCAATGGAAGAGGCGAGGGCTGACTGATAAAGGACTCGGGACTCGGGCAGAGAGGTGTTTCTCTCGCACGAGACGGGTCGGCGCAAGCGTGCTCGGCCCGTGAGACACGGATCAAGAGACGGGCTTTCTGGGCAGTACGGATCACAGGCTAGCGCGCTGAGCAGCAGCTGCTTGGAGCTCCCACACCGTAGCCAAAGGCGCGTGCGCACCACGACCGGGCTGCTCGACGGAGTTAGGAGGATTCCGCCATTTGCTTACCAAGGGGTCGGTGGCGCTCCTGCTGGAGAAGTCATCAAGACGGCGCGCCTGGCACACCAATCGGCAACATTGTCGACGCGGCAAGGAGCGTTGCAACAGAGGAGGGGTACTGCGTGTTTAGCTCGAGCAAGCTAGGCGGGACGGGCGTGGATGGTGGTGGATATAAAGGCGAGTTGACGGCTGCTCATCGACTGCTCATCGACTGCTCATGGCAGAGGCAGACCTGTGACGCGCGCCGACCCGATCTGCCGGTGGGCCAAGCTTCGAGATTTTCTGCCAGCAGATAAACCCGACGCGAAGGACGACGCCCACTCGCCTTTCCTCAGCCACAGCCGCCCTACCGCCGCCGCTCCCCTGGCCCTCGCGGGACATCGCCGGCCGCCGGGCAGAGACCAGGGCGGAAGCGTTCCGGCGGGCTTCGCCTCTGCCGTCAGTACCCCTGCACAGCGCCGAGCATTCGAGATTTTTCGAGCAGACGGCCGAGTGGCGAACACCTCACGAAAAACCTCCTGATAACACCGCTCTTTGCTGCGTCCGACCAACAACCGGCACGACGTTTTCCTTGGGCTGCCACGGACCAGGACCCACCGAGCACGGCCACCTTCTGCCTAGCGGAACCCGGGAGTCCTCCAGCGGTTGCCATCTGCAAGTGCCGAGGGCTGCTTTTAGAATAATTGCCGTCGCCAGCCGCCCAGCTACTGTGACCTGAGCAATCCTTTAATACGAGCTCTGCGGCCAAATTTACTGCCTTTTCCCGCTTCCTTGCTCTGTCTTCTCCTCTGTCCCGTCCTCTCCAATTCGGCCGCGAATTCGAAATCCGCGTGCTCCGTCAACAGCAAAGGCATTTCCCCCCCCTGGACACGCCCGGCCAACACCGCAGAGATGGACAACGCCGACCAATTCATCGAAAAGGCCGAACGGGATGCCGCCCGCGTCAAGTCGCCCGCGGAGCAGCACGAGGCCCTGGAGCGCACTCACACTTCCTCGACCACCTCCAGCAGTTCATCCGACGCCTCGGCCGACTCGGTGGAGCGCCGCGAGATTGGCATGTCGAGAGTGCCTACCGCCAGGGACAACATGGCCGACCTGGAGCGCAACGCAACCGTCATGAGCAGGATCCACACCGCACGGAGCCAGCACAGCGGAACCGTCGGTGCTAGCCTTAAGAGTAGGAAGTCGAACAAGCCGTTGCCCAACTTCGGCGCCGGCAAGCCGTTCCCGCCGCCGCTGCCGGATCGGGAGGAGTATGTCGTCGAGTTCGACGGCCCGGATGACCCAATGCACGCCCAGAACTGGCCATTGAAGAAGAAGCTCGCGACGGCCGTGATGCTGGGATACTACACCATGGTCGCTGCTTTTGGCAGTTCCATTTTCTCCTCCGCCACCCGCGTCGTGGCCGGCAAATTCGGCGTCAGCACCGAAGTCGGCATCCTCGGTGTCTCCCTGTACGTCCTGGGCTTCGCGACCGGCCCCATCCTCTGGGCCCCAGGCTCTGAGCTGTACGGCCGACGGAAACCCCTGATCATCTCGTCCTTTGGCTTCTCCATCTTCTTCATTGCCTGCGCCACGGCCAAGGACCTGCAGACGGTGCTCCTGTGCCGCTTCTGGAGCGGCTTCTTCGGCGCCTGCCCTCTCACCACCGTCGCCGCCGTCTTCTCGGACATGTTCGACAACAGGACCCGCGGCATCGCCATCACCGTCTTCTCCATGACCGTCTTCACGGGCCCGCTGCTCGCCCCCTTCATCGGCGGTTTCATCACCATGTCCTACCTCGGCTGGCGCTGGACCCAGTACATCGTCTCGTTCATGGGCTTCTTCGCCTTCGCCCTGAACATCCTCTTCCTGCAGGAGACGTACCCGCCCGTCATCCTCGTGAACAAGGCCGCCGAGCTGCGCCGCCGGACCAAGAACTGGGGCATCCACGCCAGGCAGGAGGAAATCGAAATCGACTTCCGCGAGCTGGTCGAGAAGAACTTCTCCCGCCCTCTCCGCATGCTCGTCACCGAGCCCATCGTGCTGCTCCTCTCCATCTACATGGTCAGTCTTCCCCCCATCCCCCCCATTGAAACCCCTCCAATCCACTGACAAATCACTCCCTCCCAGGCCTTCGTCTACGGCATCCTCTACCTCTTCCTCACCGCCTACCCCATCGTCTTCCAGCAGATCCACGGCATGAACCTCGGCGTCGGCGGGCTCCCCTACTTCGGCATGATCGTCGGCCAGCTGCTCGCGGGCACCTTCATCGTGCTCCGCCAGCCGGGCTACCAGCGCAAGCTCGCCGCCAACAACGACGTGCCCATCCCGGAGTGGCGCCTGCCCGAGGTCATCGTCGGCGGCGTCGCCTTCTCCGTCGGCCTGTTCTGGTTCGCGTGGACGGGCTACACGAAGGACATCCACTGGATCGTGCCCACCCTGTCCGGCCTGTGCAGCGGGTTCGGCCTGATGGCGATTTTTTTGCAGAGCCTGAATTACCTCGTCGATGCGTATCTGATGGTGAGTTGCTTTTTTTTTTTTTTTTTTTGAGATCTCTCGTCCCTTGCCTTCCCCTAGTGGAAAACGTGGTTTACCCATGCTGACGCTCGCTTGCCCCAGTTCGCCGCCTCGGCCATCGCCGCCAACACGTTCCTCCGCTCGCTGTGCGGCGCCGGCTTCCCCCTCTTCGCGACGTACATGTTCCAGGGCATGGGCGTGCAGTGGGCCGGCACGCTGCTCGGCTGCGTCGCCGCCGTGCTCGTGCCCGTCCCCATCCTCTTCTACCTCAAGGGCGCCAAGATCCGCGAGAGGAGCGCGTACGCGCCGACGAAGCCGGCGTCGTTTGGGGAGGAGTGATTTCGATTGATTGATTGAGGGAGGTGCGGGGGAATGGGGGAGTGGGAATGAAGACTGATTAATGGAAAAAGGATGGGATAGATTAGGGTAAGGAAAAAATAATGGGGATGATTGGGTGGAGAGGAGAAGAGAAGAGAATGGTTGGGGTTGGGGTGCTCGTTGTTGTTGTTGGTTTGTTGTGCGCGTGTGCGTGAGCGCTCGCGTTGTTGTTGCCTTTTCCCATACCCAGGTGTGCTTTTGACTATTGTACGTGACGAAAGGAACACAAAAGACCGTGAGGTGGAATTGGTGTGTGTGTGTGTGTGTGTGTGTGTGTGTGTGTGTGTGTGTGTGTGTGTGTATGCATGGAGCTGGGGAGTTTTTTCTTTTTGTCACCTCGTACGAGTCTTCTCTTAGGGATGATGGTTGTTGCACTTTTCCGTCTATATATATGTTATGCGGTGTACGCAAAGACGATTTATGCCTCGTTGGACTACATACTACTTATTTACATAACGACGTCAAATATACTGAATAATGTTTTTTGTTGAAACTTGAACTTTGATCGAAGTTACCACGCATTCGCGCACCTGCGAGATTCTTTCGGTTTTCTTCATGGAGGAACTTGGCCTCGGACGGAGCCTGCAGGTTACAGACGTGCTGTGAGCAGTGCTACTTGCCTCCCAAGTTGAATTTTATTTCCCTACTAGTCTTCAAGAGGAGAAAAAAAAACCAAAAGGAGTTACACTTTCTGTTCCTCCATACCGAGAGCTCACATCGTCGCCGTCTTCTTAACGCTATCGTCGGATGCATCGTCATTACACTTTTTTTTTTACGTCCAGTCGTCTACTCGTCACTCGTCTCGTCCCACCATTTTTTTTTCTTTTCTTTCCGTCGTCCCTTTCCCTTTCCCCTTCAAACGCCCACTGCCAAATCGATCAAATCGACTCTGCACCAGCCCAACCCAACCCAACATCGCTCTCACTTTTCCCCAGCCCCGCGTCCCGCGCCCGGCCGCCCAGCCCTCAACCACACACAAAGGACTAGTGCTCACCGCCCACCCTACACCCTCCCCGCCCTCCCCACCTGAATGATCTCCCCCGTGCGCGGATCGTCGGCGCGCAGCACGGGCCACGTCTGGCCGTCGACGGCCTTGCGCAGCTCGAGCTCGAGCTTGGTGCCCATGACGCGGTAGGCGGAGCGGGCGGGGTCGACGGCGGCGAAGAAGCGCAGGTCGGCGGCGTGGCGGCGGCGGTCCGCCGTGCGGAGGTCGAGCGCGACGCCGTCGGCGCGCAGCGCGACGGTGCTGCAGGCGGGGTCGATCTTCTTGAGGAAGAGGGAGGCGATGATCGTGGTGGGGGTTTGGTAGAAGTCGGATCTGTGGGTGGGGGAGGTGGTTAGCTTTTTTTTTTTCTTTTCCCCTCTTTCTCTTTTTGGGGGGTTTTGGTGGGGGAGGAGGAGTAGTGGCACATGGCTTACCGCACGCTCTCGACGACATCGTCCTCATCCTCACCCTTCCCCTTCTTCTTGCTCCCCACAAACAAATGCCGCGCCTTGGTCGCACACCCCCCAATCTTCATGAACTCGTCAAACTCCAGCACCCGCCGCTTGCAGCAGCTGTACCCCTTGCTGCCCTCGTGGAATATCGGCGCCCCCGGGTGATGCACGCAGCCTTCCTCGTCTCCCCTCCCCGCCGCCGCCGAATACGTCGCCCCGCACGCCTTGCGCTTGCACACCGCCCCGTCCGGGATCGCCGCCGTGTCGTCGTCGTCTTCGTCTGATTCCTCTTCGGGTGCAGGGGACCGCGTGGGCGTCGGCGCGGCGTTGGTCGGGATGCGCGCGGGCGTGTGCGTGCCTAGGGTGATGGAGGAGTCGTGGCCGGGTGTGGGCTCGGGAGCTTCGGCCGCGTGGGGTTTGGGTTTGGCGTCTTCGTCGGCGGGGGTGGGGGCGGCGGGGGCGGGCGTGTCGTCGACGTCCGAGTGCGTGCCTGTGGTGCAGGGCGGGATGGCGAGGAATTCGTCAAAGGTGAGGACGCGGGGTTTGCAGCATTTCCAGCCTGTAGTGGGTGGAGAAGGGGGGAGGGAAGCGGTTAGTCGGGTGTTTTTGTTGTTGTTGTGGTTGTTTGGACTGGGGAGTGGATGGCGGCGTACCTTTTTGACCCTCGTGGAAGACGGGTGGGCCGGGGTGGTAGACGCAGGGCTCGGCGTCGTCTTCGTAGACCTTGCCGCAGCCCTTGTGGACGCACTTCTTGGTCATTGTTGGTGAGGAAAAGGCGGGTGACGGATGAGAGGTGGCTTGGAGGGCGGATCTGGGGCGATTGGCAAGACAGGCGGGAAAGAAAGGTGGTGGGAGTTGAGGGTTGTAAGACGGGAATGCTCGCGCGGGCCGGGGTTCGTGGACGAGCAAGGCAGTGACGTGAGAAAGTTCGAGAAAGCGAAGGTGGTAGGGCTGGCTGGGCTGGCTGGTGGACCAGCCTCACCGCCCGGGCGGCGTTCGAATGATTCGGTGTCTGCTTGTTTCTTGGTTGCCCCGGACCGGCAGGCTGTGCGCTAACCCCGCCGCATCTCGGCCACTGTCACCACCAGTCGCTCCCCGCCATGTTCGCCCCAACCGCGCGTCTGCTGCAGCGCGCCTGCCGACTCACCCTCTTCACGCGCCAGGGCTGCGCGCTGTGCGACAATGCAAAGGGCGTGCTGTCAAACGTGTGGGACAAGCGCCCCTTCGAGTACACCGAGATCGACGTCATGGCGCCCGGCCAGCAGAAGTGGAAGGACGTCTACGAGTTCGACACGCCCGTGGTAAGCCAGAGCCCACCCAATTCGACGCCGTCATGGCTCACGGTGACGCAGATTCACGTGGAAAAGATGCCGGCAAACGACGGCCAGGAGACGACCACTGCAGCACCGAAGTTGATGCATCGCTTCAAAGAAGAGCAGGTCGAGGCGCTGATGGAAGAGGCGGAGAAGGACACGACCGAGTGAAATCGACGCAGAACGGCGTTTGAAAATGCCTAGTCCGTACTGTTCCTCCGGTTCGTCGGCAGGATGCTACAGCGAACGACGTGGGGTTCGTTGCCGAGCGGGTGCGGGGTGACTACTTCTGTCTTTCCTCGAATACATCATCCCTTTCTCCCTCTCCCACAATTGCTACTCAAAAGAACCACCGTCGAACATGCAGGCCGCAAACCGCTTTCAGAACGCCCTCAGGAAGGGTGGCGCCAGCTTTGGTGCATGGCAGGTAAGAAGCCGCCCGCCTTACCCTACAACAAAGCCTGCGCAATAACATGGCATCCAGATGCTGCCGGGCTCCAACCACTCCCGCGCCATTGCCAGCGCCAACATGGACTGGATCTGCGTCGACACGGAGCATGGAAACATCGACGGTGCGAATCCCGAATCCCTCGTCGCCAGTTGATCTGACTCGCCTCCAGATGGCCAAATGCATGAATGTGTGGCAGCAATTGCCGCTTGTGGCGTGAGCCCTCTTGTCCGCATCCCGGCCAATGAGGGATGGATGGTCAAGCGTCAGCACCCTCATCTTGCACACGCCCAGTAAACATGGCTCATTCAGCTTGCAGGTGCCCTTGATGCCGGTGCTCATGGCATCATTGTCCCCCTTCTGTACACGGCAGACGATGCCCGCAAGCTCGTGACATCAGCCAAGTTCCCTCCTCAGGGCACGCGCGGCTTCGGCTCTCCGTTCCCCATGGCCAAGTTCTCCAACCAGAGCACCGCCGAGTACCTGCTGCAGGCGAACGACGCCCTGGTCACCATCGCCCAGATCGAGACCAAAGAGGCCCTGGAAAACGTACGAGCGGTGTGCCCACCCACGCAGAAACGACCGTTGTGTCTGACTTCGCCCCCAGGTCAACGAGATCGCGTCCGTCCCAGGCATCGACGTCCTGCTCATCGGCCCCTTCGACCTCGGCAACAACATCGGCCACCCCATTCTCGATGGCACCATGCATGACAACCTCAAGGCTGCCATCGAGCGCATCCACAAGGCCGCGGGCGACAGCGGCAAGCGCACGGGTATCTACTGCACCTCGGGCGAGCAGGGCTACGAGTACTCGCAAAAGGGCTTCCACATGATCTCCGTTGCCGCCGACATGATGGCCATCCCGAATTACTTCAACAGCGTCCTGAGCACCGCGAGGGGGGAGGGGGTGACGGCGTCCAAGGCGACTGGTCCTTATGGGAGGTAGGGAGGTTGTGACGGCGTCCAAGGTGACTGGTCCTTATGGGAGGTAGGGAGGTTGTGACGGCGTCCAAGGTGACTGGTCCTTATGGGAGGTAGGGAGGTTGTGCATTTCCCCATCAGCGCATAGGAGATGATGTGGTCACTGTTGCAGACTAATTGAGCCATACGAAATGCATCTCACAGGATTGGAAACATGTGCAACTGGCAAAGGGATGACTCCGGTACACTGACAACTACATTTGCGCCATGGCGTCAAAAGAGGGTACAAGCACCATCACCGATATGGGTGCCATCCCCGAACCCCCTTTTCATGCTTGAAACAGCGGGGCCGCGGACAGCGCGAGGCTATCATCCTCAAGAGCCGCGGCAATAGAGTGTGTGCCCAGAGCCACAGCGTGTGACGAATGGAATCGGCTCACCTACGTCTATCGCACACGGGCAATGGGATCTTGTCTCTGGACGAGTTTGTATAGTTTCGATACTCGCATCCACATCTGGATATCTGACGACCCGCATACGGGATCGGCGTAGGCCAATCTCTTTCGCCACGACCACTGTGTTACTTGAGAGTTTAGGTTCGGCAGGCGATGGGAACACCAGCTAGCTGGCTTGCTAGTGCCGTCGCAGCATTTGGAAGCGGAAAGAATCTTCACCGAATCTATTTTCGGCCTCACTCGCGCGGGTCGGCAGTGCTGAGTGGTCAGTCGTCGAAGGGATGGTCGAGAGAAACGAGGGAAAGACAAATGCTGCCTTGAAACGAGGAGTCCGCAGGCAGTGACGTCTAGGGAAGCTTTACTGGGAACAAACTCTGCACCGGAGCCGCGAAAGGCCACGAGCTGGCCGTGGCTCCGTTTGATGTCGCGATTCTCTTCAGCGAAAAAAAGGGCCTTCTCTCGGAAGTCGGAAGCCAGGTAGGTAATGGCAAGCCTGTTTCTGCTTACCCGCAGCCAAGCTCTTGCCGGATGCAGGAAGTTCGGGGGATCTGATGCAGCGGTCTTGCACCACGGGCGGCGCAGAGCGGTCAGTGTTTGGCGGGACCAGGTGGGTGGCCGTGCTCGGCACGCCCGGGACGAGGCGCCTTGGTCTGCGGACCCGTTCTGGGCGAAGGACGCAGCCCGAAGAGGAATGTGTTTGATGAGGGCGAGGCCGCTGAAACGGGATTAAGATTGGGCCAAGCCGCGCGCCTTGCCGAAACAGGCAACGCGATCGACGTGGCCGGCGGCGAGTCCTGAGGCCGCCGCCCTGGACGACGACACACCATCCCGCCACCTGAAACAGTAATCCACAACACCATCGCATAGCTCCTGGAGAGCACGCACCCGCTCGTGCCCGGCCAGCATGCCAGTTGGTCTGGCGTGCCACATCACTCGCCGTCTGTACTACACTTCCAAATAGACATGTATATATCTACCACAGCACCTCGCCGCCAATGTAGTTTTCCGTTCATCATCATCACCGCCACCGGTCTCACTTCCGTCCTCCGTACTGGTACAGACGCTTCTTTCCTTCCTCTACTATCGTTACCACACACACATAGCCAGGCTATCTAGCAGTTCCAATTCCCTCCACCATCTTTGACAGATACCAAACGGACTCACTTTCTTACAACAACAACAAAAAAAAAACAAAGACAAAAACGAAACCCCACAACCCCATACCACCAACATCCCTCACTATATTCAAGAAAGAAAAAATGGTCTACTCCAAGAACCTCCTCACCATCTCTCTCATGGCTGCCGCCGCGGCGCGCGCCACCCCAACCTTCGGCTTGGGCCTTTCCGGCTCCGGCTTCGGCTCCGGCTCAGGATCCGGCTCTGGCTCCCTGTCCACCACCGCCGATTTGGGCGGCGCTGCGGGCGCGGCGGGCGCGGCGGGCGAGGCGGCGGGGAACTTGATCGGTAGTGTTGTTGGCGGGCTCGCTGGCGGGCTGGGCGGACATGGTGCGGGTGAGGGATCGGCTGGTGTGGGTGGTGATGCCTCGATTGGTGGAGGTGCGGCTGCGGGCGGTGATGCCTCGCTCAGTGGTGATGCCTCGCTCGGTGGTGATGCTTCGCTTGGTGGCGACGCGTCTGCAGGTGGCGATGCCTCGGGATCGGGCTCAGCCGGTGTGGGCAGTGATGCCGGACTGGGTGGAGGCGCGTCGACCGGCGTCGGTGGCCAAGGCGAAGGTGAGGGCGAAGGTGAAGGTGAAGGCGAGGCGAGCGGATCTGCTTCTGGTATGTCGCCGTTCGAACGGCCCGGCCCCTCTTCACTCTCTTTTCTCCGGACTGGGGTTTTTTTTTGACTGACTTTTTGAATAGGCTCGGCTGGCGCTGGCGTTGGCGGGGGGTTGAGCGGGAGCGGATTGGGGTCTGGCTCGGCTGGACTGGGAGGCGATGCCTCGGCGGGCGGTGATGCGTCTGCTGGCGGTGATGCGTCTGCTGGCGGTGATGCGTCTGCTGGTGGTGATGCATCTGCTGGCGGTGATGCATCTGCGGGTGGAGACGCGTCGGGATCGGGATCAGCTGGTCTTGGAGGTGATGTTGGTTTGGGCGGAGGTGCGTCGGCGGGTGGAGACGCCTCGCTGGGTGGTGATGCATCGGCCGGCGCTGGTGGCCAAGGCGAAGGCGAAGGCAAAGGCGAAGGCGAAGGCGAGGCAAGCGGATCAACCTCTGGTACGTTGTGGTCGTCGAATGGCTCCCGTCTTTTCCCCCTGCTCTCTGGACTTTTTGCTAACGTCGTTCAATAGGTGGAGCTGGCACGGGAGTTGGCGGTGGCATTTCTGGTGGGCTGTCCGGTAAGTCATCTTGTCTCCATATGGCCACCAAGGAAGCTCTTCGCTGATTTGATTTCATCACAGGTGGCGCCGGAGCTAATGGAACGATTTCTGGAGGAGTGGGAGCCGGAGTCGGAGCCGGACTCGGAGGTAAGTTGATCATCTCTCAAATACGATGACCAGACCTGTTCGTTGTGCTGACTATGTTTCTTAGGCGGAGCCGGTCTTGGTGGTTCCGTTTCCGGTGGAGCAGAAGGGTCAGCCTCAGGTGAAGGTATGCCGCCTGTGTGCTCTTTGTTGAATGACTTGTCACTAACAACCTCGAATAGGCAGCGCGAGTGGAGAGACTAGTGGTGAAGGTGAAGCCGGTCTTGGAGGTGATGGATCGGCTTCCGGCGAAGGTACGCAGCCTCCATCCGCGATCTTCTTGCCCAACGATTCGGTACTAACTCCTTTTATCAGGCAGCGCAGGCGGCGAGAGCGGAAACTCAGGTGAAACCGGAGGGTCTGGCTCTGGTGAAGGTACGTCGTCTCTGTGCTTTTGAGTTCAACGTTTTGGTGCTGACGCTTTTGCTTAGGCAGCGTGAGTGGCGAAGCCGGCGGTGAGGGTGAGGGTAGCCTTGGTGGCTCTGTTTCTGGAGGAGTAGGGGGTTCTGCCTCAGGCGAAGGTATGCCGTTCCAACTGTCCTTTGCTCAACAGCCTTGAACTAATGCCTGTCTTAGGCAACGCAAGCGGTGAAGCCGGTAGCTCGGGTGGTGTGAACGGCGGAAGTGGAGCTGAAGGCTCGGCTGGCAGTGGTATCTCGGGCGGTGGATCGATCTCTGGCGGTGGTGAGTCTCACTCGAGTGTCCCTCCGACTGAACTTGCCAAATTCTGACTTTTCCTTTTAGCCGGTGGTTACGGTAGCACTTCTGGTGAAGGAAGTGTGGGTGGAAGCTCTGGCAGCGATGGCTCTGGTGAAGGTTCTGGTTCTGGCGACGATTCGGATTCGGGCGAGAACTGTGGCTGTGCCACTCCGGTCATCTACACCAGCACCTTTGTCGTAACGCCTACTCCTGCCGCGACGGCGGGCGTCGAGGGATCTACCGGCTCGAGTCCGAACTACGGCTACGCAGCCTACGCTCGCGCTGTCACTTACGGCGTGGTTGGCACTCCCGCCTCTACCCCCACCCCTACCCCCACTCCCGCCCAATATGAGGGCGCCGCAAGCAAGACTACCGTTTCCAGTCTGCTTGTCGCTGGCCTGGGCCTGCTCTTCACTCTCTTCTAAGGAAGATATCGCACTACGCATGGGGAAGGGTAATACGGTGGAGAACCTCCCACACAGTAATACTGTACGACTGTTTCGCGTATCGTTCCTGTCTTTCGCTCAGAATCAGTAATAATGCCTTGTTTGTCTGTTTATAGAAGCTTTAATGGTATACGTAGTCCATAGCCAATCCACCATTTCAAGCATGTCTATCCGTCACTTCAAATCAGGGCCTTAGTAAGACCCGAATTCCGTTGATGTACTGTGTCTGTCGCTAGAGGCAGTGATAATAATGACCGCGGTGAGGAACTGAGTCAGTTATCCAGACATAGCATCTTGTTCTGCGCAGTGGTATCCTCAGTGACTATATCTCTATCTTCATTTGATTTTTCGACATCGAGACAGCTTCAAGTTATTATAAATTCCCGCTGCACCTTGAGATGATGCATTTTGAATGCTATTCCCGCTATCCAGCCCTTCAACTAGAAAGATGAATAGATACCACGGACTGTATTGCCTTTGCTCTATTACCCTATTGATTGCGTAGTCAGGAGAATGAAATAAACCCAAATACGCCTAAATTGGCCATTAATCCCAGCAGTCATTGCTCCCATCAGTCATAAGCCTCCGAATACCCAGCCGTAAAGTAATCCTGTCTGTTTCAAACCCAGAGGAAATAAACCCGTCTCAAGCCCAAAGAAAAACCAAAAAACCCAATCCCAGCCTTTTCAACTCCGCTCGTTCGTTCGCATTCACTTATACCGTTTTTCGTTCCGCCCTTCAAGAGTCAACCACACACCATCAGGCGGGTGGCAAGTGGCAACTCCTCCACTAACTCACTCACTCCACCTTAGCCATCTCCGCCGCAACCTCGTGCGCCACCTTCCCAAGATCGGACTTCACACCATCCTCACCCTCACACTCATCATCATGACCACTTCCCTCCCCATCAACCTCCGTCTCCACCTCAGTCTCTGCCTCCGTCTCCGTCTCCACCTCCATCTCCACCTCCGTCTCCGTCCCCGCCTCCATCCCCTCCTCCGTCCCCTCCTCAAACCCATTGAACCCACTGAAGCCCCACCCCACGCCCCCCACAACCGCCACCTCCTCGCTCCGCCTCCACGCCACCCCCTCCCGCGGATCGACCCACGTCGCCGCCTCGACCTCTTTCTTCTTCTCCGACGACGCCGACGACGCCGACAGACGCACCCAGTACGCGCGGCCGTCGACGCAGCGGCGCTGCTGCCATCCCGGCGGGAGGCGCAGGGCGTTGAAGATGGCTGTTTCGCGGTTGATTGTGGGAATAGGGACGGTGTTGCTGTTGTTGTTGTTGTTGTTGTTGATGGGGGCAGTTTGCGGGGACGTCGTCGTCGTGGTTGTGGGCATCGGCAATCTCGGCATCGGGCTGTTGGCGGCGATGTCGATGTTGTTGAGCCGGGCCTCGACTTCGGCCAGCGCGGCGAGGACGTCCGGGTCGTTTGCGTATTTGGCCGCGGGCGGGTCGGTGGCGCGGCCTTTGCCCTTCGCCGCGGCGGCGGCGGTGGTGTCTTGACGATGACGATGACGACTGGCAGCGGCGAAGGAGGTCGAAGATGGGGGGAAGAAGATGGAGGACGAGGGGGAGAAGGAGCCGTCGCCCAATAAGCCGGCGTCGGGCCTGTCGATGTCGACGTCCATGTCGATGGGCCGCGGCCTGTATCCCACGACGACGGTGCCGTAGCAGTTCCGCTTGCGGAGCAGGGCGTGGCACGGGTTGATCACGTCCGCGCCGCCGGCCGAGCGCACGTCGTCGCCCGGGTTCGTCCAGCCCGTGTTGGCGGTGCTCTTCATCACCACCGCCGCCGCCGCCGACGCGTCCGGCTGACGATCCCCCTCCGCCTTCGACTGCTGCGTCTTGGTGCTGTACCCGAGCAGCGCGGCGACGCGATCGTCGAACTCGGCATCACGACCATCACCACTTCCACCAGGACCACGACCACCACCAACCCCCCGATCCCCATGCGCCACATGAAACCTACAGACATCGTCCCCAAAATACGGCGCCGCCACCCCCACGGCACCCCCCAGCGCCACATCCCCCGCGAACCTCTCGTCGACGGCGGGCGACCGTCCCCGCCCGTACGCCGACGACGACGACGACGACGCCGCCAAGTCCGCCTCCATGCTGGCCTGGCGCGCGGCGCGTTCGGCGTCCATGTCGCGCCGGAAGGCGGCGCGGATGGCTGGGTCCGATGACGACGACGACGTGGGGAGGTCGATGGTGTTGGTGTTGGCGGTGGTGCCATCCGAGACGTCGTGGTGGTCGCCGTGGTGGCGGTGCGTCAGCGTCCAGCAGACGAGGAAGTGGCGGAGCGGGCTGTGGGAGTGCAGAGGCTCGGCGGCTGTAGCGGCTGTAGCGGTGGCGGCGGTGGACGTGGACGCGGACGCGGACGCGGACGTGGACGTGGACGTGGACGTGGTAAACGCGGACGAACTGGTGACGGTGTAGGCGAGGGCGAGCTCGGCGGGCGAGGGCAGGATCTGGTGGCGGGTGCAGTAGGAGACGAGGCCGGTGAGGAGGTCGTCGCGGAACTGCGGGTTGTGGAAGCGGAGGCCGAGGGCGTAGGCGCGGATGAAGTCTTTGAGGTGGTACGTCCTGGTGTCGCTTTGGGGGTTAGAAGTCGGTGGGTGGGTCCTCTTGTTTGTTTGAAAGGGGGGGATGAAAGACGACGACGACGACTTACTCCTGGGTCACGCTGCCGACGTACAGCCACTTGAGGAAGATGGTGGCGGCGGGGCGCCAGCCGGCCGGGAGGGTGACGTCCCGCGGCGGGCACTTCAGCAGGATGTCCTGGCGCAGCTCGGAGAGCTCGCGGTGGACGAACAGGGGCTGGCCGCCGTCCTCGACGACGATGGTGTTGACGCCGTCGTAGTGGCAGAGGTAGGGCTTGGTGCCGGGACGGGTGACCTGGACGGGGTGCGGGGTGGCGTAGTGCGGGTGGTTGTTGGTGTAGTCGGCCGGGGTGAAGATGCGCAGCGGGCTGCCGAGGCGGCGGGCGCGGCCGTCGTGGTCGTCCCGCCTGCGCGCGCGCTGGCAGTAGTGGAACCAGAAGTCCTTGAGCTTGTGGGGGCCCAGCAGGAGCTCGTTCATGGTGTCGGGCGTGCCGAAGTGGACGTAGAGGTCGGCGAAGAGGGCGCGGATGGCGGCGTTCTCGTCGGTGAGGTTCGGGCTGTAGGCGTGGTTGATGCAGACGTTGTCGGGCAGCAGCTTGCGCTGGCCGGGGCGCGTCGCGTTGACGGCGATGGTGTCGAGGATCATGTTGCTGAAGCGCGTCGCGCCCACCATGTCGCCCAGGACCCAGGCGTCGACCAGGTCGGGCCGGTCCTTGACGTTGGCCCAGCTCAGCATGAGCGGCCCGCCGTAGACATAGTCGACGAGGAGGTGGAAGATGCGCGGCGTCACCGTCGGGAGCGACCACGTCATGACCGGCGGTCCGGACTCGAGGCCGCGCGCGAAGTAGAACATGTGCTTCGTCATCAGGTCGGCGTGGATGGAGAAGACCTCCTCTTCCTTGCCGACCTTGACGTGGACCACGCGCTCGAACATCTGCGACATGGTGGCGTCGATTCGTCGAAGAGGAGAGGGAGGATGTTGAGCGAAGAAGATGGCAGGATGAGGTGAAGAGGTAGAGAGTGTTATATAAGATCAAGATCTTCCACGCCCACGGTGCTGAGCCCCGTCCACGTGCCACCCATGTGTGCCTCACTCCAGACGGCATGCTAACCTGTAACCAATCCGGTACTCGGACGTGACAGCCCACATACCACAAACCCACTCACTTCGTTATGATGATGCTCACACTCGAGCAAGCAACACCTCACTTCGGAAACACAACCTCAAACCTCACGAGATCGACAGAACTCTTGCAGTGGGCGGGCTGCAACAACCTCACTCTCAATCACTGTGCTGGGACTGACATGGATCGTGACCGCAGACGAACACTTCATCCTCGCGATAGAATGCTTTGATGATAGATCATAGAAACGAAGAACAGCCACTAAGTACTAAGGAGTTGAAGAAAAGAAATTTAATACATGGTCACCATTACCAGATAACTAAACGCACGCATCGCAAGCCTTTCGTTTTCCAAAAGATGATGATGAGAAAAGAGCAGAAAAGCAAACAAAAACCCCAAGAAGACGCTCAAGTCCCAAAACGCCACGCCACCCCAAGTGTCCCTTCCGAACCTCATATGTATGTTATGCCCATGATATCGTATCGTATACTCGACTCTCCTTGTTCATTGCAGTTGTCGTCGTCGTCAAACAGGAAAGAGAAAAAAAGAAACAAGCTCGTACAAACCGCACCTCGGCAACCAAACCCCCTCCAAAAGAAAAGAATACAGAACAAAACCCCAAAGCGTCTCATCAAGGACGGAAAAGAGGAAGAAGAAGAAGAAGAAGAAGAAGAGGCGGAGAAAGAGAAGAGAAGAGAGAGAGAAAGAGAGAAAGAGAAAAAAAAAAAAGGCGATCATCACATCCTCCCCACCTCCCTCACACCGACACTAAACCCCCCCTTCACCTTCGCCGCACTCTTTCCCCTCGGCCGCTCCCTCTCCCTCTCCTCGAGCACCAAGCCCTCCCGCGCGCCTCCTCCTTCCAACGCCCCCACCCCGACCCCGACGCCCTTCCCCTTCTTCCGCACGACCCCCAACCCCACCAACCGCTCCCAAACCCCATCCCTCCGCATGCACTCCTCGCGCCTGAACGGCAGCCCGTCCAGCGACCGGACCGCTCCGCACGCGCTCGCCACGAGCATCTCGTACACGCGCCGCCGCAGCTCCGTGTCGGCGTCCAGGCGCGACAGGTACGCGCGGTCGCGGTCCTCGTCGGCCGAGGGCAGGACGAGGTGCTGCGGCAGCCGCTGCTGGTCCGCCTCCTGCTCGAGCAGCGAGTTCTCGACGACGGAGGCGCTGCTGTCGGCGTCGTTGTCGGCGTCGGCGTCGTCCGGGTCGAGGCCGGCGCGGGAGACGCGGCGGTCGGCGCTGGGCGGCGGGTAGAAGCCGACGTTGAAGGCGTTGTTGCGCAGGTCGACGCGGCGCAGCGACGGCACTTTGCCGAGGACGAGCACGTTGCGCCGGAGCCGGCTGAGGCGGTTGCCCGCGAGGTCGAGCCGCGCGAGCTTTTTGCTGTTGAGCAGTGGCCGGAGCTCCTTGAGCGCGTTGAAGTTGAGGTTGAGGCTGCGGATGTTGGGGGCCGCCGCGCCGAACTTGTCCGGCAGCGTGTGCAGCCCGCATGACGCGAGCTCTAGACGCTGGAGGTTGAGGAGGGGCACCGTGTTGCCGGCTTCGTCCTCGGGGAAGGAAAGCGTCGGGATGGTGTTGGACGAAAGGCACAGCTCCGAGATGTCTGTATTGGCCAGGAAGCTGGCCGTGTCGAAGACGCCAGACGCGGGGTGCTGGTCTCGGACCGAGAGGGCCCGGAGATTTCTGAGCTTGGCAATACCGCTGATGGAAGAAAGGTTGTTTGAGTCGGCACCGAGCGTCTCCAAACTGCGGAACGACGACACATCGAGTCTTGCCAAGCGGTTACGGCTCAGGCCTAGACGTTTGACCCTGGAGACACGGCCAGACGAAAACGTAGAGAGGTCGTTTTCATCCAGGTTGAGAATCTCCAGGGACTTCAGAGTGTCAAGGGAGCGAATGCTGCTAATCTCGTTGTCCGACAAGTCCAGCTCGGTCAGGCGCTCACTGCAAAGGTTAGAATCATCCACAGAATGCTGGGAATGCAACTTACAGATACGCTCCCTGGAAGTCCACCCTTCTGATCTTGTTGCCCTTCGCACTCAGCTTGAGTAAGCCATCCAGCTCCAACACTCCCTCGAGACTATCAACCTCATTGTCATCAACCTTCAGTTCTCTCAGGTGAATCAACATTGAGAAGCCCTTGAGGCTGTCAATGGCATTCCCGGACACGTCTAGGTACTGAAGGTTCGTAAGATGGCTCCAACTAGTCAAGCTGTTCAGGCAGTTGTTGCTAATGTTCAACCGCCGCAGGCTGGTCGGCGCACCCGCCAGCTGGGCAATGTGGTTGTTGGAAACGTCCAAAGCCTCAATGCGATAGCAGAGCTCATCGAGACGGTTCAGAGTCGGTAGATCCTTTTGCTGCAAATCCAGACGGCGTAGGTCCTCCCAGAAGGGCTCTTCCGGTTCATTGTCCTGAAGCGCTTTGATCAGCTCCATCGTGCCTTGCGCGTACCTGTCCTCGAGGACATTGACTGTAGCGCCGCCGTTGCGCTTGACAAGAGTACGGTTGGGCAGCTCATGCTCATCCTCGCCACTGATTGTGAAGGGAGGAAGCTCGCTCAGCACGAATGTCACATCCGCGAGACCAACAGGGTTGCTGCTGTATGGATTGGCGGGAGACTGAGGAATGACTGCCGGAGAACGCCCGTTTCGGGAGACGCTGACCTGGAACTTCATCCTTTTTTGCTCCGATTCAGGGTGCTTCACAATTGACATCTCATTGTCACGAGCCGGAGAAGGTGATTGGCTGAAGTCAGTGACGGTCTGCTTCGTGGCTCGGCGATATCCATTGAGCCTGGATCTGGGCGTGATGAAATCATTCTTTAGAGGAGTGGGTAAATCCTGGGCTTCATCATCATCGAAGTAACGAAGCCGAGATAGTGAGTTCGGAGCAGGAGAATCGATCCTGGAGAATTTTCCACCAGCCTCTTCTCTGTGTCTTTCAAACGAGTAACCACTGGTCTTCGGCGGAGCTTCATCGTCGAAAGACTTGAAGTCGTGCTCCGAATCCTCGTCATGCTGGGGAGACGGAATTTCCATGATCGTCTCCTCACGGCGAATGTGCTTGGGGATATAGTTCGCATGCCTCTCGCTCATCGAGGTTGCACGGGTTTCAGCCTGAGTCACGCTTGAGGAGAAATGACTCGAAAACTTGGAGGGAGCGCTGTTTGTATCCGAAGGCGGAATCTCGGCTCCATCACGCGTCCTGGGTCTGGCTGTGTCCGATGAAGGTTCAACTGGCTGGCTGGGGCTGGCAGATGCAGCAGACTTGTCAAAGAAGACATCGTCTTCTTCACGTGGGCGCTTGAGGTCATCCAAAGGCCGTGGCTTTCGACCAATGCTTCTCCGCTCTTGGACTTCGTCGACAGTCAAATCAGGAATGTTCCCTAGCGGGTCCTCCTCGCTAGCCATGTGGCTGACATTCGCCGAAGCCGTTGGTCCTCCAGCATTCCGACTCCTGATCCAGATGCCTTTGTCGCGGTCGAAGCTCATGCCAGCGATCTCTTGCGGGATGAGATGCGCGACAGCTTCCGGAGGGAGCGTGGCTACATTGTCAGACCGACGAGAGAAAGTAGTCAGGTTTGTCTTACCAAACGACGACTCCATTGTCGAAGGACGTGACTGACCAGAATCATCGTCATGACCGCTGGACTCCCTCGAGTCTGGGCGGGTGGCATTCGACTGTCCCCGTTGGCGACGACGCTGGGTGAGGTGGTTTGTCAATATGCGAATGTCGGGCGACTGGCCTTGGAAGAAGTCGCTTTCTTCCTGAGTCCTATCCTCTAGGTGCTTGACGTTGAGTGAACGGACACTTGAGGCCATGAAGTCATCACCGTCATCTTCCTTGAACTTGCGAAGATGGCTTGCGATACGCGGATTCTCCGTGAAAGCACCGGGGTGTCGCCAGCCGCCTTTGAAGCCTTCGCGGCTCGGAGGCCTTGAAAACGTTAAGGGGGAGTCGGGAACCGCAAGAAAATCCCAATTGACGTCCTCACGGGCCGGACTTTCGTCTCCAGATTCCGCCAAACTTTGCAGTGCGCTATTGGGCCTGCCCTTGGCCCGAATGTGGTCCATGATGAATCGAGCTTCATCGAGAAAATCCTGCGTCGTGACGGACTTCTTACGGTCTTCGTCTTTCATGCTTTGCCGCAGCTTGACTGAGAAAGCTGCGATCTGAGTAGCGACAGCCCTTTCATCTTCGGCATACGAGGGATGGCCATGAGTATCTGGGCTTTCGAGGTGCTCCTGGATGACTTGGAGCTGCTTGGGAGAACTATCCAGGTAGGCCTCTGTTGCTTCGAGAATATCGGCTTGTATTTGTTCACGCCTGCGTTGGCTGGGTGTTGGGTTGCGTGGGCGAAGGAATTGCCTCCTCGGATGAAGGTCGGGGTTTGCAGAGTGTAACTGTCTGTCGGGGCGTGGCTCCTGGCTTCTCCTCCCATACCCGGGACGCGATCTCTCGCGGCTTCTTTCCTCAGAATGAGGGACATCCTCATGATCTTCCACGTCCATGGGGAGCAAGGTCCGACGTCGTTTCGCGCTGGGATTCTTGAAAGGAGAAGGGGGAGCTCTCTTGCCCTCTGCTTGCTCAAGGTCGCCACGGGCAGCCAGTGCTCTTCTGAGCCCGAGTCTGGGCGATTTGGGTATCTGAATGGAATCTCTGTTCGAAACGGTCGTAGTCCAGCTCTTGACGCTATGTCTGGAGAGCTTTCGCTTAGAGTGGATGCTCTGCCGCGGTATTCCATCGTTCAGACTGAATTGGAATCGAGGGGCAGATCCAGGCGGCGGAGAGCCTGATCGATCATCGTCTTCATACGCCGGCTCCTGGGATGATTGCTGCGAGTTGCCGAATGATTCCGGGAAAGGATAATCGTCAAGGTCGCCGCGGCCGAAGTAGCTGCTTGCGGACTCGCCAAATGCCAGCTGTCCACCCTCTTCCTCCGAGTCCGATCCGAGTTCATCGATTTCATCGTGAAGAGCGCCCGATTTCTGGAAGCTGGCTTCCTCGACCGAAGGCAGTCGATGATCAATGCGCCTTACAGCGCCGCCTCCACTTTGTCTCCTGCTTTCTGCCGCATGCTCCTCCTGGAAAAGAGTGTCTTCCAACTGGCTCATCCGGCGCTGGAGCTTGTTGGCGGTGAATGTGTCGTGATCGCCGAACAGTTTCAGAGGACTGCTCGAGGATTGTGGCCTTTCCGGATATAGGTAGGAGGAGTTGGGACGACGGGCTGGTGTGCTCGGTGACATGGGAGGGCTGGAGTGACGAGGCATGAACTGATATCGCAACCGGCTATGAGGTCTTTTCCCCGATCCACTCGAGTTGCTTGGAAATGAGCCATAATCTGAATTTTTTCGCTCCTGCGGCGAGGGACTCGGTGGGTGCGCCTTGAACAGTCCGTCGGCTGAGAACTCTCCCCGTTTCATATTGACGTAATCACCGGCAGTGACCTGTTCAGGAGTGCCGGTTGGTAGATCGGCGGGCATCGGTTGCGAGCCCATGGAACCGTAGCTGTGCAGGCTTTCGTCGAAATTCGGCTGTTGTGGTGGCTGCTGCTCGGCAGGCTGATTGCGCATCTTCTCCAGCTCTGACTTGGATAGATCAACGGCGGCGTACTGGACATTGCCGTCTTCGGTTCTGTGCTTGGTGATGTAGACAGGACCGAAGCTGTCATCAGTCAGCTCCGTGTGGCCACTCAAGGCCCGCGACTTCTGTGCCGAAGAAACGTTGAGTGCGGGAAGACGGCCGAATGCGGAGTCACGACCAAGTTTGGACGTGTCATCCTGCGTCTTCATGTCCGGGAGAGATGCATCCTGGCTGTCGTGTTTTTGATGACGAAATGGCCCGGCTTCTGGAATGTGCTCTGCAGCATCTTTCTCGGCAGGAGGATGGCGCACTTCCGAACCGGTCTCCGACACATCATCATCTTCTTCATTCTCGGACCCATCGTCATGCTCACCCTCCCACGAAACGTCACTGTCTTCATCGGACACGTGCTCCTCCGACCCGGAGCCATAACCAGCATCGGGGTTCATCGAATTGTTGTTCAGGTTCCAACGCAGGCTGTCTCTTGCAGGCGAACTTCGGGATCGGGACAGCTGTGATGGCCACGGCGGCGGACTTGAAGGCATTGCGAAGCTGTCTTTGATGGCGGAGATACCGGCTCTCCTCTTCGAAATTGGCGATGAGCGGGCCAGTGTGGGCGGCTGGAACATATTCTCCAGGCCCATTGGACTAAACAGGTCCTTCTGGTCGCCGTATCCCATCTTGCCGTTCAACAGCCTCCTCCTCCACTCGGGCGTATCCTGGAGCTTCTTCTGGCGTGCAGGGGCAGCGCTCGACGGTTTTATTTCGACGGTGCTGTGCTGGACCACGGAGCCTGTCGACTCTGCGGAGATGGAGCGGGAGGTCGGTGGCTTTATTTCGGCGGCGCTGTGCTGGACCACGGAACCGGTTGACTCGGCAGAGACGGAGCGAGCGGGGGGGTCGGCAACGTTGTTGAGGATGTTGTTGTCGCTGTTTGTGCGCTCAGCAAGGGCGATTTTGCGCTTGCCGGGGAGGGGTCTGCTGGGGCTCGGCGAGGGGGGCGCGGCGGGGATGTCGCTGTTCAGGACCTCTGCCAGGGCAGGCGAGCTCGGTAGGCGCGGGACGCGGCTGGCGGGGATCTTGATCGGGGTCTCGAGGTTGGGCGGCGGCGAGAAAATGGGCGGGCGGTCATCCCAGTCCTCGGACAGATCGTCCAGCCATGGCTGCGACGACATGACTGTTGTGATTGCCCGTAAATTGCGGTGCTGGCGATCTTACGAGTCGATGGCGGCATAGAGTGGCCACTGCTTAGCTGGGATGGTTGAAGGGGTTAGCAGGCGCGGGAGATGGGCGTTGACGCGAGGTGAGGCAGCCGGACGCAGCACGACGGGCTCGCGGGTGGAGAAGGGCTGCAGGCGACGAGCAGCGGACGTCGTGCAGGGAGACAAGAGGCTCGAGATGGCGCGTCGATCAAACCTCAGCGCAGTGGGAGAAAGCAGCACACAGACTCGCGCGTTCGTGGAGATGATGGCGTAGGGCGGGCCAGTAAAAGTTGGCGCCGCCGAGTTGGCCGGGCAACTGCCAATCGCGTCACGACTGTCGCGCTTCACGCACGCTCCACCACTGCCGGCCCAGCCCGTCGTATGCCTCGACAGCTCCCCGCATCTCGCCATTATTGCCTGCAGCCCAGTAACAACCCAGCCCAGTAACAACCCTGCGCCGGCTCCGTTAGTCAGCTCCCGCCGACCTCTCCTCACCCGCCCGTAGACTTTTCCGTCGTCTCTTTCCCCATCAGCGCCTTTTCACCTCCAGTCGCCTGTTCAGCACCCGGCCAACTTCTGCCAGTGTCGCGTGGACTATGTCGCGGTCCTGCACCGCTGCCCGCCGCCAGCCCTCACTATGGCGACCGTACGCCATCACCCGCTCTTTGCCCCGCTGACCTTCGAGCCCTTCGAGATCGACTACGAAGAATTGGGACCAGACACGCCACAGCGCAAGGCGAAGCGACGCCGCATTGTGAGCAACGCGGACCAGTATCTGCGAGGCTCCCCTCTTTTCATTCAATCGGCTGCCCTTAGAGGTCCCTTTGAAACGGGGTGGCGGAATCCATGGGCTCAAAAGAAGCCCGCTCACCCTGCACCCTCATCCAGAACTGCTCACTCTGCTGCACCTCGACATAGACAGACTACTCGAGACCCTTCGCTATCTCCAGAACCAGCCAATCAAGAGCGACCAGCCAATAAAGAGCCCAATCGTGCTCCTCGCTCCAACCGTACTGCGGCAAATACAAATCCCAGGCAAAGGGAGCGTCAGGCTCGGGCTGAGGCGGACCACTTTGAACAGGAAAAGCGCAAGGCAAAGGCTCAGAGGAGAGAGCAGCGGCGTCAGGAACTGAAGAAGCGGGAGGAAAGGGCTGCTGAGCTTCGGAAAGACCATTGCGGGAACAGTCCAGCACGACCGGTTGATCTGACCGGCGCCAGCGCCTCCTTCAATACTCGCCTCACGGCAGAGGTACTTGGTGACAGTCATCAAGTTGCGATAGACGCTGCAGAAGAAGAAATTGCGCGGAACAGAGATTATGGATCAAGAGAAATACGCAGCAGCTTTACAGATGAGTGGCTCAACCGCCTTCGATCACCTGCCCAGACGCCTGAGCTGTCCCCTGTGCGCGTTTCTGAATCAGGCAAGCAGGTGGATGTGCTCGAGGCTTTGAGTCCAACTAGAAGACCGGCAAAACGCCCTGATGTCGACAGTAATGGTGCGATCGACTCATCTAGGCCAGATGCCAAATTCCTGTCTGAGCGCCAGAGGTTCGCTGTACCAGAAAGCCGCCATCCGAGGAGGAAAGATAGAAGAAAAGCTGCGTCCGCGTCCTTTCAAGCCGACGATGAAGTTACTGAGGAGGATGTTGTCTTCAGAAACCCTTCGGCTGCTCCATCGTCATCTTTTACAAGACCACAAGATCTGCTGTCTCTGAAGCAACGTGCCGATGGCACTAAAGAGAGAAGATATAGGCCTGCCAAGAAGGATTCCAAATTCTCAAAGCTCGCGCTAGCGGAGACGGGCATGCACTCGGCCTCGAAAGTAGAGCTTAACGAGGGATCTTCACGCAGGAAACCCTCTTCCAGCAGCCAAGAACGCATGGATGGCGTTCAAAGAAACGTTTCTCATACAGCAAGACGGCGAGGCTTTGAGCTTGCATCCGCTCCTGGCCCTGAAAACCCATCGTCTCGGCCAGCACATCAGCAACACAAAAAACACCCTAGTGGTTTCACCCCCATAAACAAACGCTTCTCATCTCCTCCAGCTGAACCTTCACAACCAGCCGCAAGCACCACTCCTGCAGGACGCCCAGTCTTGGGAGTGAAGGCAGCCACGAACAATGCTAATCCCGCAGAGCTAACGAGTGCATCTCTTGATCCCAACAACGGGGGTGTCTTGGTCATGTCCGCAGGCGACATCCGGCTTGACAACGAACCTCTACACATGTTTAGCGGACATCTCGAAGGGCAAGAGAACAATTTCCGCAATGATGAGAACAAGGTTTCTGGGCAATCGCCTCTCAAGGAGGTTGCTGTACGGTCTCCTGAGCAAGGCGCGACTTCCGCATCCACGAAGTCCCGAAAGCGTAGAAGGGATCATCCTTTACATGCTTCGCCGACTGCTATGAACTCTCCAGGTTTCGCTTACCGCAAAGTCTCTGATCCTATGACCAATGTCCCAAGGCTTCAACCTATGAACCAATCAAGCATAGAAGTGGAGACACGGAAGAAAAAAAGGGCACGTCTGATGATGTTTGGTTCTTTGTCTCCTCAGCCTGTCGAGGCGACAAAATTGGAACCCGAAAATCAGATTACTTTGTACGAAGACCAGCCCACAATCACCGATGAGGCGAGAAAAGAGCAGACGGACACTGTAGCAGGCAGCCAAGTGGCCAAGGCCGATGAGCACAGCCCAGTTCGCGACCTTTCTACTCAAGCAGCCATCCTTTTCGCTCAACGAGAGTTCCAACACGAATTTCAGTCACCCTTGCGAAATGTAGCCGCAGCTTCACCAGAAAAAGTGGCCAGTTCGCAACAGACCAGGACCAGTACCCCTCCACCATCTCAGCCTCCAGCCGAGTATACCGCTATCACTCCCTTCAAAGCCTTCAACAAGGGCAAACCTTTCCTCACTGAACATCTCTCTCAGCCTGGACCGGCGCAAATGAGCACCCAGGAGCTGTTCAACGCCGCCACTCCGGTTACATTCAGCACGGTGAAGAAGGACAAGAACACACAGAAGAGAGTCAGCTTGGCAGCCTCACCCTTGAAGTCCGCAGGCGGGCCCGAACCAGAAGCCGACGACAGGAGCGGCGACATCGCCACTCCTCCAACAGGCGTCGAAGGCGACACGACGACCGCGGCCGGCGGGGTCACGTTTGGCGAAATCTCCACCACGCCCCCGACGCCGAAGTTCCCGGGTTTCGCCAAGGGAGGAGCAGCAGCACCCGCCTCGGGACCGAGGCCCCATTCTCTCAACCCAGCTCTGTCCTCCGCGCTCAAGATCAGGAATCCGAGTCTCACGGCGGCCGCTCGGCGCACGTCCAGCCAAGGTAGCTCGTCTTTCTCCAGACAGAGCGCTCAACCACCACCACCACCGCCGCCGTCATCGTCCGCGCCGGTGGTGAGAAGCGCTTTGCGTCAAGAATATCGTCGCAACCTGTCCCAAGGCCGCAGCCCGAGCTCGCAACGGCAGCGCTCGTCTCAGCAGCAACAGGCGCAGCAGAGGCAGCCGGCCCCCTTGGATGATGTGGATCTAGACTCGGCTATGGATGCTGCGGATTCGTTCCTCGACACGGCGAAGCTTGGGATAGAGTGGAAGGGGTCGGCGGGGAGGAGTGGTGTCGCACGGAGGGTTTGATTGATTGATGGCTTGGAATGAATGAATGGTTTTATATCCTTTTTTTTGTTTCTTTGGGACTTGGTAATTCTCTTTTTGATTCGTGGCACCGCTGGTCAGTTTGTTGCTTTTATGAACTTGGCTTTCTGAGTACATCATTTGGGATGTGGGTATCAATCGAAAGCGTGCCAGACGGCATTGGTGACAGCAAGGGCTGAGATCAGAAGAATGTCCGTTAGTCATTGGAAGAGAGTACCAGGTGCCAGGTCGGATGAAGAGAAGTGCTTAGTAGGTACGTCGGGGAATGATGACTTAATCATGAACTAATCACTTTGGTGATGTCGGTACCATACAGTTTTTTATTTCCTTTTCGAGTAAGATAAAAGAGACATGACAGGACGGGGGACTTCTTCCTCCGTCCACCTCCATCCCGCCAGCATGTGCCACGGTCTGGTACCTGAGCTATGTAGTCCCACCGCGCTGCTGACGCGCACGCGCCGCCGTTCCGCCGCCGCCGAAATTCGTTCAGGAACCCGGCCGGCAGATGCACCCCGAGGGGCTTGTTGCAGCTAGCTCCCATCTAGCGGAAGTAGCCAACCAAGTGGGGTAAAGGAAAGCGGAAGTATACATATCTAGTAGCCAATCAAACGGTTTGGGAATCCCGTGGTTCAGCCGCACGCCAGGGGGTGTGTGTCTGTGTGGCCCCCTCTAAGTAGTAGTACCAAGGTTTGAGAAAAGCAAGCCGGTCCCAAAGATGAATGATTGACTTACCTACGCTTTTTTTTTTTTTTTGCCGCCGTGGCTGAGGGGCTGACACGCTGTGCTAGATGCCGTGTCGATACGTGTTGTATGCAAGTTTTGCTTTGTTCCTTTGTTCCTTTGTTTCTTTCTCTCTCTCTCTCTCTCTCTCTCTCTCTCTCTCTCTTTCTCTCTTTTTATTTTTTGGTCGGGAGTGTCTTCTTTCTACCGTCGTTGCCGTCGTCGTTGGATGTTCACGACTAACTAACCTACTCCCCAACACCACCACCACCTCTCTTCCAGCTCATTCTCCCCCTGAGGCGTCTCTTCTTCTTCTTCTTACTCTTACTCCTCTTTTTCTGGGTCATGTGTGGGTGTTCCTGCATTAGATCTTAGAGTTTTCCCACTCTGGGTTTAATGGGTTTTGAGCTAAGCTGCCCCCTGCAGTAGTGCGTGTAATAGTAGTGCGTAGGAAGAGGAGGATCGAGACCAGGATCAGGATCAGGGAAAGGCCGGACCCGTCACGGAACCAAGATTGGATTGGGTGGGGGTTGCTGCTACTGCAGGAACCCGGCTAGTGGGTATGCACGAAGGTCCTTCATCACCTAACCTACCTCCCTTCTGCCCTTTTTTTTTTTCGTTTTCGCGTGCGTTCATGATGGCGGTCTCACTTTTTTTATTATTATTGCGGGCTTTGAGCGCCACCGTGATGGTCGTGCATATGGGGTAAGTAGTGGACATTGTGCACGTTTTATCGTCGTCATGTCTCGGTGCGGAATGTCGGGATGACGAAAAGTAAGCATGTTGCAGATATGCTTTTTATGCATAACTAACCCTGTATACTTTCGGGTCAGTTGTAGAGTGCACGACCGCATTCCGGACAAATCAGAGATCGGAACGAGCCGCTTCAAAGCACGCCAGGTGAAACAACGTCAATGAAACAGCGTCCACGTGCCACGCGGGAAAGCCAGAAAATCAAACGGTGTGTTTTGGCCGCAGACGTTGTGTTTTGACGCGGAGGCGAGATTGCAGTGGGGAAGTGTTTGTTTTGATTTCACGTGATTTCGTCGCGAGTATGTTGGTCGTCTCGGGAGAAGCATTCACGAAAGATTCAAGCAAGGAAAACCGTCTTATCATTTCTCTCGGAAAAGAAAAAGAGGAAAAAGGTTGCACTCGTGGTGCACCAAAGAATCGAAGAAGATTTTTAAAAAAACAAGAAGCGAATACAATCAATCAACGGACTCCCAAATCGCCAGCGCCAAAGCTAAGCCAAGCCTGCTGTGTTTCTGTCGTCGGTCCTTTACGACGACGACTTCAACTCGCCGACGTTGGCGGCAAACTCGCCGAGGTAGTTGCCCGACTCCTGGTAGCGGCAAGTGACCAGGCTGCCATCCGAGCAGCTCGCGACGCCGCAGCCGACCTTGGTCGTCTTCTTCCACACGACCTGGGTGAAGTGCATGACGGACATGGGCACGTCGTCCTTGCCCCAGTATGGGCCGTAGTCGGAGATCTCGTCGTACCACATGTCGACCGTCTGCTGCGCGGTGAGGCCGGAGCCCATGGCGAGGTTCTCGCCGTAATCACCACTGTGGAATAGTCAGTCAGCGTGCGGAACAAACAAAGAGATGTTATCAGAGATTCAGAAACTTACTCGGAAGACGAGTGCTCGAAGACGCACTTCTCCGAGTGCTCCTTGGCGCCGGCGGCGAGGGCGTCGTCCCACTCGACGTTGGGCGTGTCGACGTGCTTGGCGCGGTAGTTGTTGTGCAGCGTCACCCACTCGTTGCCGGACGAGGCGGCGCCGGTGCTGGTGCTCGTGGCGGCGGCCGTGGCGGTGGTGGGCTCGGGCGTCGTGGCGCCGACGGCGGCCTCGGTCACGGGGGTGGGCGTCGGGGTGGTGGCGGCGCCGCTGCCGGTGCTGTTGCCGTTGCAGACGCTCGGCCAGTAGTCGCAGACCCAGGACGGGACGGAGGACTCGGGGGCACTGGGGAGAGAGGGGTTAGTAAATGGTGGGTTTTGGGGGGGAAGTTGGTTGGCTGGCTGGTCACTTACCGCTTGTTGACGGGCGAGGCCACGGCCAGCGTGGCGAGGGAGGCAATGGTCACGGCGGAGAAACGCATGGTGCTGGATCAAAGTCTAGTGTGAAGACGGCGTGATGGTCGTGATGATGTGTTTTTGCGGGGAAAGAATGGAAGGTCCCAGGAATGCCGGAAGCCGTGGGCTGAAAGAATGAACGAATGAATGAATGGATGAGCAAACAGTCAGTGACGAGAGAAGAGGTCTGCGGCGGGCGGCTACATTTAAAGACTGTTTGATAGGGCCCTCTCCGCGTTTCCCGTGTTTCATGGAGGGGCCGAGAAGTGCAATCTGGCCATGGCCGCGGATATAGTCCCGAGTGGTAGGCTAGAAACTAGTCGTGTTTTGATGAAACCCCCGTACATGCTGTCAGGCACTTGGGCTGACTGCTGGCATGGTGCATGTGTGCATGTGCGGCGGCGAATGGCAAGCACAGGGGGGCCGACACAGACTGCACAACAAACGTCGAACACGAGCACGAATCGTGAGATGACGTAAAGGCAATTCGCAGCTCGTAGCGGATACATGACGAGAGCCGGGGAACGCCGCGGGAGTGGGATTAAGAAAGGCGGGGCCCTTTTAGATTAACGGCCGTCTATAGGGCGGTGGGGGCATGGTGCGACAGCTGGCTACCGGGCGTCGGGGTAGGGCGGCCGTTGGAGAAAAAGGTCCTGTAATTCGGCCTGGCTTGGCTAGCATCTAGACCGCGCGCGGTAACCGTCCAGGCGTGCGACGGCTGTTTCTTGCGCTCGCATCGACGGCACGACGGCTGTTGTTGTCTGCACGTAGCAACTGCGCAGGAGCAGGCCACGACTTCGGCGCGCCCGGCCAGCTGTCCGCCGCGCCGCCGCCCCCCTTTTTCTCCTCTCCACTCTCCGTCCCGACCGCCCGGCCTGTGGCGGATCAGCCCCGCCGCCAACGTCTGCAGCGTGTCGCACAGGATCGCCGCAACGATCTGCTCCCGGCCGACCGATCACTCTACGCAAATTGAACGTGGTGTGGCTGCTTGCGCGGCTGCTGCTGCCACCGGCCACGACCACGCTGCAGCCGCACCACCTGCAGGCGCTCCCGACAATCAACCACGGATCGGCGCTGACTCCTGTATAAGCTCTACTGTCTGTGTATGTACAAATGAACCCGTGGGCCCGTGCGCACTCATCATACTCTCAAAGTACAATATACGACGTTGCAAGGAAACACCTGGCCGCCACCTCCCCCCTACTCCTCCTGCTGCCACCGCAATCACCGCCTCACTCCGCCTTACTCATAAACATAGCAGAAGGGGCCCCCCGTCGTACTCAACAGCTCTCCAATCTTCTTCTCAGCCCCCGGCGCCACGAAGCCGAGATCCATCACATCCTCCAGCGTGCCGTTGCGGTGCGGCTCCAAGCTGTCGTACATGGTGACTGGTCCGGCGACGGCGGTGGCGCCCGCGGTGCGCGACGCGGGCTCCAGCATCTGCCACTGCCACCAGATGCGGTCGACGTTGGCGTGGTGCACGAAGAAGGCCGGGTCGCCGGGCGAGACGTACAGGTCGCGGCCGGGGTCGCCGCCGAGCGAGAAGTGGCCGCCGCCGTGGACGCCCAGCTCGTCCGTGTTGGGGTAGCCCTGCATGGTGAGCTCGAAGTCGAGCAGGTCGGTCGGCCCCGTCAGCAGCTGCCGCACGCTCGTCGCGTTGGCGAAGCGCTGGTTCGCCTCGTCCGTCAGGCTGCGCTTCAGGCACCGCGGGTTGTGCGCGAACGGGTACGACGAGTTGTCGCTCTTGCCGTTGAGCAGGCTCAGCCCGTCCGGCCCGAGGTTGACCGTCATGTTGGCGAACGGGCCCGACGTCACGCATCCGCCTCCCGTGCCCGGCGGCAGGATCGTCGGCGCCTCTGTCGCGCCGTTGATGATGACGTGGTCCGTCGCGTTGTACTTCACCGCGGCGCCGTTGCCCGAGAGCGACGTCGCGCTGCCGTCGAAGAGCGGCGACTGCTCGAGCCCCGTCTCGGCCGTCTTGGTCCAGTCCCAGTACGGCTGCGCGCCCGTGTAGCCGCATTCGTTGCGCAGCGCCTGCTCGTACTCCCACGTGAACCACCGGTGCCAGGTGAGGAAGGATGCCTGTCGTCGTTGTGGGTCAGCAAAACGGGCCGAGTGTCCGGACCGGGTGCTGCTGACGTACGCTGAAGTGGATGTAGTTCGTCTGGTTGATGTGAGTGACGACCCAGTCGTCGTAGCGCGTCTTCGCTCCAGGCGCGAGCGCAGACGGCGTCTTGGCTTTCGTCTTCTGCAGGCACAGCACCGCGTTGCTGTACTCGATTCTCTCGTCCGCCGTCAGGTCGCCCCTGGGTAGGTCTTCTGTTTAGTCGTCTTTCCGTGCTGTTTGGGGATTGACTACTACTTACCACCACTTGCGGACAGAGAGCTTGTCGGGCGTGCACGTCGAGTTGGATGGGATCCTCGCCTTGGCAACCGTGAGGGCATTCTGCGAAATCTGCTCGAGCGTGGCGTTGGCAAGGCTCAGCGCCGTCGATGGCGACGCAGCAGCAGAAGGCTTAACAAGTGGGCCCGCTTCCACGGTAGCAGCGCCCAGAGCCAGCAGGGCGGCGTTGATCAGCTGGGTAAGCTGCATCTTTGAGTTTTTGGGTTAATGAACGACTGGGAATCTAACGAGCGACAACTGAGTTCGAGAACAATGTTGGGCGGCAGCAGAAGGTGCTTAAGATGGTTCGCTGTGTCGAATTTCACCAGCAATGGTCCGACAATCGGGCCCCTGCCCACTTGTCAGTCAGCCCCACCCCGTTGCTGAATATCGCAAACACCAAGCCGGAGTAGGCTCCATCGAGGAGTTGTAGAACCTTTCCGGTTGTGATGTGTGCCTAAGGCGACCCATGTAGGGAAGGCCTGATCCCTGCGCCCCACCGGCCAAGACAGACCTTTGCTATCTTTTTGCCGCACGACGCAGCACGCGGCCCCGACTTACTTGGCTCTCGTACAACCAAATTCACGATAACGTTGGATCTAAATGCCGCCGCACTACCCGTGACGCAGCCGAGCTGGCTCAGCCCTATCGTTTTCACTGATATAGCCCCAAGTAGCGACCTCGCGCATCCGCTAAACAGCTTATCAGCCAAGATTATAACATTGGTCCGCTGATGATCAGGATATGAAAAGAATATGGCATTGCAATATGTCTTGATGGAAGATACAGTCTTCCTTCACCAGTTGAGCTGAAACAGTGCGCCTTGTCGAAGTGAGCGAGTGTCTCAAGAATAGCTAGCCTCCGTTCTTCGGCGCCGACTAACCGACACCTCATACATCAAGCCCGGAGCGGGTTCAGGGACTTTAATCCCTTCCCGATACCGCCCAACTTGTCCTTCACATCACTGACCCCCTTCTCGACGCCGCTCTCAACTCCCTTTCCAGCACCATCCAGCTTCTCTTTTACGTCACTAACGCCGCTCTTAGCTCCCTTGCCGACCCCGTCCAACTTCTCTTTTACGTCACCAACACCACTCTCGACACCCTTCTCAACCCCATCCAACTTGTCCTTCACATCACTGGCCCCCTTCTCGACTCCCTTCTCAACTCCGTTCAACTTGTCCTTCGCATCACCAACGCCCTTCTCGACGCCGCTCTCAACCCCCTTCCCAACCCCATCCAACTTGTCCTTCACATCACCAACACCACTCTCGATGCCCTTCTCGACCCCCTTCCCAACCCCATCCAACTTGTCCTTTGCATCACCAACCCCCTTCTCAATCCCCTTGCCGACCCCGTCCAACTTCCCCTTCACATCATCCACCCCCTTCTCAATCCCCTCCCCGACATCCCCCAACTTCTCCTTGACCAACCCCCCCACCTCACCCGCGCGCTCGACCAACGTCTCGGCACTGCTGCCGCTCATCTTCCTCGTCCTCTCGCGCCGCGCCGTCCACTCGCCCAGCACGCCGGCCACGTTGGGCAGCAGCGGGTTGTCCCCGCCCTTCTCCGGGACCGACTTCTCGTCGAGGATGCCCGCCTTGATCATCTCGTTGACGCTGGAGTGGATGACGCCCTCGACGGGAATGTCGCGCGGGGCGCCGAGGTTGGGCGGCAGGCGCCGCGGCACCCACTTGCCCTTTTCGAGCTCGAGCCGGGTGAAGATGGGGAGGATTTCTGGTGGTTTCGCGCCGGTGGGGTCAGCATGCGTGGGTCAAAGGAGATAAGCGGAGAGGGGGGAAGCTCACCGAGGATCCACCACAGCAGCACGGACAAGACGCCCACGCCGTGGAAGAACTTCAGCATGTCGTGCGGCTGGTTGGCGCGGCGGCGCACGTCAAAGGCGGTGGTGCCGGGCTTCTCGACGCCGGGGAACGCGTTCTCGGCCCGCACGACGTCCTGCACGTTGGTCGTCTTGTACGCCAGCCGGCTCGCCGAGTCGGGCAGGCTCAGCGACTCCTGCACCATCCAGTTCAGCGGCGTGTCGGACAGCAGGTGCGTCTGCCCCTTGGAGTAGTTCCACCCGCCGCCGACGTCAGCATGGTTGCCCGCGAACCACACCTCCTTGAGGTCGACGGCGGCCGCGTCAGCCGCGTCGAACGTGAACAGCGCCGGCTTGAACTTCAGCCGGCGCTCGTGGATCGACACGGCGTGCCGGATGTGCTGCGCGGCGGGCGTGGCGATGCAGCGGTACGACGTGCGCCACAGCGGAATCTCGAACTGGCCGACGCTGTTGACGCAGTCGAACAGGCCCAAGAAATGCACGCGCACGTCGGGCCGGCAGAAGGCGCCCTTGAACTTGTCCATGTACGCGCCCAGCGCGGCGTCGGCCGCCGTCTGCGGCTCGTGGCCGCGGGCCACCTGCCAGTTGCTGAACGTCTCCCACGCGAACCGCACCATGTCGTCGTTGCCGCGCGACAGCAGGCCCAGCTGCTGCACCATCTCGGCCAGGAACCGCGCCGTGTACGCGCCCCGGCTGAAGCCGAAGATGTAGATGTGGTCACCCCGGCAGTAGTGCCGCATTATGAACCGGTACCCCGACAGCACGTGGTCTTCGAACGACGTCCCCAGCGCCTGGTCGACGCCTTTGATCACGGCCGATTTGATCGCCGGCCAGATGTTGAAGATGCTCCAGCCCGCGGACTTGGACTGCCCTTTGATGTAGGTGCCGATGCCGGCTGTTTTGTCGGGGCGGGCCGAGCGGGCGTCAAGAGTCAGCATGCCATCAGTATACGCATTTTTATGTTCTGGGGGAGGGAGGGGAAGCGGGAGGGGGGGATGACGTGCGTTGGTAGTAGTGGAACTGGTCGTCCGTGTGCCGCTGCAGCATCTGGTAGATCTTGACGATGTTGGTGTCGGCTTCGTTGCCCAGGAACTGGTTGCCCGTGCCGTCGAAGCAGAGCACCAGGCGCCGCGGCCCGATGCCCGGCACCGCCGTGGACTCCAGATCGTCGGTGAAGTCGGGCATCGTGGGGGAGCCTTTGAAGAGAGGGGGGGGGGGGGGGGGGGG